TCTGCTCACGGCCACAAGACTACTAGCAATATTTGTGCTACTTGGCGTACTTCTATGGGTATTACTCTATTCCCCCATCCTGCAGTTAGCCCTGATATGAATCCTATTGAGAAGTGCTGGAGGAGAATAAAACAAGCTCTCCATAGGCGCCTAAGGCAGCCAACAACTGAGGTTCAAATGGTTGTAGCAGTATTAGAAGAATGGGACAAAATTCCTCAGGAATGGATCAATGGGCTTATTGAGCAGCAGGACTTCTGGGTACACGACTTAATTAAGCGATGTGGCTGGTCTACAGCTAATTAATTAATAAAATTCATGATTCTGATGCCCTGAACGCACGGACTTTTGTCCCCATGTTCGTTAAGAACCAACAGTCGAATAGCGTCAAGTCATGATCATCTGAAATATGAAGATGTATAGAATAACGGGAGCTTGGATGGAAATATGGGGAAAGGTAACAGGCCTCGACTCCCTCGTCCCCTTCGAGCCCTCATCGAGTCAACTTTTCCCACCGCATATCGCTTCAACAGCCATTGTCTCTCAGACCAGGCACACTAATCCCAGAACCCGCGTTACAAACTTAGATCTCCATAGACCCTTCCTTCATCTCTTCCCAGTCGATGTTCGCAATTTGCAGATTCACGATCTGGATTCCTGTCTCGCTCGCAGGACATCTCAGCTTATCTATCCCGGCCTTGATCTCTTCATCCTCTTCATCCTCTTGGTCATGTCCATCGACAATAGTGACTTGAATCACACCTTTTTCTTTCCAATCTTTGTCCACAACAGCAACATAGTTGCCTTGGTCGTATTTGTCTTCTGGTACAATATTCTTGATGTGATAGTCGTAGGAAGCTTGCAGAGGCTGCCCGACGAAATCGTGTTTGGGGCTTAGGACAACCGTATCATCATCATGTGTTTCTTCTGTGCCCTCATTACATGCTCGCACAACTTCTTCTATCTCAGTTGGCGATAATTCGGCATGGATATAGACTACAGCTTGATTCAAGCTAGTGCATTCATGAAGTAAGCGCTGATTGATCGCCGGATCGTTTGTTTGGGGCAGAGTCAAGTCAATCATGGTGGTAGAGTTAAGTTAGACTTTCGAGTAGCGGAGGACTAGGTGACGGTGAGAGTATTAAGGTGTGCTCGATCCCATTTGTGAGGAGTAGTGGATTTGAAAAGCGTACATCATCCTTTACGTAAATCAAAGTCGATTCATCGTCATTGCACTTGGCACCTCAAAGCATGCCGATATGACGAAAAATTTATCTAAACGACAACAGAAAAGTATGGAGTAAGTTGAAGAAGAATATTCTCCCTTTGCGACTCTTGTAGGGACTTTACAACTTGCGGAAAGACTAAGTCCCTTTAAAGTGTATGGGTAGATGTAGGCATCACGTGGGGAGGCGGTGGCAGAAATTTTCAAGTGAGCGAATGCAGGCGACGCGTCTCCCGAGCGCGTCGCCAGCATTTGCTCATTTCATGCTATGCCAACAATGATTTGCATTTCGACCAGTCTTCCAACCGATCTGCGACGTCTTTAAACCACAAATGTCAACTCCCAGCTCTACCGTCTAGTCCCATATTGCCTCTTGAAGGTACTATCTGTCTCGTTTGCGCTTGCAAAGGTAAGTCATATCTTATTTAGCCTGAGAAGGAATTATATTCTCGTCTTTTCACCTAGCATCTGTATTTCGTGCTTGGCAATATACGTACCTATGCTGACATGTACGAGCAGACTCCAATACTACTATGGCAGCAACGAACGGGGTGTGGGTCTTGCAAGACTCACCTGAACTCGAATTGAAGTCCGAGTCCAACGACCAGCAGATACTGTGGAAAACAGACCCGTTCCCGAAACCGAGCAATATTGTAGATCAAGTGAAAGACGAGTCTAGTACCAATGGCATGGATACGATACCTGCACAAATGCAGGGCCAACCCAACATGACATCGGCCAAGGTCGAGGTGGATTCCGAAGCACGAGAACACTTGGAGGAGGCACGCACCACGAGAGAAGGAGGATTAGGATCGACAAATGGTGTCAAATCTGAGTACGGAGAGCAAAGTGCAGCCGACCATGCAAATAGCTCTCTTGTTGAAGCCGTTGCAACTCCAGTCCTCGGACTTGAGCAGACAAACATCGCGGATACCAGTCTTCCAGTAGAAATTACTCATACCTCGGCCGATGAGTATGTGGTTTCAGAGCCTGCTGGGGTAGTAACTTCTGAACCAACAGTAGTCGCAGCCATTGAGGACTTATTTTCACCAGATCAGATTAAGTAACATTTTCGGGACCACTTTCGGCGTATTTATGATGCTGCCAATTTCAGCTATTGCGAAGCACTTTGAAACGCGCCTAATCCTGGACTTATTATCGATGGCATAGGTGAGATTGGGTTTCCTCTGTCTGATCTAGACATCCTTAAGATCTAGAGAATAAGCATAGGGCCAAGTTAGAACATCACTGGCGAGTTCCCCGAGTATTCACCGTCGATTGAGTCGCAGACATCCTGGGAGGTTCCCGGTACAATGTGGCGAGTCCAGAATCCTGCCTGGAAACTCCTGTTAAGATCTTTGCTGGAGAGAATTGAGGACGCCTTGAAATTGAAAGCTAATGGCAGAGGCATAACTGTTAGACGGACATGCTTGATTCTCTATGGTGCTGGCAGTACGATCCAGCAGACTACAAGTGCATCGCAAGTGAACATTTAGTCCAGAAATTTTCCTGTTAGCTAACCATGTTTAGGTGTGACACATCCCTTCGTTTTGGAACGCTTGACATCGCACTACCTTCTAAGCACGACGATGTATCTTTTGAGTTCTCGCATGACGGAAAGTCTAGGATTATTTCTACCAATGGGCTATCTCGCTACGACTGCTCTGCTACTGCCTGGGTACGTTTTTCCCCACCTGAATGTATCATCTGAAGTTAATGTATGACAAGTTCTCAGATGTCCATATGACGAGTTCCCCAATCACCGCCGGACATCGTTTTGTGCTACGATACAGCCTCGAGCATGTGACACCTGGACCAGTCCATTTTCTCCTCACTGCCGATCAATCTATGGCTTGCCTTCGACCCATTTTGACTAGTTGGCTGAAGCAGCTTCCAAAGGTCACACATCCTGTGCTGGGTCACATATTGGAGGAGTCTTTTGACGATGATGACTTGCGTGATGGTATTGAGTTGGAGGGTTAAGACGCCAATGTGTGGAGCCAGCTTAAGCAAATTGGTGAAGAGACAGGCATTTATGTTTGTCTTGCCAATATGCAGAGAGTCACTACCGGGGGAAAGCCGCACAAGGTAGCTGCCTATGAGAAAGACTATTCTGGTAACCGATATAAGCGCACTCACCATAGTTCGTGCAGCAGCGGTGAAGAGACCCTCGAAAATAAGATTGGACCCTTCTTTTGCGAAGATCTACCATACGAGGTGCCAACCGAGCATCGATATATGGACGAAGAAAACTTGCTCGAGGCAAACAATCTCGATGAAGATGATCCCGACGAAGAAAAAGAAGAATTGAGAGATATTAGGAAGACATATCAAAGAACAGTCAGTCTGTGCATGCTTTTCTACTAATTATGCTGACAATTTTTGACCAGATCATCCTCATGATGCCCAAAAGCTCGCGGGTCTCGTTCTTGCTGAAGTCCAAAGGCCAACTTTTCTCAATTATCTTGCAGCAATTTCTGATATCTCCAACATGGAAGGCTAAGTGGCACGACGATATTTTGCAAATATGCAATATACTGCTTAAAAGCATTGATTGGAAACATCCCACAGGGCACATGTACAATGAAGCGGATTATATTCGACTTATCAGCGGCGTATGCAAGTTGGACAATAGATCCGTACTCGCACGTGCCTTGCCGTTAGTTTTCCACGACGGAAACGTATTTAATGTTGCACAAGCTACGATTGAGCGGTATGGATCGACATGGCTTGAGAAGTGGTATGCAGCTGTTGCATATTATCGTTCACTTGGAAACACCACTAATGATATTTCAGCCTTGACGAAGCTTTACGCAGTGTGGATGACCTTTATGATCGGGGCCGGATAATAGAAGAAGTCACTGCGACGTTACCAAATCCACTCTTGACTTTCGGGCTTTACCAATCTTTATTGTCCTCCTTCCAGCCAAAAACGGAGTACCTCGCCAGCTTTTACGACGCGGAGATGCTGGCCAGAATCGCTGTGACATGGTCACAAGACGAACTGTTGCACACTTGGTAGTTCTTTCCCCCTTCTGAACCCCCACCCGCTGACCATTACAGCTGGATTCCAACAGTCAAGAAATTCTCTGATAACACTCGGTTCATGTTAGAATTAATGGGTTCGTCATTCCGCGACAAGAAACGAGTACTGCAGCATCTCCCGGAGCCCGTCTTCAAGGAACTTCTACCAGTAATGGCAAAGCACCTAGATCCAATAAATAAACAGCACCATTCCGCAATAGCCGCAATATCATGCCGAATGCACAGGTTCGGCTTGACCTTGGAACTTGTTGATATTAACGCCAAGATCACCCAGACTGCGAAATCTTCTGATCGCCAAGAACTTATGGACGTCTACGTACCATTCCTACAAAGATTGGTGGCGTACTTGAGAGGCTGGAAACTCTTGCACGCTGTCCCGTTTCAGACAATGTTCCGCAGCATTCTGAAATACCTTGTCGACGCTTGTGCAAAGTTGGCTCCCCGCTCTCCACCTGGGACTTGGGAGCGTATGAAATATAGCTGCGGTTGTCGTAAATGCCAGGTCTTGGACGAATTTCTGGTTTCGCCCACAATCACATTTTTCACGTATTCTCGCTCCACCCCTGGTCGAGAACATCTCGAAAAGCGTCTTAAGCAAGCGAAATTAACTCAATTTCTTGAGGTCAACACTGAACGCAATAGCGTCCCATGGGCATTGGTGGTACGGAAGACGGACCCAATGTACGAGAAACAGAGAATAGAGTGGGAAGTTGCCCGCAACAGAGCTAAGGCTGCAATTGCGGCGATGTGTCTCGAAAATCTTAGAGTGTTGCTAGGAGACGAGTTCGAATCCATCATGACCTTGAAAGCTACGACCCAGGTCATCAATCTCGTTAAAGAAGAAGAGGAAGCCGGAGTGTTGGCAATCAAAACTGAGAGTGGGATGAATGCCACAGCGGAGCTCAAGCGCAAGCAACCTCACCCAGATGCATTGCAGAATGGGTCCGCCCAATTTTCAGAGAACCACTTTGAGTCGAAACGAGTATGCAGTAATTCCAGCTCCCCACCACCTCTGCTCTATCAGATTCCGGAATATCCCGCCAACAGGCTAGGCCCTAGACATTAGGTCGCTTGATCGATTAAGTCCCCCATCATTATCCTTTGTCTTCGCGAAATTGGAAATAGATGCTCTTCGAAATGAGCTTATGTTCATGACCTAGCAAATTTGGAGGCGCTAGATTTTGATTGTCTGTGAAGGCACCCCAGAAATGGGCTGCAGACACAAAATGAGGCTCAAGTGAGAATTGCATGGAAACAAAGACTGTGGACATGCCGGTGGCATGCCTTTTGGATACCTTGTCTGGAGACCAAGAAAGCGTCGAACATTTTAAAGAACTTCTGCCAATAAAACCAATTTGCTGCATATCTTGTCGTCTTTCTTCTGCAATGGCCGTGAATACACGGAGAAAATGTGCAAGCCGTGCCAAAGTGGAAGAAATTTCATTGTGAGCTCCACGGCGATGCGTTGGAAGTCCAAACCACTTCTGATCTTGTTGACTGCCAACGTGGGATTCTCACCTCCATTTTCTGTCACGTAGCCGATTGATAAAGGAAAGTCTATTTTCATATTTCCAAGAAACGAAAAGGGGTATAATAAAATCTACACACAAATACAAGTAACGCCCAGAATTGCGACACTATCCATACTTCCAAGCACCCAACCGATTACTCCCCCCACAAACCTCCTTCGAATTTCCCTTACACGCCATAACGCACCCACTCGTCCCATCCGCACCCACATACGCGCCCCCATTCACGAAACTATTCCCACACCAACACTCCTGGCTGTACTCCAGTCCAGCAATTGTGTATCCGGCAGATTTGCAGGCTGTTTGACACAGTTCGACGGTCATGGATTGGGAGCCGCCAGGGACGGTTTCCCCGTTGGGGAGAGCGCGGCCGTTGACGTTGTCGGAGTAGCAGCCTAGGGAGGACCAGGTTGGGGTTGCGGATTTTGAGGAGGAGGTTGCTGATGTTTTGGTGCTGGTGACGGTGGCAAGCTTTGTAGAGCTGCTTGTGCTGCTTTTTGCAGAGGATGTGGAGGTCGTCAAACCAGTGCTTGAACGCGACGAAGTAGTGGAGCTGAGTGTGCTAGTCTTTACTGAGGACAGCGAGGATGTGGAGCTGCTACTGAGGAGTGATGTTGATGCTGATGAGGACTTTGAACTACTTGTGCTTAAGCTGCTAGTCGTAGAACGAACAGTGGAGCTTGATGCGGTCGCAAGGGTGGATGATGAAAGCCGTGAAGAGGATGAAGACGAAGAGGTCTTCGTCAAGGTCATCACTACAAACATTCTTGTTAGTTTTTTCACCCAGAAGCAGGCCTCTTCAGTAGGAGATTAGGAACTTACGAGTTGTCGTCGACGTTGAACTCGAAGCGGAGGTGAGCAGCTGGTATACCTTGACACTGTTGATTGACCAGTACCTATGATCTTGTTAGCAAACAGGCTCCTTCCAGAGATGGGGTGCATACGTTTCCGAGAAAGCGGACGGACTTGCTGCAACATAGTCTACACATGTGTCCGCCAATGCGCTGCAAGTCGAATCACCACTCCACGCGTTCCCAGCCCAATCACCACAGAAGGTCATGTCGAAGACTAGGTTTTGGTTCATGAAGTGAGAATCGATATCGCATGTGCTGCCACCGATGTAGGCTGTCTGAGGCGTGCCCCATCCGCTCGGAACTGGAGATCCAGTGGTGATGTCGCTGGGAACACTGCCATTGGCAAAGAACCATGTTTTGATATAACTTGAAGTCCATTCAGTGGCGTAGACCCCTCCACCTTTTGCATTGAACCCAGTGCCGTATGAATACCCGTTGTTCGAAGCCACGTTACAACCTTCGCCGTCGTTCTGAGTTCCGTCGCATTGCAGACTATTCACAGAACCAGACTGCGTTCCAGCTTGCATGGAACAATTTGGTGCACTAGACTGTCGTTAGAACCTAGGCCCAAGAAAGTATATCGCAGGATAGAGGCTCACGTATGCAAACTCATCTGATTGAAAGTATTCCTGTTGATGCCTTCGATCATGTCAATCTCACCGGAATTTGGCCAATTAGGCCCATACATCCAGACTAGATATGTCAGATGATTCACAGAGCGTGCAACACCAGAACTTACATGCTGGCCATACTCCACAAGTCGAGTCGGGCATGTGTGCAACATCAACGATAAACAGGCCATGTGTCCAGGACTTCTGAGACTCGATTCGTACACTCTTTCGTCCTTGCGAGGAGCTGTTGAGGGTAGTGGTATGGTCAACACCCATGTATGCCGGAAATCCAGGACTCTGATGAATTAAGGATGCGGCTTGAGCATCGGACTGCGAAAGATATTGGACAAACCCATGAGTTGGATCCGAGCTCTAGCAATAATGAGCGGTGATTGCAGGAGGATGTTTCAATTTACTTACTGACCAGAAGTTCCACCCATTGAAGAAAGTGGCCCCTGAGTATGAGGTGTCAAGTACATAAGATTGAGATGCAGCAAGTGTCGGATATGACAACAAGTAGGTCAGCAGAACTGTGCTTGCAGGTAAAGAATGCAACGAAAATCCAACCATCGTGGAATCAAAAAGTCAATGCGTGCAACTAACGATCAACTTGAACGAGTGACTTGTGTTTAGCAAAGTTCTGAAAAGGATTGGGAGAACATCGTCTTGTATACTCCTGATAATTTCAAACTTTTTATCCCGTCTTCACATAGTGCGGAGTGAGTTCAAGCCCAAAAGCGGGATGCCCGACCTGCCGGATCCTGCATTATTGCTGCAAACGGCATGCCTATTCTGAAAACGGCAATCTACAGCTCCCAATACGGATACTTCCATCGATGGTGGCTTGCTTGCGTCCATCGCGTTCACGATTGAGAGGGTGTCAGCAACTGTGCTGAATGAGTGAAAAGGTTGTGGCGTGCGCAGATGCAGGTCCAGAGCTCTAGCATTTCACTAGCGCATCTCGTGCCGAGGTCTGGAACATACACGACCGCACGTGACTACACTAAATAATCCTTGTTCGACATTTTTTTTGCGAAATGTAAGAGCTGAGGCCACGACACACGGCCCACTTAAGCGAGAACCTCAAAATTACACCTAGTTTTATATCTATTATAATAACTACAATTCTTAATGGAATCTTCTAAGATATTAAATATAAATTAATGAATAGTAGTTAAACCTTGGACAGCAATCACATCTTCAATCTTACAAGTTAAACGCTCTGTGTACGGCCTGAAATCACGTGGATCTACTCGATCCCATAGCTTTTGCAACTCCCTTCTCAAATCCTCTTTACTTTTAGGCACATAAGGCAATTTCTTTAGTTCTTCTTTCATCCATCGCCAAACCTTTTCAATAGGATTCAGATCAGGTGAAGAAGGAGGCCAATTGAACTCGCGGATTCCATGCTGAAGTCTTGGCAACCGGGCATTCCCTTTATGCACTTTTGAGCCATCTTCCATGAAGATATACTCCGGCCCAAGGGTGTCAAATAGAGGGAAGACTATGGGTTCAAGAACCTGCTGAAGGTACACCTTAGAGCATATGCCCTTGCGTTCTGGAAGCTTCTCCATAAAAACCAATGGTGATTTATAGTCCCAGCCCAATGCCCCCCAAATCATGACCGTGGTCCTTCCTGACCTATAAACTGACCGGATGCAGTCAGGGCACCTCCTTTCATCTACCCTCCTAGTCACCCAGATCCTGCCATTCTTGCCAGTCTCGAATATTGCCTCATCAGACCAGACAACCTTCCTCCAGTCTCCTCCTTGCCTGCGATCATCCCTATGAGCTGCATAGTCTGATGTGCCCCACCACCTATGATCCCGCGCAAAGCGCAACCTCTTCTTAGCTTGTACTCTTGATATATAGGGTCGAGGGCATGCAATGCAGCGACGGTAGCCTGCGCGGGCTAATTCTCGGCGTATAGTTCGAACAGAGGGAGCGAGCCGTAGTAGGGTTTTGAGGCTCGAAAAGTTCATCCTGCGAGAGGACCAATCTTTTGAGATAGTGCGAATGCATTGGCATATCGTTCTTATAGACATCAAATGAGGTTTCGGGTGCTTCTTTTTACGCTCTCTGCGGTGTGTTCTAGCTTAAGAATGCGACGTACAGTCCTCCTAGGCACCTGAGTCTCTTGGACGATCTCGCGCTGAGATTTTCCTTGTCGTTGTAAGCTGCGGATAATTGCGCGCGCAGGGGTAGGCCATTCTCCCTTATCTTTCTCGAGGGGTGAGCTGAGTATTACAGGTGTTTCCATGTTGAATTGCAGAAGAATTGAATAAGTAGTTGTTGAGTTATCAAAGTTTTAAAAAGGAGGTGCTGAAAAGAGGACGCGTACCGCGTCTCGCTTAAGTGGGCCGTGTGTCGTGGCCTCAGCTCTTACCTAGGTAACATTAAACCAAGAACCTCTCTCTACTCTTGATGTTTTTGTCAACGAAGGAATTTGCTCTACATTTTGCAGGTCTCTTGATCACAATAAATAACAGGAAGAAAAGCAAGGTATGCTGCTCAGAATGAATGCGCCTACTGGACGAACTCAAATTCAATACTGCAACCTACAGCTGATCCCACGGCACATACGTCCTCGAAAATGTTCCACCACTTTTTCACATATCTCACCCAATCCACTTCAGCTAAAATGGACATCGATTGAATAAGACTTAGCTTCCTTTACGGCTGTCCGGATGGGGATTATCAAAGTCACATGGCCCTTGACATCAAATTTTCAAGAAGTCTTTCGGTATCCCACAGCCTATGATGCAATATAGATCTTTACCAATCTGACAAAGAAGATTCCACTTATCGTCATCCTTCGGAAACTTAAACTTCTACGCAAACCCTTAGGAAATCTCCGACTGCGCATCTTTCAAGGATATACTGCCCAAAAACGGGGCTTAACCGAGCCAACATCCCTTCCCGTTCCACTTTTGCTCGGCATTCCGATGAAATGCCATGCGTGTGTAAAACTTTTGGATCTCCATTGGACGAAGGGTTCCACCAAGAAGAAATAAACTTGCCAACGATGTTGCGAATAGGGTGAAGACCCAGATATGCTCCACAGCACACCATGACAAACATGCTTATTGACCAGATGAACATGATTGCCAACGCTTATTGAAACATCTTTGTTGAACGTCCAAGTGGAATTGAGTGGGATTTCACCGTGCTCAGGAAAGAACGGGAAGATATAAAGACCTCAAGTGAGATCTTGAGATCTGCACCACTGCTGGTTTCATCACTCTTTGACGACATGGCTCCTTCATTCTCACTCATTCCATTCTTCACTCTTTTGACTTCATGTCAAGCCCTCACTTATGATTATATCATCGTCGGCGGAGGGACAAGCGGTCTCGTGATCGCAAACCGTCTCTCGGAACTCTCCAATGTCACTGTCGCAGTCATCGAAGCCGGAGATTCTGTGCTCAATAACCCCAATGTCACAGATGTAGGAGGCTACGGTCTTGCGTTCGGGACAGATATCGATTGGGCGTATCAAAGTACCAATCAAACATATGCTAGAGGAGCGACACAGACGTTGAGGGCAGCAAAAGCGATTGGGGGAACGAGCACGATTAATGGTATGATGAGATATGATGACGGCGATTAGACGATCTGACTAATTATTGGTAGGCATGGCGTATGCTCGCGCAGAAGATGTCCAAATCAATGCTTGGGAGACGCTTGGCAACAAGGGATGGGATTGGGACTCATTGCTCCCTTACTATCTCAAATCCGAGAACTTCGAGATCCCAGCTGCATTCCAAATCACAGATGGGGTGACTTACGACCCTGCTGACCACGGAGAATCCGGTCCACTCGATACTGGATACCTGTTCAATATAGTCAACGGCACGATAGCGCAAACTTTCAATGAAACGTACGCTAACGTTGGGATTCCGTGGAATGGAGATATCAACAGTGGCAAGATGCACGGCTTCTCGACCGTCCCGAAGACTGTCAATGTACTTGCGAATGTCCGAGAAGATGCTGCGAGAGCTTACTATTGGCCTATCGCTAACCGGAGCAATCTTGTCCTGTTCCCAAACACTTCAGCCACTAAGTTAGTGTGGAAGAACCAGACTGGCGATGCTACTGCCGCTGGAGTACACGTCACGAGTTCAAATGGCACGGTTTCCACCATCTATGCCAGAAAAGAAGTCATTCTTTCTGCAGGTGCGCTTCGTTCCTCTTTACTCCTCGAGCTCTCTGGAGTCGGCAACCCGGACATCCTTACACCCCTCGACATACCGGTCGTGGTCGATCTCCCAACGGTGGGTGAGAATCTCCAGGATCAGATGAACAATGCGTTTACATTTGGATCCAACAACACACTCTCGGGTGCCGACAGCTTCGTGACCTATCCCACTGTTGGCGATCTCTTCACGAACAGCACTTCAACTTTCGCGACAACCATTGCGTCGTCCCTCTCGGAGTACGCAGCCGCTGTCTCAAACGCAAGTAATAATGTTATCTCTTCCTCTGATCTCTTAGATTTCTTCCAGATCCAATACGACCTGGTCTTCAATACCAGCACTCCATTACTAGAGCTCTTCACTACAGCGGCCGGCGCTGTCTTCAGTGTCCAGTACTGGATTCTCTTACCTTTCAGCAGAGGTAATATCCACATCAGCTCCAACGATCCAACAGACGCAGCAATAATCAACCCAAACTACTTTATGCTGGACTTTGACCTCGACGTCCAAATCGCTGCCTCGAAATTTATTCGCGACACTGTGATGTCTTCACTTCCTCTCTCTGCGGAGGTCACTGCGGAGTCTTCCCCAGGAACTTCCGTTGTTGCCAATAACGCAAGTGATGATGAATGGGCAACTTATATCAAGAGCTCATACAGAAGTAACTTCCACCCGGTCGGTGCCACCGCCATGATGCCGAGAGAGAAGGGCGGCGTGGTTGACAATGCTTTGAAAGTCTATGGTACTGCAAACGTGAGGGTTGTGGATGCGGGTATCTTGCCGTTCCAGGTTTGTGGACATTTGACGAGCACTTTGTACGCGGTGGCAGAGAAGGCTGCGGATCTGATTAAGGCTGATATGTAGGCAATCGCATTCAGAGAGGATTGAGTCCGCGCCAGGTCGGGGGAGAGAACAATGTAAAAGATCGTTTCGATTCTTGTATATATCATAAATTTCGAATGAGAACATGTTTTCAAGCTAATTTCTCGGATGAGAACATTCTGGATCCACCAGTGGTGATCCCGAAATTCCGAGTTCTCGCACGATGTGACTCGCTAAATTTCAGGGGCTCGCTAAATGCCGAGGCGTACGAGAACTCGCTATTTCACTTCAGCCTTACCGGCTCTGAATTCTGGAGCGGATAGCCCTGTGGGCATTGAGTGCTTATTGTAAGGTGACATCTCCTGTACAGCTGACTGACTCAATGTTATTGTTCGCAAAATTACATTCGCTGAATCTGAGTAGATTTCGCATCTACAGGGCGAACCACCGTACACCTAGGTAGCAACATTACAGCACCTTGGTAGTGTGACTACTACGCTGCTGCGTTATTAATGTTCTTCATTTCATACGACGATGCATCCTCCTCTCTTTTGTTCTCTGTGCTGTCGGAATTGGTATCCCGACCTGAGTCGGGGTCGGGGATTATCTCCGCTTAAGTCCAGTATCACCGTTCGAGACGATGGCGCAGATGAAAATGTCATCTCTACCTTCGCCTATCAATAAGCAAGGCGATATAACAAGAGGATCCAATATATCCATCTTCACATTATCAACAATGTAGCTCCTTGTCTAATCATAAGCTACCATCTACATCCGACCATCGGTTACTATCCTCTGGCTCCCCATCGCACATATTAAGTCTATTGCCATGACTGCAAAGCTCATTCTATGCACCGGTGCCAACCAAGGGTTGGGATTTGGTGTGCTCCAGGTCGCCGGTAACCGATTCCCTGAGTCCACATACATCCTCGGAAGCCGTGACTTAGAGAAGGGCAAAGAAGCAGCGGCGAAATTGAAGGAGTCCGGAATCACTGCTAAGATCGATGTCGTCCAACTTGATGTCACCAATGATACTCAGATCGCTAATGCTGTGGCCTTTGTGGAGAAAACATATGGCAAGCTTGATGGTATGCTTGTTCCAGCTAGCTATTTAAACCCGAGAAGGCTAAAGCCCTACGCTCTTACATTATTGCTGACATGTTCGCGCTGCAGTTCTTATCAATAATGCCGGTATCATTAAACGCGCTCCTCAAGGCGATCTCGCCGGCATCCGTATTACTTATAGCGAGATCTTGAACACGAACATAACATCAGTGGCCGTCATGACAGAGGCCTTCACTCCTCTACTATACAAGTCCAAAGACCCCAAAGTCATCAACGTCTCCTCAGGCCTAGGAAGTATCCAGAACTCGCTCACCAAAAAGATGGGCCGGTCTCCTCCATATGGCTCGAGCAAAATTGGGCTAAACGGCTTGACGGTTCACATGCAAGTTGCAGAGAATGATCGGATTGAAGCTGGCAACGACGACCCAGAGAAGCCGCTGATTCGCTTTTATGCTTGCGCTCCAGGCGTTCTGAAGACTTCCTTCACGAACTACATTGCTAGAGGCAGATCGCAGGAAGAGGGAGCTGAGGTTATCGTGCGATTATTGGCTGATGATGATTACACGTACAAGGGCGGATCGTACTGGGAGTTTGAAGGTGGAGAGATGAGGGAAGTGCCTTGGTAAAGATAATCGTGGAGGTACGTCCGCCATTATCTGAGCAATGTCATGTAGGAAGTTACTGCTTAGTTTATGTTCTGTAGTAGAAGGTTGAGCTGGCTGTAAAGTCAACCCCTCTCATGACTGTTTCTAGTTGTCCTTTGCACTTTGGCACTTTGGTAGTTTGTGACAAACTTAGCTCGCTGTCAAGGTGTGTCTCCTGTGCAAAAAGACCAATACTTATTGTCATGAAGTATTATGACTAGGGAAAGTACAGTATATGGTATGACTCTCCACACGATTTGTCATTACAACCTTCTAAAGGATTAAGGCACCTCGCTTAGCTCTCTTACCAAAAGGTGGAAGTTGTATAAATAGCTTGTTCCGTACTGTGACCAACCAATGGTATTCTTAGAGTGCATGGGTTATTAGTGCATTGAAATACCACCGAAATTGGACCAGTGAAAGCATTCTTTTTCTAGAGAAAATATAGAATCTAGCTTTAGCGGAAACTATTGTTGATGCGACACGATGTTTCATAAGTCACTCTGCCGCAAGCTAGCATAATATGAAAGAGAGCTACTCTAATTCTTTCAAAACATGGAATCATCTGGACTTGCTCGACTTTCGGGCCCAAATTTAGGGTAGCGCGCAGAGCCATCCACGTGACTGTCGATGACATACACGATTGCAAACTCGTTTGGCGTATAATTTCCATCAACTTCAACTTGCGCTCTCATCAAGTTCAACAACCGCGGAAAAGCAACAATGCATCCGGATATTGAGTAAAGCAATCCTTCCATATTAATCAAACAAACGATCTAACTTCTGTCGAAGACGGGCGATTATGGCACGGTGGGAAGAAGAAGAGGAGGAGCGCGAGCTTCAAGAGGCTATTCAACTCTCTCTGATGCAGGATGACGATTTAGAACCTTCTGTAATATTCGATGATACCCTCAAAGAGGTGGATTCGAGGATAAAACGCAAGGCTGAAGATGAGCTGAGCGCACAAAGCGCAAAACGCGCGCACCCCGCATTTAGCGCAACGAGCTTGCCTATCTCAACACCTTTAGGCCAACCGTCTAGACACTTGACATTGCGCACTTCAACATCATCAGATCGGTCATCTACCGAGATCCCCAAGAGAAGCGCCATGCCTCCAAGTCTGACATCTCCCACGAGAGTATCATGTGAGTATTCGCTAGATAATGCTGGCTCACTGAAACTAATAGGCATACGGTAGCCAACCCCTCTGCAGCTGCGTCTTCGGGAGTCTCAATCACTTATCCAAATGGTGCCATTCGCATCACTCGTACCCCAGGTAGACAGAAAAGTAAGAACTGCGTCAATCTCGAAGACGTAATTCACAAAGAGCATTTGGTTTCCGCCTGCGTATTCTCCTTCTTCATCAGCGATAGAGAGTTCCACACACATTTTCCTCTTTCAAATGTTTCTGATGCCATTCCGGTAAGAGACCTTTCCACTCTTAATATCTTCTGTACTGACCTCGCTACTCCAGATCTACATTGGGCGAGATCCAAATCAAGGTAAGAAAACTAGCCCCTTAATCATTCCTTTTAGTATTTCTCTTGTTTCCATTTTCTGAAATAGGCCTCCCGGAATCATACCTAGTTTGCTCGTTTTGTTTTTTTAGCAGCTACTGACTAGTCGGTATGCTAGATCCGATGGTCTATGAATCATGTATCCAAGCCGGAATATCTATCAAAGGCAAATTATCGAAGAACCAGCTGCAAAATATCCAGTCAGATCTCAGTCAGCTCTCCAAGAACGTGTATGGGAATAACTACCATGCTTTCTACAGGTTGTCTCCCGGCTCTTCACATTCCAAAATTCTTGTCCTCGTCTACCCCGATTTCCTGCGACTAGTCATCACTTCATGTAATATGATGAACATCGATACAGTTGGAGGTGACAATCATTGGTACATTCATGACATGCCAAAGCTCTCTTCGAGAGCCACCTCTAATATACCCTCTTTCGAAACCGATCTTATTGCACACCTGGAAGCCCTCAATACGCCTGATGATTTTCTCGACTCCATCCGTGGAAAATTTGACTATTCCTCGGTCAAGGTGCATCTTGTCACCTCGATTCCTGGTATCAAATCTGGCATCAACGCTGAAAAGCACGGTCTACTTCGTCTCAGACGTGTAGTTCAGGATCTTAATCTGAAACTGCCAGAAAAGGCGAAAGAAAAGTTGAGATTCGAAATTTGCACCGCAAGTATTGGCAACTTATCTGCGAAGTGGCTTGACAATTTCAACGATTGTGCTCTTGGAAAGGAAACAATCAAGGTCCCTACGGAAGGTTGTGCTGTCCCCAACTTGAAGCTGTTCTATCCGAGCATTGGGGACGTAAAGAAGGCGGATGAATCGGCACAGCATGCGGCTAGCAATATTGGTTGCCATACCCGTCCATGGGACAGTGCGCCAGAATGAATCAAGAACCTCTTCCACCACTACGAGTCGAAAGATAAGGGACGGCTGCTTCACCAAAAGCTCATTATGGCATACAATCCCCAAGACGCGAAGGCACCACCATATTATATCTATGTGGGGTCTGCAAATCTTTCCCAGTCTGCATGGGGTAGCCTCATTCAAGATAACAGAGGGAACGAGGCGACTTGCGATATGAAGCTTGACAAGATTACAAACTATGAATGTGGAGTCGTGATTCCTGGCGAGCTCATCGAAAGCCTACTAGAGCCGGGAACAGAGAGTTGGCAGGATGGAATCGTGCCCTACGTCCAGACCGGAGATAAATATAATTTGCATGAAGACAGGCCTTGGAATGGTACGTACTAAATCCTGGTTTCCGATTTTTTTCTCTCTTTATCTTATCCTTGCTGTCCTACTACATCTGTCGTCACAATAAGAAAGCTTCTTGAAACCCTGAATGCTTGTTCATCGATTTTCAAGACACCGTTGTTTCTTAAATTTTTATTAAGTGGATTGACTAATCAGGTTGACAGATCCAACATGGGTCGGGAAATAGGAAGAGCACCTGTGTATGAAAGCACTTCGACTCTATACTTGGAAGGGGACGATATCTATGCCAAGTAACTTATTGCAAGCACTGTACATGAAAACCCGGAACTTACGGCCCTGGAAGCAAGCATTTGGCGTGCAAAGAATCCACGAGATGAAGACAAGGCTCCATAGAACCTTTTTCAAGCGCAAGGATAAAGGATAGGTTAGTAATCAAGCCAGGCATAGAAGTAGGCTCGCCTTTTTGACGAAAAGAATTAAGTGAATCACGATCATCGTGTCTAGAGTCTTGAGAAGTTCGCATCGAAATCTATTTGCATTGTCTGTAATACATATTTTGGCGTCTATAGCAAACATCCCACAAGATAGAAAGTTTGATCTTACATCCAAATTAATGGTCCAAAATTCTAATATAGCATACACCAGCCCAAGAATCGAGACTATCAGTAACTTTTCCAACAAACACGAGCTCCATCCACCTCCAACACTCTGTGGCGTCGATCATGCTAAAATCAGACCCCAACAAGAACATGACGATGTGCTTGGAGCCAGGGATCCATTTCCAGTTGTTGGAGCCCAAAGTAGATAGATATCTACGAGGTATTGAATTGTTGAGACCAATACCCTTATGACATGATCTCTTCGTAGTCGGAGAAAGGTAGTGGAACAAATTTCGTGGATTCATTTCCCAATTGAAAAGAGCACCGCCGAATATTTGTTGACCCTACGACGCAATTTTGCTAGTCGTGCACCTGAGGTCTAGCATTCCGTATTGCCACACGGCTGTTGAGACCTCGAATCTGACGGGCAGCCACCTCAAAAGGCGTAATATTGATTTATGGGTCATTCAACCTTCAGAGTTTTCTGTGTTATTGCGGTCAAGATCGAGGTTCCGAACTGTGACAGTAACATGGTCCTTGTCACTTTGGTCGTTGCGGTCGTCATGCGAATCTTCCGTTTGCGGGCTGTATTGAATTCCATGATCGTTCTCTGGTGAATGGTCCTCGTTGGGAGAATGGAGAGTCATCGAGGAGTGTGTGGAGCCATGAGCGCGATCAGATGAACTGACATCGTCTTTTCCATCATCATAGTTTGAGCTTGACTCTGTCATACTCCTCTTCCCCGCCGTGATTCCTGGCCAAGCCAGGATTGGATGATCCAAGCGGCTAATGTCCAGACCGGCCATTGTTTCGTTTGATTTTGTAACCGGGATTCTGTCGGAACACCCAGACCAAGTTCCCAACCTTAACTCTTCTTGTGCAAGACGATGAAGTTGCAGGGTGCCATTGGTCGTCCATTCGAGGTAGGAGTATGAGTTATACTTTCGTCGTCTTTGTAAGCAGCCTAAGATGGGTTCAAGAGCGAGAGATGCGACGGTAATGATAGCGCCCGTGATATACGTGAACAAGAGACCGAATAAGCTGAAAGATGAATAATTGGAATTGCGAATTTTCTGCACACGTTGTCAGAGACCAGCTTCGGGCTGTAGAAGCAGCTGAGACGAAGAAACATACCTGGCTATTACACACTTTCCGTTCCTGCTCGTTCAAAGGAGGGTATTGATTTTGTACCAATCCAGGGTCTGTCGTTCCTATTGCTGTATTTACATACAGAGCTTGTATCGAAGCAAGGACTGTATTGAACCAATTCGTGACGTCAAGCTGCCATTGATTCTTGGGAAGTGGCCCTTGAAGGCCGCTAGTCAATAAAGATTGAGAAGCAAGTGACTGCGCTCCAAGTTGATTAAGCAACTCTCCAACATTGTTTTCGCCAAAGAGTTGCATCAAGGCAGGCCATATCAAGCGCGTTCCACTTGCCGTTGGAGATACCGGCCGCTCGGGGGCAAGATCTTCTTCTGTTAGATTAAAGAATGGTGCCGCGCCTAAGATAGAATCCAGTAAACCAGCTAGAGGTCCGCAACCTTCCTCTTTTGGATAAGCAGAGTTACACCATTGCCACTGCTCAACACATCCCATTGGACTTGCTGCTTCTGTAGGGATGTATGCTTCTACTATCCCTTCAGAAGACATATCAGCGGTATGGGCCAACTTCTGGCCAAAGGTAGTTGCTCTATACCAATCGTCGTCCATTGGTCCGTTGAAGAAGATACCATTGCCAGATAGAAAGATGACAGAAACATCTCCATCCGGTCGAAGGAGAGGCGTTGATGGTATAAATCCGCCAAGAGATGCCTGGGGAACTCCTTCCAAATTTATAGCCCGCAGAGTACTATCATAGATATGAGGTTAGCAAGGAACATGAGACGACAAGAACATGTAATGACAAGTCATCCAAGAGAAGAAAAAAAGCTGAAAACTTGCCTCAGCCTGTAATTACCGCCAAGCTGACCGGCAATTTGACCAGGTAGACCACCACCATTGAGCATATAGTATTGAGCACTGAGGTCCTCAATCTCATATGTGTAATTAGATGTTGTATTGCGCACGGCGTTAGCTGTCAGCCCTCCGTAATTGTATCTTGCCCAAGTCGTATTTCCTACTGTAACTTGCGACGTGTAACCTTCTGTGACGAGTGGAGCGCACTGCAGAACATATCTCCAGGCGAACCTCTCACTTTTTGGGGCGTTGAGTCCAAGGTTGTCATTGCTATCAATGAATCCAGTATCCAGGAGCAGATTTGCATCGTCAGTGCGACAGATCTCGCTTTCGAACGGACAGCTGTATGCCCCATTTGTAATTGATGTTGGCAGACTAGGCTCAATGAATCGATCACAACCAAGAATCCCAGAGCTATTTGCTGAGTAACATTGCTGTGCATAGTTGGCTGCGTCGTTAAGTTTCTCGTTCGCCACCGAAAAAGGCTTCGTTGTTGAACTGGTAAAGTTGACGGGAATATACGTAACACCACAATTGTTGCCAACAATCAAGACTTCATCTCCAGGAGAGGAGGATATTTGAGAAGAGAATGCACCAGCCACAGTGAAAGCGGATATACAGCAAATTGCGAAAGTTATGATAGGGAGCAAGCGGGAATAGTATCGTTTGGCCCTTTCAGAAACGCGTGTACCACGCCAAGCCCAGAGAAGGCTGAAGAGTGAGTAAAGTCCCGAGTCTGGAGAGAAGGAGTTGCGGAGAATGACCTGTCGCTGATGATGAAGGGCATCACGTGGTTCGGAGGTGGACAAGTACTGATGCAAGACCAGGCAGAAGATAGTCCAGAACCTAGAAGCAACGAAAGGAACCAGAAAACCAGTGAGTGCGATGAGCAGATTTCCATGATCTCGAGTCGTCGTCAGAGTTGCGCCCATAATCGTACCATTGGACCAATTTGTCCACACGCCAAGGTAGACATTATCCATGGTTGAAAATCAAGCGAGACTTATCAACTGTACTGTAGTATGATAGACGTGAAGATAGACTTGAAACGGTTCAATGGATCATGCTGGATTTATGATGTCCAGATGCATCCTCAACTCTGAAGCTTCCACTTATTTTTTTCTATTTCTTATATCTTACGGCATTCAATAGTCAAGCCAAGACCCTGCGGCCCGTAGTCAGCGGCGTCATGCAGCTTACTGCAGGGCTCCAGGAACTGGTCGTGGAGGCTTGCAATGTGGCCAGAGCGGCCAAGGTGCATATCACCTGCATTTCCCCCTGCATTTGCATCACTGATAAGAAACTCTATTGGGAAGAAGAGGTTGGGACAACTTTTTTGGGTAACCGTTCCCGCTTGCACTTGCGCGGGTATTCAGGCTCAATTGACTCGCTTGTCAGACTTCCAACTCAAATCAAAATAGGTTTACAGTGCGCGGCTACATGATCGATACCATAGGCCTTTAACACTTGCCGTGACTCGGTTCCTCCCGCCAAGATCCATCGTATCAATATCAAATGGTATCAATTCCCCACACACCCTCCGATAAGGTTATATTCATAGTCGGGAACCTCTGAAGCGTACTGACTTTAGCTCCATATGAGGGTAGGTCCATCAAAGCATGCCAGAAATCGTAGAGCGTCATGTCATCGCAACATTTCGAGTATAAGATCAATGACGACCAGTTCTGCCTATCTTTCAATTCTGGAGTGCTTAGAACTTTAGAACTTTGCGTGTGAGGGAAATTCACCGCTGAGGATCGTCTTGACTCAGCCACGCATTAGCGATGGAGGGGTATACCTCCACCTTATGTGATGGATACTTTCTTCTGGAACTCGTGCAAAGTATAATGGCGACCTATAATTGGCCTTACCAAAGTTGTATGAAACCCCGACAATCAGTCCGAAATGGGGTCTCTGCCGGCTTCGCCCCCATGCGGAGCACATGCAGGCCAGCGTCGTTGCTTTCCCAGAAAATCCTCTCCCGATCAGGATGCGATTCCGCGGCAGCTGCAAGCGGGGGAACTGTGAGGTGGGGCAGATGCAAGCGACCACCAACCACTTGGATGAACTTTCGCGCAACCACGGCAATTGATTCTTTGTACATCTTAGCAAAATTCCAAAAATACTTAGAGACTGGTTTGTGGAACCACCGCTATCTTCAACAATTAAGCGCTGTGTGTGACATTCTTTCATCTCTAGATTGCGCCAGCTATTTTTGTGCGATAATCTGAAATAGTATGATCGGATATTCAGCACAAACATGAACGTTCTCGAAGCGAGAGTTTTTCCGTTGCTAAAAAGCAAGGTGGCAATTGTGACCGGGGGCTCTCAAGGAATGGGAAAAGTCACAGCATCTATGTTCTTGAGAGCCGGCGCAAAAGTCGCCATTGGGGATGTGAAAGAAAAAGAAGGGAACGAAACCGTTGCCGAGCTATCCCGACATGGTGATGCCATTTTCGTCCGAACAGACATTTCCAAGTCCGAGGATGTTCAGAACCTTGTCGCTAAATCGGTAGCAGCTTTTGGAAAACTTGATGTTGCCATCAATAATGCTGCGCTCACACCAGACAGCACCAAGTTGATTGACTTCGACGAGAACTACTGGAGGAAGCTAGTGGATATCAATTTGACGGGAACTGCGCTGTGTTGTAAGTGGGAAATGCAACAAATGATCAAACAAGGCTCGAAAGGTTCTGTTGTCAACATTGCTTCCATCAATGCCTTTAAGCCGCATCCAAATATGCCGGCTTATACCGCAGCGAAGCATGCTCTTGTTGGCTTGACAAAACATGCTGCTATGGAAGGAGGCCCGAATGGTATTCGTGTCAACGCTATTGCTCCAGGTGCCATATTCGTAAGTGTATGATTGTTTCTGTGCTTCTCAATGGAGGCTGATTTCAGACAGAGTGATATGTCGGCAGCAGCATTGAAGATCATGGGCACTACCATGGAAGAGTTCGCGCCAACAGTGAGTTATCTGAATCGGTTTGGCATGGCACATGAAGTCGCTCAAGGCTCACTCTGGCTGGCTTCGGATTCTTCCTCCTATGTCACTGGGATTTGCTTGCCAATTGATGGTGGTTATTTAGCGAAGTGATCTCGGCTAGGATTGAATACAAATACTGTCAGACAATATCATTTGACTAGCAGTTCGTTACTTATTAGCAATTGGTGTACATCTAGGCTATCTAACCTGTTTTGGGACTCAGAAAATGTTACTCATAACTACTACCCACTTGCTCGTTGTTAATTGCACTTGTGGCTATAAAATGTCAAAATAATCTTGACAGCTAAGTCAGGCCATTGTTCCTCTATTCACTCTAACTTAAAAGTCCACAGTATTGGTCTAGTTCAATTGCCTCATTCAGCGATGTCAAGTCTTGTCCAAACCCCGTATCAGCAGCTCTCTCCTCATCTTGTCGTCTTAATGCAACACAGCTGACTTTAGGATTCTTGAGGTTGAAGGTACAGCCACAATAGACGTCAAAGTATTCCCGGGCCTCTCTTCATGCCAAGACGTGCTGTCGTAAGTTTAATGGCGTTAGGTCGTCGGGGAACAAAACTCAATGCATCGCTGCGGCTCTGGGTGTAACAGGTCGTTGGATGAGAATGGATTGAATTTGCACGAAGTGGCGTGAACCTGCCTCGTAAACCTGTAGGATGATGGCACATCTCCCGAACCGTACGCTTCTTCTTGTTCACCGGAAAGGTTGTATCACATCGCCTGGGGAGAGTGGGGCACATTCCCGGCACGGGAGGCACAGTGCATGCAGCGGGTTGGTTCCCGGCTTTCTACCACACACCCGCTGATTACTTCCAACAACGTCACCGAACCATACGTTCCGATCGCTCACAGGAAGCTGAAACTTGGGGTCGCAATGCCATGTGGTTTAAAGGCACGGCGAGGCACAGCTTATCTTCCTGCCGGCCTCCATTCATCTGTTATGGTTATCGACTAGGGAGGGACGGTGCGCATTCGTGATTTAATATCAACCCCCAAATCATGAATTGCGCAGCATCAGTTCCCGGTATCTTCGGAGTTCTCTTTAATCCAGTAGTTTGATGCTCACGAACAAAAATCCATCTACCCAGAACCACAACGATCAAGTCAATCACTACCTAGGTACACAGCCCAAGCTCTCGTCTCACTGCTCCTTTCTCCAACAAGAACACATGACTGCTTGGCGAACCAACTCAATTCAATATTAGTCCTCAAAGGTCTGAACTCACAACAAAGAAACTCCATGCCATGTTCTTCAACTTGAAGTGAAGATGATTTAGACCTACAGCGTAATAGATAGCTTCGAAGAATTTTACCTAGGTACTTTCGAAGGGGTGCGGGGTAATCTTTTCCCTGCTACCCCGCACCACCCAATATTCTGCGGACGACAATGTTGGAAAGTCATGATTACGTCTGAAGCATCGAGATCTTCTCTAAAGGACAGAGGAAAGTTTGTTACTTGGAACCTGCATCATGCAAATGCACTGAAGCGGGATTGGGTTTCAGCAAGTCAAGGTGAACTATGGGTTGGGAATCCGTTGAATCGCACCCGATCGCACGAAAAAATGGAAGAAAAGCTCATGACCAAAATTCATCGAGTTTCTATCTAGATAATCTTAGCTCTCTCTACTCTCTATAGCCGTTCATCTAGCTAGAATTTATCGTTTGCGACTTCACAAGTTCAAAATTCGTCCACCATCGTACTTCCTAAAGCTTCGCCTTGACGGCGTCCTTGTCGCCAACCTCCTCTTTCGCTTGCTCTCTCAAAAGTTTTCTTAAAATCTTGCCCGACTATTTCTCGTCAGTAGGAATACTTGACAGCTCAAAAGGTATGAGACTCACTGGATTCTTAGGGACATTCTCCACAAAAACAACCCCGCCGACAACTCTCTTGTGCTTACTCACTCGAGTCGCCAGCCATTCCGCAACCTCTTTTTCAGTCGTCTTCGACCCCTCTTTCCTAACAACATACGCTCTCGGAACCTCCTCTCCTTTGATCGTTACACCGACCACGCCTGCATCAGCAATATCAAGATGCTCCAGCAATACACCCTCGAGTTCGGCAGGAGCCACTTGCAGACCTTTGACTTTGATGAGCTCCTTCATTCTGTCGACGATGAAGAAATGTCCGTCTTTGTCGACGTATGCGATATCGCCAGTCTTCATCCATCGACCGTCTGGATCATCGACGAAAACTTCGCTGGTGGCATTTAGGTTTCGCCAGTAGCCTTTCATGACACTGTCTCTGGTGTTAGTTTGATGCTCATTCTTCAGGAACAAAACTGACTTCGGAGCTTGAACCCAGATTTCGCCTCTTTCTCCCCTTGGGACTTCATTCTTGCCATCAATGTCCATAATCTTGGCAGAGCAGTTGGCATTCAGTTCTCCGACCGAATCGTGGATACCTGGTAGGGTAGGATCCCAGCCCAGCAGTGAACAAGTAACTTCAGTCATTCCCCATCCTTGCTATTATGATATTAGCAGTGCACCAAGTAGAGAGAAGATCACGAACCCTAAGATATCGATCACGCGTGGGCCATAATGCTTCACACTCTTCAATTACATCACCACTGAGGGGAGCCGCACCCGAACCGATCTCTCTAACGGAGCTAAGATCGTATTCTTTAGTCAATGGCGATTTGGCCAAGGCCTAATGTCATCAGCATCTCGCAACCAAGTGAAGAGATCTAAACTTACTACCACCAGCGGAGGAACCATTGGAAGTCCAGTGACTCGGTACTTCTGGATTGCTTCAAGCCATTGAACGAAATCAAACTTCTTCATAATGTAAACAGGAATTTTTCTTTTTATGCTCCCGGCAATGAAAATGGTTTGGGCCATTGCATGATACATAGGCAGCGGACACAGCCAAACTCTGCTCAAGAGTTAGTGATTCTCAAACCCATTTCCAAGGATCAGCACTCACGCAGCTTTTGTCCTCTCCTCGTAGTCCGGGTACTGTTCGGCCAGGTATTGATACTGGATACAGTTACTGATGTAATTGTAGTGTGTAACCATTACACCTTTTGGTACACCAGTCGTCCCCGAGCTGTAATTCAGACACATAGTCTCATCCTTGGGATCGTTCACACTCGCCCACTTGAATCTCTTTCCTTCTTGCTCGCTGACCAAAAGGCTTGTCCAGTCCTTGACACCCAATCGTCCTTCCGTCTTCCCTTCAAAGAACCCATCATCGAAGCGGAAGACTTGCTCTTTACTCATACCCACGCTTTCCGCAGCGTTGATTCCGAGTTCGAGTCGTCCCTCAGCATCAGAACAAAGGAGGAATTTTGCCCCGCTATCTTTCAGCTGGTACGCCAACTCTCTCTCCACGAATCCTGGATTTGCGCCCGTGAATACACCACCCGCCATCACGATCCCTATAAACACCACTGGGAAGAGAACATTGTTGCCGGAAAACAACAAGACTCTATCTCCTCCTTGGAGTCCAGCTTTTCGTAACCCCGCCGCAAATCGGAGACAAAACAGCCGGAAGCTGTCGTAGGTCAAGAAATGCGTATCCGGTTTCTCAGCATCTAGAAACGCGTGTTTCTGTGGTAGGGGAGAGGTTTCGGACTTGAAGAGGTGAGATTGGAGAGATTCCACGGGAAGGGGAATGGTCCAGCGAGAGTGGATTGGCATTACGAGAGCTGTCAATGCACAAATGCGGCGATCTTTGCTGCTTCTTTCTTTGCCCAGATTTGAGCGTGTACGAGTCAACTCACACTGGTGGGTATGTAGGCGTGTGCGAGATTCTGGGGACTTTGCAAACTATTTACAAGAAAAGATCAATGAAAGTCGAAGAGAGAAGATGGGGAAGAGCTCAAAGTTTTGGGTTCATTGGCGGGAGGACCGCGGCGCGGAACTGTGTTTCCTGGTTGAGTGTGGGGTAGTAGTGCACGGGCGGCAAACCACGGCGAGTAGCCGAGGCCATTGGATTTTGTGCCGCTGAAGAATGAATGTCCTTGGCATCATTAGATAACGATGCCATTATCAGCGAACAATAATTATATGTAGGTAGTCTTGGAGTTGTGACATTCATGCGAGAAGCGTAGAACTCAAGGAGACAATTCACTTGAATTGAGTGTGACACGTGACCTTGTTCTAAAAAGAAAGAGCCGGACAGCAATAGATAGCTGTTGGTGGGAGACACTCGGATCTATATATATATGGCATGGCTAACCATCAAATCTATAAAGTTAAACAGGCTCGACAGTCACTGTGAGAAAGGTGCAAGATCAGGCGACACGCCCCACTTCGCCCCCTATGCCACTCGCTTAGCTGGCTAATCAAAGCCCCACGAGTCGTTGGCCACAGCTGATTTTATGGAGTGCTTTACATCGACAGGATGACTTCCACTCTGGTTCGACTTCCTGGCCATCGGGAAACACAATATGGGCACGGCGTAACACAACGTTACACGTGGAACGAGTCGACTTCGACTTCGGGATCGATCGTATCACAACCTCATATATCACAACTCGATCGCGTCAGTATATAAGATGAACTGAGCTCTCAACTCTTCGCTCGTCGGTATCGCTCCATTTCCAATCCACCACCATGCAATTACCAACCCCAAATACGAGAATGAACGACGGTGTTTCCGAAGCTCCACCTCCGAAGACAATCAATCCAATCCCACATCTGAAATACATCTTCTCACTGCGTTGTAAAATCGACCCAGCGATGAATGTCGGCGAAGGTCCTTATGGATTTCGTGCTCACGTTCCGATCACTGGCGGCACTTTCTCTGGACGATTTGGGATGAACGGGAAAGTTCTGAATGGGGGTGCTGATGATATGTAAGCTATATATTTTTCAAAGTCCTACTCGCATAATGTTAGAGCTGATTTTTTGTTCTCGCAGGATTGTGGTGGACGAAATTAGGACAAGAATTGACACCCGATATATGCTCGAGACCGATGATGGCGCATTGATCTATATCCGGCACGTACAAACTTCACACATCATACCACAAAAACCTAACATACTGACCAACATTTTAGTACAAGAGGAGGAAGAGCAGGAACGCCAGAGATGGTAGCTCGTCTTGAAGCAGGAGAGAAGCAGAAAAAAGAGGATTGGAAATCGTGCCTTTCAGTGATCCTTGAGACTGGGCATGAGAAGTATCGATGGCTGAATGATCATACTATCGTTGCTCATGTGGATAAGATTGATGGCGACATCTGCTATGATGCTTATCTGATTGACGCATACTAGATGCAGTCCTAGAAATACAAATCACTCTTTGCCGACTCATTCCAGCTCCGCGTGGGACGAAAGTTCATGAGCTTTGAAAGCTGCACCTTTGTCTGGTTCGCTCTCCGGACCTTCTTGTCATGCTTTGAGGATGCTCTGCATGGCATCCTTGGCATCTGGCATGAAACTAGATCCTATATATGGCATGACTTGCTCTAGAAATTGATAGGGTAGAACTTTAACATAACTTGAAAAATAACGGGATCAACAGCGATCTTGCTTCTACACAATCCAAGTCGGGAACTATCCTAACTATAATCAATCCTTACGGCGCACAGCATTTGAATTGGAACTGATTGCAATGAGATTCATTAATTGTTCAAATCAACGGCCCAACTCCCTCGAACATCCCCTCAAATGCCCAATCGAAATAGCACCACGAAACGCAAGCAAAGCTTCGCTAATCTTCGTTCAACGCCAATTACACATGAGTGGCCCGAGCACCGTTATATCCTGGTGCATTACCATCAACATATCCATCACGTCCATCATTTTGTGCTGCTTCGTGCTTCGTAACATGATCGTTCCTGTGAGTACGGCGATGATCCTTGACGCCATGGAACGCAGCTGTAGCAGCATGCAAGAGACTACACGAATAGATCAGCAAACCATAGGAAGAATCCACACAATAGAAATACTTACGTGCTAAGAATAGCCAAGATGAAAGTTCCCCACGGCAATCTGCAATTGACATCATTCGAAGTATAATGAGTCAAGAGATGATTCGCATTGGCGTTGCTGGTACAAGGTCCACTGGATCCATGACGTTTCGGGCTGGTCAAGACAGCGACGGCGATGAAGGCGCCAACGAACAAGAGGTCGAAGATGATGAGTAGGATGCGAAGCATGTTGCCACCGCCGGCTCTGAGACCACAGGTGAGGGCCGTAGCAATCAAGGTGTATAGCACGGCTGCGGCGAGGATGCCTTCGACAGCGCCGTTGGAGTGGGAGGCTTTGTGGACGAGGCGGAGGATCTTGGCTAGACGGACGGAGAAGAGGATGAGGGAGGTGAAGGCGGAGAGGAATTGGAGGGCTCGGAGGAGGTGTTGAATGAGAGAGTGGCTTCTGGTTGTTCGTGCAGGTCCTGAGACTGTCCCAGCCCCATTATGGGTGGAGGTGTTTTTGTTGCGGCTGAACATGTTGTAATATCGGAGCGGTTGAGAATGGTCGATTTAGAAAGATTTGATGGATTGAAGAGGATATTCGAATGGGGAGAATCGCTTCTTTATGAACACAATGAGGAAGGTAGCCAGCTCGCGTTCATACAGAGCTTCAGCCACAAACTTGGAAGTGAACTTTCGAGCGTTGCGGTCGTCATCTCGAAAACTACCTACGTAGGACATTTTCTTCCGCAACCTTTCTGCACAGATACATGTCAAATGACGGCCAGCGTTCCACAAACGGCGAAGATGAAAGGCAGATCTCAGCCACACCTGTCGTTCAAATACAGTGTGACCCATCCTCGTCTGCCAACTTTTGCCACAAGTGTGGCGCGAGCTACCCTTGCGACTTGGTGCTTAGATTATCTTATTGGCTTGCGAGGCTTGATTGACAGGCAGAGCTATTGAAAAGTATCACTGGCAGTTGAGCTAGGTCGTGCAAAGAGAATCTAGATTCCGAAAATTTGGGCGATCTTTTCTTAACTTTCTGTCGTCACTGGCCGCTAGTCACTTCCAAGGTTTTCTTGAAAGAATATCCATATGTAGTGGACGGTGAGATATGTGATTCTTGGAATTCCTGTTATGGACGAGGTTACATTGTCTGAAACTTAATTCACTTTATCCGGGCGATCGTGAGGAGACATCAACTGTGACAGCATGAGGGAAGTTTCACTTCACGTGCTTTCAGGGGTCGCGGGATCATCACGTGCTTCGTTAGGCTTGTGCGACCTTTGTTTGTCGCACAAGCAAACATTCGAAAAGATGATTCGTAATTTTGCCGTTGTTCTTCGAGAGTTTGTCATTCGTCCCATCTTGAGTCAAATCTCGTTCTGCTCATCAAAACCACTCTAGACGTTCTCTCCTCACGGTTTAGAAGAAAGCCCAAGTTGATCATGGCGAATCAAAACCCCCTGGAAATTGCCAGCGGTCTCGGTAAGTGTTACCATGCGTGAGTCGAGTCGAGGGGTTTGTGCCGGATGCTGACATCAACATAAGGCACGCTCAACACACTCCCCCCCGAATTGCGAACACACATTTGGAATTTCGTTCTGTGCTTCAACGATTCGTCCGCCTTCAAATATCCACGAAGGATCCCAAGCTACCGCACAGCTTTACTACAGACTTCCAAACCTATCCATGCCGAAACGAAGAATATCCTCTGGCGGATCAACGACTTCGAGCTATTGCTCTATGACGAAGATACTGCAGATGCAGATGCAAATGCAACATGGGTTGTGATTTGGAAGCTCAAGTATGCCGACTTGGACAGCGAAGCCGGGCTTGTGGCGGAACTCGACGTTGGAGCTGCTTTCATCCACGGAATGGAGTTAATAACCCACGAATTATGAAACGTTCACGTGGTTATAGGGGCCGATATAGGCTTATACCCTGGTGTCTACGAGTACGATTGTGAACACGAGTGGTACAAGTCCGTGAAGGGGGTCGCTGGAGAGCTCTTTAGTTATTTTCTCGCACATTGCAGATTTGACAACTTCAAAGTAGAGATTAGGAGCGTCGAGGACCAGCCAGGGAGTATAATGAGATTGGTCGACATAGTCCGGGAGTTTTGTGGAGTCAAGAAGAAAGCAGAGGCGGATGTATATGGGGTGAATGAGGATGGAGAAGTTACCTGGAGACTCAAATATCCATGGAGAAGTGCGATGGCGATGGATATGCGACTAACAAGACGCGCAGAATCGTTCTTCTGGGATGGGGTCATGGGAAGAAACGATGAAGATTATTTTGAGCGCATCACACCTGTGGAGGAAGACGATGAGTAGGACAGAGAAGAGGACAACTTTGAAGATGACAGCTCGAGAGATGATATCCTGGAAGATGATCTGAGTGAGTCGATCGCAGGGTAGATGGTGGAGATTGGCACTCAATGGTTGACAGGTGGAAAAATGCCCTTTCTCTTTCATAGTTCTCTGGTGCAGTAATGATAAATCTCTTATATTTGATGTTTGACCGAGCTGGAGTTTCATGTCACACACTTTGTCGCGAAATCTGGGGGAAATAATTTAATTAGTGCGCGTGTACTCTCTTCTTGCCTTACTTTGATGTGTCGTTGTTACCAGCGCGTCTTTTCTTCTACATATCAAAGTTTGCTCAAGTAAGGTTACAGTCTGTCAAGACACCTTGCATGGTTTATGGCAGGAATTCTTCGGGGAATGAGTCTGCTATTTCTCCTGCAGATGGAAGGCAGCACCCACCAAATCTATTCCCAAACGATCGTCGTCCCATAAATCTCATTCAATTTCGTCCACGTGACAAACACAGTCTTCCCACTCTCATCCCACTCTGGATGCCCATTAACTGCATACCTGAACTCGCCAGCAACAGGTTTTCCTCCTTCAGGCTGCGTACTTGCCACAATCACATCACCATGCTTATCCCATGGTCCCTCCAGCTTGTCAGCTGTCATTACATACACATCTGAATACCCCCAACTATTGCCGTATAAAAACATCCACTTGTTGAAATAGTTACTCCAAAATGGAGCAGATCGATCCATTGCCAGGTAGGGAAAGATAGCTTGCTCGTTTGTGATCTTTGCAGTTCCTCCCTGGCCGTGGGTCGTGAGACGTTGTGGAGACCACACTCTCTTGTCTTCATGCCAGTATTGATAAGCACTGATGTCGAATGCTCGAGTAATCGGCGCTCTGCATAGATATGTTCGTCTGATAAGTTGTTCATCGTCCTGTTGCGGACCTTTGCCAAAAGCATATACAAAACCGTCTCGGGTATCGTAGGCGATACCTACATCTCCATAACAAGCCTCTTCCTTTGTCCACAGAGTTTCCATCTCTCGCTTGCACTTGGGAACGTGGCCTTCCATGGTGACGGAAGCAACGCCAGCACCCTTGATGATGTTCTTCCCAGATGGTCGATGGATCTTGAGGAAGAAGAGAAGACCTTGATTTGGAGCATATTCGATGACATTTGAGCCACCAAAAGCATACTTGGTAAGCCCTCCATCCTTCTCTTCGTGCGGGAGACAAGGGATGAAGTTCGCAACGAATTCATTGTTGTCCCAAAGTGCAGTGTCAGTTGCACACATCCGATCAGACAGGTGCCCAATGGAAGTACTGTCCGTGGCACAAATGCTGGCCTTGGATCCTCTTCCTCCAGCTCCCATCAAGGTGTCACCCCAACCCCATACAATCTTGCCATCGAGGACGCCCGAATTACCCACGTCTCGTGATACAATATGCTCGTGACCGTTGGGATGAAAGAAACGCATTTTCCCATGATGCTGTGTTGATGCGACCTTTGGTGGTAGTTGTCCCGGTCCTGGTTCTTGTTGACCAGGCTGTGGGTAGATTATTTTTCGATTTGGTTTTGAGTCGTAGTTGATTGGTGGCGGGCCATGAGACGTATTCCCTTGAGCTGGATTGGTCCCGGAGCTTGGTTTGGAGCCATCAAGCTTGTCGGTGAACTTCGAGAATGCTTTGCGCATGGCTACCTGGTCTTGACAACGCGCTTCAAATGCACAGTATTCGGATCAACAATGCAGTGTTTGACTTTTGCAGGGAAAATTTTATTGATGTCTTTTAAATCGGTTCCAAAGAGGATTACTTATCACATCGAAATAGAGAAAAGTCTCGAAAGCCCTCGAAAGTCTTGCTTCCCATATATGAAGAAAGTAGAAGACGCTTTTGAGTTACCGACTATGTTGATTTTGGCTTGTGATTCTGGCGATTTGACGTCATTCTTAGTATAAATCTCTATAAAAAGAGGAGAAGACCTCGGCAAAGATAAAGAAGCCTCAATGGCAGTTCTGAGGTTGAGAATTGTTAACTACAAGTACCGATGCAGTTGTTCGTATGCCCTCGACTGATAAGTACGGTACACACGGGGACTAAATGCTTTGGGTGCCTTCATTTGCCCCTTGGAATTGGAATCTCGGCACGGACTGACCTCATTTGGCGTTTCAGTTTCCTTTTCAACATGTTTATGAATTGTAATGATTATGCAAAGAGACAGCAAAGTCTCCATTCTTTCGAAATAAGTTAGAGTACCAGAGCATTTCTGTGAAGAGGAGAAGCTCTTGCTTACTCATCAGTAACGTGGGGTGTTGACATCACGTGGTGCATCGGAGAAGTTAGATACCTATGCATTGCATAGGTTGAGCACATATCTCGGAGAACATCTTTACATGCTTAGTCCTTAAGAGGACTTTGTCTAAATAGAATCACTCACTCGAAGTCCACCTGCAATTCAGGACCAACACCGATCACATGACAACTATGGTCCAAAAATAGCTACCTAGTAGGCAGCATCCTTCAAGATGACTTCCCCAATGTTTCGACGACATCACTTGCCAACAAACGCATGGAACAACGATATCTGTCCTTAACACACAAATTGGAGATACGGACAAAACACTGCGACCATTTGAGCAGTCCGATACCTGGTGATACTGCTTCCGCTGCTGAAAAAGTCGCCGATACAGAGAAGACATGAGGCCAGATCCGGACTCGCACAGTACCACTCGCTCTTTCACCCGCTTTTCTCTACTTCCTCACGACTTACGTGTCGATATCTGGAAAATCGTTACAGTGCAACCTCGGAACCTTGACATCTGGCCTCTCCGGGTGGGGACCTTCAATTATGATCGAGAAATAGAGGGGCAAGCTAGATATGCGACATGGCGATATTTCACAACGCAGCCGATTCCGGCAGTTCTTCACACGACACGAGAATCAAGAGAGATTGGCTTGAAACATTACTCCCTTAATTTTAGATCCTCAAGCCTTCAAGATGAGCGTTACGGACTCAAGGTCACCATACCTCCAAGCATCTATTTCAACGTGAGATATGATCGCGTTTTCCTGATGGGCGGCGTCAATTCAGACGATGGTGGAGGGGTTGGTTGGAGTTCTACAGTAGCAGAGACCCTGAAAAGACGCGACCGTGAATTTGCTCAGCAGGTTTTTAATATTCCTGGCATCACGGTTGCCACAGACGTCAGCACTTTCTACCTGGGTGCTCTGCGTGGGATATCCTCAGAGCTTATCTTGCAGAAGCTGGACAAACAGAAAGAAGTCCTTTTCTTCTCCTGCGTTCGTGATGTCATCGATGAAGTCCACGCCTCATCTCATCCTGCTGTCCTCGATTGTGTCGAGCTTGAGGACAGTGCCATAGGCGGGGATCTAACACTTCTGAGCGTTTTGAAAGAAAGGCTCCCTGAATTTCTGGACGAGGAAAGACAAAGATGTTCCACCATTGCCGGGATCGGAGACGGCCAAACAGATTCACAGCCCTGGGTTGGGCCAAGCGTCAAGTGGGTGACTCTGATGGTCAACGGAGCAAAGGTTGGACTACAGTAGCATGTTCAGCAACATGCAGAACTTCCATCTGACTTGTTTTGAAACCCAAAACCTGGAAGGTTCGCATACACCCGCAATCTCGTCAGCTATTTTTCTGGAACCTCATATTTTGTGACGGATTTCATGTTACTTTGCAGAGCAGTCGGTTGAGGACGGGTTGACGAGAACTGTTTTCGTTTGACGATATGCAGTCACCTCCCGCTCAGCACCCGAGACATGACACAGATACGCCTAGAACCAGCTACAAAGCGCACCCCAAGTGATAGAGTGGAGCATCTCATATCTTTGTCACTTGTCACTCAACGACTATTGTGGGCTCCTGTGCTCGGCATGTGACGTGAAGTTCTTCCGGTCCAACCGTTGGTTGTCCTACAAACGGAAATAGGTCATGAGCCTGTGATGAGATTTCGGCTGCTTACTTGTTCATTGCAACTTGAACGGGTCCTGGAGTTGTGCTGATCCGGGTCATTCGAAATTAGGTGCGCCGTTTCATCTTGTGTTATTGTGCACATTTCGGCTGTAACCATATACAGCATTCAAGAGCAGGTTTATGCGGCTCGACGCATGTGCGACTCTCAAGTATGCCTAGTGCCCTTGATCCTATTCCATCACTGCCGTCGACTGAGCCCCAGGAAACGTCGGACATGTCACACCGCCTTCAAACCCGTTTGACTTTGATCCCCAAGAACTTCAGTGCCCTCCCCTGATATTCGCTCAAAACACGCCAGGTATTCTCGTCAATACTGGAATTTGATCAATGCCTGGGTAAGCTCACCGACGCTATCTCCACAACTTGTATCTCGAGCTTGGCTTTAACAAAAGGTATCAAGGTCGATGGAGAGAAGTCTTGGACAAAGCGTTGAGGCTCGACGATATCATTCACTCGGAGCCGCGACTTTTGAACCAGCACAATTCAAAGAACTCGCCGTTGAGTTTTTCGACAGGAGCGGAGAGGCGAAGAGGCTGTGGCCTAATCGAAACAAGAGAGGGTGGCTCGAATGGTCGAAGGACAGAGAAAGGTATGAGTACAGGCTCAATCAGAACAACATGGCTGACCTCAACAGGATCCTAAACCTTCTGACCCGCATCATATCTTGGCACGCAAACATGTCGTTTCCCAGACCAGAGCCAGACTTGGTGCGTTTGTCTATTGAGTTATCTGGACACTCTTCATTTCTATAGATGGAATGATTTGCCTTGCTCTTAGAGATATTCAACATCTTGTTCTGATCCAGTACTGATGTAAAACAGTACCGGCGACCTGGAGAAAGAGATTCAATGGGACGCAGCGCTCCCTCCAGCGGAAGGAACGAGTATCAGCAATCCTCTACAATCTCGAACCAACCAAGCTCAAATATTGTCGTTCAGCACCCCAACGACTTATCAGTTGAAATAAAGTAAGTGTAGTAACCTAGATACATGAAATCCATGTTCACTGATGTTGCATAGGTATTCCTTCGTATTGCATATCAGAGACATTGGAGGCGTAGAACCTCCAGAAGAGCTTGCGAAGCTGACTAACAAATGGGTGTTGGACCAGAAACTAGAATGGCCTCGACCAGCCGACGATCGGCTCTGTAGATGGATGCACCACCAAGACTTTTATGATCCCGAACTACCGAGCTGGGAATGGAAAAAGACGGCTCAAGCCGTTATCTCTGGTACCACGATCAGCTGGGAGGATCAGGTGCTTCAGAATACGATGCGGACCAAGCTTAAAATACGAATGAAGTCTTTCCAAGATCTCTTCATAGACAAAAATATGATTGAGAGGAGAGGCGGTCGATTTTGCAAGCGGCCTGAGTTTGCAGAGAGCTGGAACTCCCGAATTCACATATGGTCAACATTATCGTCGGAGGCAGCCGTAGAGGAGCATACATCTGAGAAACAATCTCAGGGCAACGAGACGACCCTCGCAGTGGATGTTCAGTTTGGTACCAGAACTTCTACAGCATCCACAGAGAGCGATGTCGATTTGGAGGTACCATTACCAGCCTCTTTACTACCAAGGGCGCAGCATGTTAATGAAATTGAGCAGAGCCCCACAACATCTCACCATTCCAGCTACAGACCACCATCCCAGAGTGAAGAAACCGACGACGATAGCACACAAGACTACGCTAAGAGACAGAAGGTGTCTACCACCAAATATTTCCAGCAGAAGTCCAAAACTCAGGTAATGAACACCCTCCTCAGACACTACAACAACCAGATGCTACGGAGCATTCAGTTGGCAAGGAATTACGTCAAACGTGTTCTTGCGAATACAAGTTGACACTTCATGCTCCTAGATCTCACCTCCCTCTCAGAATGGCAGAAGAGCAGCATCGGTAACTTCTGATCAACGAAAAAGGGCCTCCAATAATATCCCACCTTTGGCGCCAAGCAGAACGCCAGAGTGCCCGACAGTTGAAAGAACGGCGAACACACCTCTGGTCTCTCCATTTACATCTCCCAATCAACCACGCAGGGTGCGAGAACCTGCCTGGAAAGTTTCAAAGCCAATGCCTAAGAAAATCGTCAAAAAGGTCACCGTCGCTATATTCATCAAGACCGCGGATGGAGAGTACGACCTCGAGAAGCCGCTCCCTGCCTCCCTCCTTTCGAAATCAACCATGGAGCAATTCTTTGACATATTCTCCGAGAGGTCAGGCATACCCGCAGAGTGTCTGCAAGAACTGCTTTTCATACATAGAATCCAAGGTCGTCAGACATATCGCATCTCTCGAACTAGTGATGAGGAGACTTGGGAGGGGCTCAAAACACGCCTCCGCACGCTCGTCAGGGTGACGACATTGGATAATGAGGATAAGACATACTTCGAGATTTTGATCAGTGCTACAAAGGAGGAAGTGGATACCGAAAAGGTGGACTTCGACGGTTTGGAAGAGTTGAATACTTAATGGATTAGTCTTGCTGACTAGATAGTCAAACCTTATTCTATCCTGGCTTCTCCGCGTTTCCCTTTTGATATCTTCTTCTACTTTGATCAACCATCACAAGCACAGCAATGTTTCGGACATTGTGTTATTGATTTGCTCCTTCCAAAATCTTTCTTTTGTTCTCCCTGCGTATATCAGATCTCCAGCAGCATTCGTATGCCATCCTCAGCAAGAGCCTCGCCAACTTACCAGTGTTCAATCTATCGCTCGACTTTCTCTAGCAACAATCACCTCAGGAGACATGAGCGGATTCGTACGCTGACCTCTTCCGACACGGACTCAAATTTCAATGCTGATAAATGCTTCCAGACGACGGTCAGCTGACAACCTCGTGCCTCTTTTGCAATCGTGGGCTTTTCAGAGGGCAAGTACGATCATTTAATTTTGCAGATCGTTGCTAAGGAATCAGGGATGCGGCTCGCCGGCATGCAAAATCATGTCCCTTTAGAAACAGTCGTCCTCTCCCCAGTCCGAAGCCATCGGGGAGGAAGAAACAAGCATGCGATCATTGTGCACGTGCGAAGATGGGGTGTGACCAAGCGCATCCAAATTGTCCAATTCTACAACAACCTACTTTCGACGCCGATACTGTTTCACTTCCTCTCTTGCTCTCAGTCTTCCTCATTGGTGCGACGTACTCTTCTCCTCGGGACAGGGCAAGCATGGCTCGTCAATGCTATGATGTCGCTGAGGCGTATGTCTTTGGCACCATGATTTTCTGGAGGTATTCCAAGCTCATTCAAGAACCTCGACAGCTGTTGAGGCACTCCAGGCAGCGTTTCTGGTGGCTGTCATGCAGAACTGGACGGACTCTACGGTCCCTCGCAGACGAATGCCTACACAGCGATATTCCGGCCTTGTGTCAGCTGCACGAATATTGAATCTACCTTCGGGGACCAATGAATGGACTAGGAAGAAAAGGTGCGATTTTTCGGTTTTCGACTGGCTCTCATACATTCATGCTGAGATGATAGTTCGGTCGGTGCCGCCCGGCTATAGTGTAGACCAATATGACTTCGTCGGCTTCAACCATGATCAAGTATGTTTTTACAGCCATAAATAGGGTCTACGTGGACCATTCTAAGAAAATTGATGTAGCCTTTCAACCCCTAGTTCTGTTTTCGCTGCAGCAATTGACAGCTTCCGTGGTAGCTTAAGCAAGAGCGACGAAGAACATTTTCAGCCGTTCGACACGCCAGATGCTATGATTGAAAATCTCCGTGATCGCTTGTCACAAGCCACAAAAAATGATCGAGGAAAAACCTCTCGCCTTTTAACCGCCTGCACCAAGGTAGATACCTTCTGCAAGAGTCTGGAGCCATATTTTGAGGCAGTAAGCATACTAGTCTCAAGCCATCCAGAATGGGCCGCTATTGCTTGGGGTGTTATTCGGCTAGTGTTTATTGTACGAAATTGCCTTTCGTTCGTTTACAAAAGTTTGCTGACTCCTGGTAGCTTAGTAGCAATTTTGTTACTTTCTTTGAAAAACTGGCAGATATGCTTGAAAGAATAAATCTGAAACTCCGACTTTGGGAAGCACAAGTGAATGTCCTCAGACTACGTCTCACCGAGAAACGAAGCCAAGAAGACAATGCCAAGTGGCAGAGCTCCCTCCACTGTCTTTCCAAGTCTATGTCATACGTATACGCGGATATTATCCAATTTTGCAGTGATGGGTGTCGACTACTTCCTAAAGCAGGGATGAGTGAGTTAGTTCACATAGCTTTTGATATTTGTGAGAGATAGGACTGACTTTTCCTTCTTCTTGCAATCTAGAAATTCGACAGAAAGCAGGGATCGTGAGGGACTTGCTTTGGACACCATTTGATACTCGATTTTCCAAAACTCTTGCGAGACTGGAAGAACATAGTACTCTCGTACATTTGGCCCTACAGTCGGTTCTCTCGGAGCAATTGATTCAGAATTGCCGAAGTGTAGACTTGGAGATTCAAAAAAACTCAAATTTCCGGCAGGGTTTTGATGTGGAACGAGGCCAAAAAAAGATGGATGCGTTGAGTTAGTGATCTGGAACTCCTTATATTTAACATTGCTAATAAATATGGGCAACAGAAAATAAAGTGGCAATTCTAAGAAGTTGGATTGGTGCTCCTGAGTGGGCGGAAGCTTATGATGCTGCAGAGAGAAGACGTCTGGAGCACACCGGCAACTGGATTTTTGACCAAGTAGGGTATAAATCCTGGCTTGCATCACCATCTGTGGCGCGCACAAGTTGTTCTTCGTCATTTTCTTCAAGATTTCTTTTGCTTTCTGGTGAGTGAACGTCAACATCTACTCGGGAGGCACGTTAAAAGTTCTAACTCTGATGGTCTATTAGCGAAGCCTGGTTACGGGAAAACGATACTTTCCATTAACATTATCGAGAACTTGAGAACCGAAATCGCCAAAAATTCCAGCAACTCAAAGAAAGGCATTGTTGCATATTTTCATTTCGAAAAGCTTCAAGTAAAATCACGCAAAAGCAATGCGGCTCTCCGTTCGGTGCTGACCCAGCTGCTTCAAGCCGGCCAAACTGACACCGATTTCGTCGACGTCGCATCTATTCTATACAATAATGGTGAAGGTCAATGCAAGTCGAGCGAGAAGGAGGTCAAAGCAATACTTGAAATCTTTTTTCGACAAATGCCCCCATCATACCTTGTCTTTGACGCCCTAGACGAATGTGAAGACTGGGAAGACTTCGTGGAGTCTCTCGCCGAGCTTACTATGGAGACTCAGCACAAGATAGTGCTCCTTGCGCGTCCACATATAGACGTTCAAAATACCATCAGTCAGTGTGTACATCATGTTGCGCTTGAGGCTGAAAGGAACGTGGACGATATTGAAAGCTACTTGAAATCTCGAATCGAGAAACTGGTGAGCAAAGGTGCAATCCCCGCAACTTTCTCGGTGGATGCTATTGTCTCCCAGCTCTCGCGGCGGACAAATTCCATGTTTCTCTGGGCGGTGCTTATGGCCAATTATCTATCATCGCCGTATCTCACACCTATAGAGCGCTCCACTGCGATACATCAATTGAACCGTTTCGAAGGACTCGATGCTATCTACGCCAGGATCTTGGAGGAACTCGAACATCGAATCCCATACGCGTATCAGACTAAAGTAAAACATATTTTTGAATGGCTTTCAGTTGCCAAGTCGCCATGGACAACTGAGGTACTCAGAACCGCCCTTGCGGTACAACCTGATCGTCCCCTCTCTGAGCACGACTATATCCAGAATTTTGAAGCAGCGCTGCTGCAAATGTGCGGCTCGCTAATTGAAGTTCGAAATAACGGCACCGTGGACTTCATCCATCTATCTGTTCTGGAATTCCTCCAAGAAACACATAACGGAAACACAAAAAATCGAGTGCCTACTCCATTTCGTGTCCGGAATGGAGATGCAGAATCTTCGATGGCAAATCTGTGTTTATCGTATATGATCAATGACGTTCCTCATCGCCCTCTCGCAGGATCTTACGCTATTACCCCTAGCAGAGATATAGTTGCTTCAAGGCTACCTGTACTGGAGTATGCAGCTACGAGCTGGACAGCACACGCCGGCAAATGTCTACTCGCTTTTGATATGCAAGATATTTACGAGAAGCTATGTGCCTCTATCTACAATTTCATTACAACGCAGAGCCTTGTTTCGGTTTGGATCGAAGCTTCTTGGCTCTTCGGTAATGCCCCAAACGTCGACGCTCTCATGCCAGGAATAGTTCCAGGTGCACATTCTTCTGGATTGTCGCTAGTAGACAATCATCTTATGTTCCGGAATACAGTTTCTCAGTTTGCCGAAACATTGGCGCGGATACATCACCACTGGAATCATATTTTGGCAACAGAACCGAATGAGATCTGGGGACCTAGCATACAAGCATGGTCGAATCCAGCATTTGTGGCTGAAAACAACTCTGCAAATATTGTATCACTGAGCTCCGATCACAACTCAGACGCTATTCTAATAGCAACACAAGTATCTCATGGAAGCACCGAAATTGGGTTGATGAAAGTAAAACCTCCTAGGTACAAGATTAGTATAGCCCCGTTTTGAAGTGCATCAAAGCTGACTTCACAAGGACATTTGGCAATATACCGCGATCTACGCTCACGAATAGCACAATGGACGAAGACTGCAACTCGCTCAATTTTATAGCTATTTATGAAATACTGTCGTTAGAGACCCGCCAGGTGAAATTTCGAATTCAGTTCGAGGTGCCAACCTGGCAGATTTCGAGAGGAGTTGTGCATCCTGGATGTTTTGATGATGAAAGCACTTTCCAGCTGCCCGTTAAGTTCTCCCCGTCTTTACGCAGCATAGTTGTTGTTGATACTATTGTCAAAATTGTCGATTCTCTGGAAAATAGCCAGGAAGTAGAGACGCACTCCCAGACTCTAATGACACCCGCATGTCAACACACTTCAACTGCCAGATTAAGTACCAGAATCGAGAATGGACAGCAACGAGATTCAAAACAGTCCAAGGTCGGACATCAAAGACACAGTCTCGCGGACCATCGTTGCTATAGTTGGTTCCGATATGCTTGGTCCCGGGATGAACATTATCTAGCTATCCTTGAGGGTGATGGTTTCGGAATAACCAGTTCTTGGGTTCTAACTGTTTACGAGAATTCCAACGGATTATCCTCGGAGCCAGGTTTCAGCATCATCCAAAGCATTCGACTTCAATTCAGCCCTTTTGTGTTGGGTAACTGGACACAATTTTCACACGAAGATTATGTTTCCTTTCACCCACATGAACCAATCATTGCATTTTGCCCATTCTCAATTGTTGCTCTATGGAGGTTCAAAGAGACACGTAAGAGATCCAGTGCTTCTTCATTAGGATCATGCTAAATCTTTCCAGGTAGCAAGCTTATTGAATTGTCCCCTGTGCCTCTTCGCAAGTTAACATTCTCAACTTGCGGCCGATTCCTGTATGGAGTCAAGGATGCAACAGGAACACCAATAATACTTAATGTTCCGCTAGAGAACCACTCACCCTTTAGTATTGTATCCGCCAAAGATATATCGTCTCTCTCTAACCCAAGACCGGAATCTGGTCAGACAAGCAATGAAACAGGCTCCCATCCTGCTAAGTTTCTAGGATTGTCCCAGGGACTTCGGAGTACTGATCTGAATAAGCTGGATTTGACAGACTCCCAGGACCAAGTGTATATCACTTCATTGGAACAACATCACCAAGCAGGAGCAATTACATTTCAAAGGTTAGCTGGTGGAAGTCTTATGACGGCAACGCTGGCACGAACTCCGAAGTCAAACACTTTACAGAAAAGTTACTGCACCCTGGTCGAATCTCCTGATGATAGTACCATTCGTTTCGCAATGAACATGGCTGCTCAATCGACATACCATGCAAAGTCGAAACCGGACGTTGCTCTTCCTCTTATCATTGATCAGCAAAGGGACGCTATTGTCGTTAATGTACAATCCCTTACTCACAGAATTAGCGACAAAAATAGGAAGCGTCCGTTCGAAGATGGGGATCAGGGTTCAGCGCCAAGGGCAGGGAATCATTTACGAGACGCTGTTATTTCAAGTGACCTAAGGGACGACATATCGGGGGCTGTGAATAATGAAATGAAGAGGAATAGGAGGAAATGAGAGCACGAGGACGTACTGTAAGCTGAAGCACCCTTGATCACATACGTGATTTCCGTGCTCTACAATAGTGGGACTCTGCTTCCAGCGAATCAATAGGGAAATGAATGTCACTGATCATCTTTTCAAACATCGCATTCGGAATTCTGCATAGAGATAGGCAAGCTGGTGCCATTCCCTCTTGGCCGCTGCAAGGGTAGTTTTACACAGGCTTCGGCTCCGATATTTACGATATAATATCGTTGAATATTGAATAAATATCGGGCAAGGTCTTATTCGCCTCGAATATTATTCAAGTGATTTGGCATCATTCGAATGAATATTCGGAAATATCGTACACGTGACCGTAAAATAGTTGTTCCAGAGCCGTAGCCAATAGAACCCTTGCTATGGATAGTCGGATTCAATCGGGCAAATGGTCGGATCTGGCCGGCTGACATGCTAGCCTCAGGCTTTAAGAGTTGAGCCGCAATGTGGCTCAAAGCTGACTAATATTACTTGAGCTGAATGGAACGCCACTTATTTGACCGAGTAATGCCTTAAAATTTAGGAATCGAAGAAATATATCCTCAAAAACAAGGCTTTCAGTACTAATTTTAATATATCGAGCTTTTAATTTCCCATTCCCGATATATGCGATATATTCGATTATTCATTCAACATCGTACTTCCTAATTTGGACGATACGATATTTTTTATTCATTCAACGGATTCGATATCGGCACGATATTATCGAATAATTTAATATCGGCGCCGAAGCCTGGGTTTACAACAAAATCACGACAACCATACAATTGGGTAGGACACCCAGATATACGCAAGCGAGAATTTGAGATAGTTAAGAATGAGCGTTGTAGATAAACTTTGTGTTATTTTGTACTATGTTATTTGAAATTAAGTGGCAGCAGTCGGAAGCCATAGGGTTCAAGAATATTGTATCGTTGCCAGTTGGAAATCACACACCTCCGCTTCCTTCCTTCGCCTCAATAGGCATGGTTTCTTTCTTTCAACAATTATAAGCCCTATTTTCTACTGGACTGCTTGTACTTCAGATAACCTCAGACACCTTCAGACAATTTTCAATATAATCATTTTCCCCTTGAATATGGACACGTGCTTAGGTAGCCTCGTATACATACACATAGTGACCTCCCACTCACATCGTCCCACAATTTCTGAAATAATATCATCTTATGCCCTAGTTCTTACGGAAGCCCCGGTGCTACTTGCTGCTTTGGGGCAATCAAGTGTCTTACTGCAGATACCCGAGATTTTTGTGCCTGACTCGAATCACATTCCATAGGCTGAGTCGGCCGACAACAGTCTTCAGCCACAACACAAATTTACGGCACCCTTCATTACGTTTTGCCTCACACTATATCTCTACCCTAACCCCTGCAACACAGCGTACATAGTGTACACGGTATTAAAATGCTAAATGCGAGTCCTTACCGCCGCATCTCGCATCTTTTCTTTTTGAAATTCGATTCCATTTATTTCGAAGCTCTCGCTTAACCTATCTCGTTGCCTTCTGCTTCTCTATTTCTTCGACAGAAAACTTCTATTCTGTAAGCTCTTCATCAATATTATCTCTTTTCTCCGGTTACACTCTGATGCAGTCTATCCACTGATCATGAAAAAGAGCTCACTGGCTTCTAAATATCACTTTGCACACAATATTTGACGACATGCAGTCGAACATTGCACGTCCTTCTCAGTCGGGAAGCGAAAGACGGTCAGTCACCATTATCGTAGCAGCTTCACAGTCCATGGGTATGAGCTTCAAAAGAAGATTGCCCTGGCCCAGGTTGCAACGCGAAAATGCTTACTTCCATAACACAACGAAGCGAGTTCCAACGGAAGGTACCCTGAACGCCGTAATCTTTGGCTACAACACTTGGGACAAGACACCGACGAAGTACTACCTAGGTAGAATCAACGTTGTTATCACCAAGGACCCCGAAGAAGCTCTGCAGCGGTTGAGCAGTGAGTATAGAAATGATTTTGTTCACGTTGCAACGGACATCAATACCGCAGTTGAGTTACTTGAGAGGACATATCCGTACCCAGACAATGGGTTCGTGTCTTGCAACAAGGTCACCATTCCGAATGATGGCGAGGCGGACGGACACGTTGGTGCTGAGACTAGGGTCGGTACTCCATACCTTGGAAGAATTTTCGTCATTGGGGGAGCAGGACTGTGTCGAGAAGCTTTAAGCTATTCATGGGTCGATCGCCTGCTTCTAACGAGAGTGATTTGTGATTTCAAAGCTGACACCTTCTTTCCTCTGGTTTTGGGTGGCAGAGGTAATGAAGAGTGGCGTCGGCAAGATGACCAGGCCTTTCAAAACTGGGGAGGTGATGAGGTCCCCATTGGTGTGCAATTCGAGAATGGGCTTGAGTGGCAAACATTTATGTTCGAACGGGCCTGACTTTGGGCATATACTTGTATTGAGGCTCAATGTCGAATCTATTAATGTTGTATGGTTTTGAATATCATACCTCTACCTCTAGGAACAACTGACCAGCCTTAATGTCATGAATTCCGCTCGTACAACATACGATTGAGATGTGTTATCTCGCTCTCAACAAAGAAAGAAATTCCTTCCTCAGATCAGCCTCATGGTTGAAAGACCCCAGCATGCACCTTGTCGTCGTCGATGAATTCGTCTTCTGAACTCCTCTCATAATCATACAAAGATGACTCGACTCCATAACAACAGCTACTCCATGTGGCTTCAGCACTTCCTCGATTGCTAATGCAACCTGCCTTGTCAAACGCTCTTGAACCTGCAACCTGCGAGCGAAAACCTCCACAATTCTTGCAATCTTCGAAAGCCCAATAACCCGTCCGTCGGGAAGATATCCAACATGTATCTGCTTGATGTCAATACGCATTATCCTGACATTGAACACCAATAATTCTCCATACCTTCCCCATAAATGGCACCAGGTGGTGCTCGCAAAGACTGAAGACTTCAATATCCTTCACAATTACCATATCACTACCTTCATCTACGTGGAAAATGGCATTGTTGATCACATTAGCAACCTTCATGTGATATCCTTCGGTGAAAGAGAGAAGTGCTTTGGCATAACGCTGAGGAGTATCCAATAGTCCCTCACGTGTTGGATCTTCACCGAGGCAGCTGATCATTATTTTGATAGCAGCTGTCAAGGTATGGAGCTTTTGGGCTTATGATCTTGTCAACCATAGGTAACTTAGAGCATGGGAGTCATTGAGCGCTTACCTTCTGTCTGCTCATCACGATCAGATTCAACGTTCCGAGCATGCTGCGTCGCAACCCAGGAGAGTTCCGGGATTTCACTAGTTGATTTTGCTACTTCTTCATCTGTTCCCTTGTAAGTGAACCAACATCGATTTCAATGAGATCGAAACTCACCATCGTCAGATGTAGGTGGTGATACATCGCGGAGCAATGATTCTTGGCTATATCCGCTGGTTGATGGAGTCGAGGTAGGACTTGGCGTACATATGGAACGTGCGTCAACAGTCATGCTTCCAGGGGGCATCCTGTTCAACTTGTATGAAAGTTCTATGTTTGTCTCACCAAATCAAGTAATGAAGAATTGGATAGGGAAGTTAAGTGGCCTTGTATCCCTCACTTTATACACTTGGTGAGGTTGATTGGATAATCTTGCGTCCACTCCACAGTGGAGCGGTTCTGTGTTATTGCTGCTGCCGACTGTTTAAAGTAGTTACAACAGGTTTTGCGCGGAGAATTGGATTTCATGCAGAGCAGTGACTCCATTGGGAGGTGCTGCGCCCCACACTGTGCATCATTCTTGGTTGCACATTTTAATAAGCCCGTTCCACTTTAGTCCAGAACTTCCAAATGGTGAGATATCAATGAGATTGTGCAATGTTTACGGTTACTCTGTCTCGGAAGCCAGAAATTCTGTTAGGCCTGGATACAAGGTTTATCATCTGCTAGAACTCTAGATTCCCAAGGGATCCACAACAGCTTCTGCAACATGCGATGCTTGTCCCACACCGAGCTGAACATGGTTGAGCATTTGCCAAGCCTATGAGTCGAGGTTGAAATATTGGTCGAGACTGAGGCTACATCTTCCTAGCGAACATTTGGTAATTGACCCTAAACATCAGCACTCGACGGAATCGGTGATAATGTGGCACAGTGGCGGCCGCCAGGCTTACGTGCGACAATAAATAGACCACGAGATGGAGGTGAAGATATAAGCGAGATTTTCGTGCGGCATTTGTCATTCACAGTTCAAAAATAAACCTTCGCAATAGCACGATTCAAGGTTATCCAAGCACTGTCCTTCAAAAATTATGTTCATCTTTCCGCGGACTTCCTCCGCTGCAGCACTCATTGAGATATACCCTCGAAAGGATGAAAAGTCGTCTGCCCTCGGGGCAGTTGGCAATAATATGTATGATACTTCAACCAAGCCGATCATGAATGCTGATAGTTATAGGTATCTCTCGATTCGGTGTGCCTTTAATGCTGAATTCATTTCCAGTGTATCTTGTACGCGATCACCTCTCTCCGACATCTTCTCGATTTCGAATATCTGACTGAAGGTTGTTCATTCAGCCGGGGCTTCTTTCTAGTCTCGATATTGCGGCAGACTTAGTGCCATACTACGTTGGAATATGTTCCTCTATTTGGTCGATCACTACCTGCATAACTTCACCATTTTGGGGCAGATGCTCCGACTCATATGGGCGAAAGCCGGCTATTCTACTGTCGAACATTCTGTTTCTTTTCAGTGTGCTGCTGTTTGGGTTTGCGGGGAAGTTATGGCTGATTCTGGCGGTAATGGGGTTTCTGGGGTTCGCTGGTGGAATGACTCCTGTCCTCCAGTAAGAATATCCTCCAAAGACTAATGTTGCACACACCTTTGCTGAGAGATTTGTTCGAACGAAGCACTACAGTTGCTGAGCTCGTTACACAGAAGGAACTGCAGCCTATGGCGTTCAGCCTCATACCGTAAGGGCTGTCTTTCCATTTAAATTTTTTTTTAATTTTGCTACTGAGATTTACTCATATTCTTCCAGACTCATGTGGACAATAGCCAGTATGGTTGGTCCACTGGTTGGAGGTTTCTTGGCAGATCCCACCGCCAGATACCCTTCGATATTTGGGGAGAATCAATTCTTCATGAAGTTTCCGTACAGCTTACTAAATATCGTCGTCGCAATACCATTCTTTATCGGATGTGTCGTGGGCTTTTTGTTCCTCAAGGTATGTTATTTGAATCGAATGAAGCTTGTCGGGGAAGCGACTGACATCTGCACAGGAAACTTTGGAAGGAAAGCAAGGTATCGATCGAGGACTTCGAATTGGGCGAGCCGTTCGACGATTCCTCTCGTCTTTCACAACGCCAAACACTTTCGAAGATCGTGAAGACTATGCCAAATATCAAATGATAGACTCTCACAGTCTCGATGACGTCAATGAAGGTCTAGAGGATAACGCCCGCCAAGAAGAATTCAAAGTATCCACCCGAAACTCTCGAACATGGTTCAGTTCTGTCCAACAATCACTGCCGAACCTTTTCCTTTTGGAAATATTCACACAGCAATCCGTTCTATCGCTGATATACATCTGTTTCCTCCAAACTCACAGCAAGCTATTTGACGAATTCCTTCCGACGTACATGCAGGCCGTACCGTCCCCAACTGAGCCAACTCCGCCAACGTATCAGAGCTCAGCTTTAGTAGACTTCACTATATTCCCGGGTGGTTTATCATTCACATCGCATACGGCAGCACTATACCTCACCGCTTATGGTCTTTCAGCTATCCTGATTCAACTCCTAATCTTCCCTCGCTTAGCCCCTTCTCTCGGCCCAATTCGCTGCCTTCGGATCGCATCGAGCGTTTACCCATTCGTCTACTTTTTGACTCCTTATCTATCGGTTCTGTCGGAAACGCCTGTTCTGCGAGGTATCTGTACCGTAGTGCTTCTTGCGATGAAAGCGGGATGTGGTATCTTTGCTTTCCCTTCCTCAAGGATCTTGCTTTGCAACTCGGCGACCAAAGGAGGATTGGGGACTCTTAATGGCATAAGCTCAAGTAGCCAGCAATTGATGCGAGCCATTGTTGCTGTTGGTGTTGGAAAACTATTCAGCTTAGGGTTGCAGAACGGCATCATTGTGTTGCCGTGGTGGACATTGAGTTTTGTAAGCATGGGAGGACTGGGAACTGTAGTATGGCTGAGAGATGAGCGCGAAGGAGGAGGTAGCATAGGGAGTGAAGAGAGAACATCGGGATCATAGGAGACTTTGGAGTACTGTACAAATGCGTATGAGATTATACGCTAGCATTGCTCGCGAGTTTGTGGAACAATATGAGTGAGGTGAGACTAAAGCCTGAGCTAAGATCGGTAGAATATCGTGGCATGTAGTAGTGTAAGCACCACATGGGTTCTTTTCTACTACGAAGGATTTGCTTTACTTGTTACATTGCTCCGCAAGCTTTGGAACAATGTTACATAATATTTATGTCCTAATCTTTTGGTATTCTCTGCTCCGGTAAATGTTTTTCTATCGTATTGCTTTCGATGAGTGATCTGGTATTTTATCTCAGAACGTAAGAGTCCAATGTGATAGAGCTCGTCCTCATGTATCAATGATTCAGTATCTACGGAGGCTCGTTAGTTTCCGTAAACAATCTTCAACCCTATCGTGTGTGCTCTAATAACTTACCAAGCTGAAAGGTACGGCGCCTATCCTATTTCTCTTCATGAGGATAATCGCATACAACGATATTCCTCTGCCTTCTCCCAAGAGACTAATCCTTTCATAGCGGTGCCTCATGTAAATACTGGGCCCTGACCCTCCAATTCTTTTCGCCATTTTTGTAGCCTGATCGGGTGATTCTCCAAACTCTTGTATAAACACAGCCCTGAGCCACTCTTGGCATTGTGTAGGTGTCCACTTCCACTTTGGAGTGTCGCCAGCTTTGATACCTGTAAGAGGAAAGTCTGACATGGTATTTAAAACTGGGTTGGTATCGATCTTCTCCTCGTAACCGGGAAGGTCGCTGTGAGCTTTGTTGTGTTTGCTTTCGCGGCTTCTGAATAGTTCCTGGAGTTTCATGTTGCTCGATGTTATCGGTCGATTTTTGCTTCGAGGATGTTTTTTCGGAGTCTGTTTTGCAAAATGTCGAGAAGTTGTAGTTATCTAAAAAGAGGTCTTGGAATGGTGGGGGCTTTTATGTGGCATTATTTTTCTTAAATTTGCTGTGATATCATGTGAGAGTCCGGTCTACAATTGCCGGGCCAGTGAAAAGCTACCACTGGATGGCTCAAATTTAGTGCACTTTGTTTTCGGCCCATGGAATGACATAATCAGACTCCGATCAACCCCTTGTTAGAGAAGTCAGCAGACCAGTAAATAATTTCGTAAACTCGAAAAATATCAGTCATTATTCCATTCAATCCTTTCACTCCTAAACTTCGATATGTCGCGAACCCTTCGCACGCCTTTCGCTTTACTCAAGCTATACGATTTCCTCGCTAGAGGCGCCAAAGCACATGTCTATATAATTAATTCGACCGTTGTTTTAAAGGTTCCTATTCGCTACAACAATCCTGACACGACTAATATCGCGGATTATGCTACCGGAATTGAATTAATTAAACGCGAAAAAGCCATTTACGAAGTGTTTAATAAGCGCAAATCTAAGCACCCTAATCTTTTTTGTTGTATATTTGCTATTCGGGAAGGTATATTTCTGGAACACTTTATAATAATATTTGAGTTTCGAAATAAAAACCGGGAGAAAGAGCTAGTTAGAGAGAGCACCGTGATCCGTTGGACATTACAACTCATCAGCGCAGAAATTTATTTAGAAGAGCTTGGATTTATTTATGGCGATTTACGGCCTGTAAACATCCTGTTTACGAAAGAAGATGATATCAAGCTTTGCGATTTCGGCGATACTATTAGACTTGGTGAGTGGCTTCGAACTGCAACCCCAGGATTTTCTCAAGTTTCCGACCTAAAGACCTTCCGGCCGTGTATAACTAGTTGTGGTAGCGAGTAGTTACCTATTAGTTCTTGTATTTTCGCTATTAAAATAGGAATTAAGCCGCTTTAGGACGCAGAAAATCAAGTGCAAAAGTTCTTCTAGAACGATTTTCTATCCACACACGGTATAATTTTTGGCGAAGTTATCTAGAATTGCTGGAGAAAGAGATATAGCTTAATTGTTGAGTTCGACTATATTATTACTATAAACTTGAGTATTGGTTTCAAAATTGCACCAGTCACGGATAGTCACGAGTTAGAACTCCGACTCAAAGAGTGTCAGGAATTCTTGCAGAATAACGCAAATATAGATTATAGTGATGAGATTTAAATGCTTTGTTCGTTATAAAATTGGGTCACGTTCCGCGCTGACTAACCAAGCCGAACATAGCCTAGTGTAGCCTTATATTTCGTGGGATTATAATGACTGCATATTTTTGTCAATCTCCCTAACAATGAGCCCTTGTATCTTCTCCTGCGTTCTTTGCGGATACGTAATCTGTGACTATGAGAACCCAACGTCTTGGTTGAAACAATTTCGTATTCGTGAGTGCTGGTGGCTGTCGTTCTGCCGTGGGAATGCTAATTTGAGATCAATAGTCTACTCCAGTCGAGAGCGCATCGCGATCACAGGAGTTGGCCTTTACAATGACCCTGACGGCGGCGATTGGATAGCCCCCTTAAACTTCGCCGCACGCTGGGACGACGCGGGATACAACTCCCCAACTCATGACCAGATTGGAGTGATTCGACAGCACCCAGTTAACGATCGATACGGCTTTCCCTTTCATGAAGCTTGCTGGTCACTTCTGGAGAAAGCCCATTCCCCCGAGTCAATCCCCTGTAAGGCTCTCTTTGAAGTTTGCCGGTCGCTACCATTTCCATCGGAAGGGACTGGCCTCAGCTGGGGCCACGATTTCGAGGGGTTAGTCCTCGTGGATAACCAAGACCGCTATTCTTGGGAGGATCGCTTCGTGGACCGAAGCGGTGACTGGGCGCTATTCCTGGGTGCAAGGAACGATCCCTACCATGTCCCGGAGATCCAGCAACTCCCCGATGAATATTTCCAAGCTCCGCCGGCTATAAGCTCCTTTAGACCGGTAACAACGGTGGTTGATTGTTTTGCAGCGCTTCCTGAGGAGATTCGTATTGCGATTGCATCTAACTTGCCAACAGTGGATGCTCTGAACACTCGTCGAGCTTCGAGATCGTTTCTGTCTATCTTCTACAACCAACAATTTTGGGCCTCCAGATTTAGGGCCAACGCTGACCGTTCTTGGCTTTTCGAGTCACAGGAGTGGGGTAATGCACATGAATGGAGATGGTTGTATCGTCTTACAAATAAGAGTCACCGCACTCGAGGGATGCAAAATCGAGAAAGGGTCTGGAAATTGATCCAACGCGTCCGGGGAACACTACCTTTGCGATGGATCGAACCATCTGTACTCCCTTCTCCTAGTCCTATTCCAGCCAGTTTAAGATGGCTAGAGGCAACTGGCGATTTACGGCTCGAGGAACGCACCAGGCCGTATCACGGCTTTAACGAAGGCTGTCGTCTGTTCTACGAGCAACAAACATCCATTCCTACTTTACTTTCTCAGATTGCATTCTCTGTCATTCGGCTTGGAGATGCTGAATACATTACCGGAATGAGGCTTATCCCCAGCCAAGGAGAAGTCATACAATTGGGATACAGGACGGAAGGGAGAGAGCGCTTTCTGGATATTAAATTCCTAGCGGGGTTCAACTTTGGCCGTAAGATCAAGAGGCATACAAGGTATCCAATGCATTGCCGACGACAGGCAAACGTCACAATGGTTTGGATGTCCGTATGGGGCTCTGAGAACGAGGCGTCTCGCGGTTTCTGGCCCTATAACAGCTATCAAAGCTGGGTTCGACGTAAGCAGACTATGACTTATTTTCTCCTTGCCTCCTTTTCATGTTGCTCTGAGCCCCGCTGATACAACCTTATATGGATGTAAGATGGTTAGCTTGGCGGTTGCAGAGTGCGTCCTACTTGCTACCGAGAAGGCGATCGAAGAAAGCAAATCACTTCGAGATTCCGCATTTTGGTATCCTGAAATTCCAGGGATTGGTTTGTACCTAAACGATAATTGTTTCGTAGCACGAGACTCTTCAACAGCCAGGTATCAGCCGCTGTGCTGGACTATGTTTGGAGGACTCGGAGGTATATATCTCCGCCATTTAACCGGGATTTCTGTCACCTGCTTAGGCACACTACGTGGCATCGAGTTCCACTATAATACTGAGGACGTCCCAATCGAATGCCGCAAGCTGGGGCGGTACAGATCTTCCAAATACGCCAAGGTCATACACTTTTCCATTGATGGTCCTGCTGGAGAAGTCATCGACGCCATTGAGGTATATCTCAGGTACTTCGTCGGCGAAAATGTGCTTTGGTTCTACAAACACGGGGCATTGGAATCATTCAAGGTAAGTCATTCACATCTCTGGAATGTTTTCAGTGCCGCCAAGAACACTTCAACTAACATGCAGTCTTGGATTAATATCTCAGATTTCTACGAATCGTGGGAGATCTTGCCACTTCAGACAGGAAGAGTCTGCTATGACAGACAACTTTGTGGAAAAGCCTATAATGATTGCTCCGGGGACCACCATTAACTGGTTTTATTGGAGTCAGGTATGTGAATAATCTGTGGAGTAAATTGAGAATGATAATAACCAGCAAGCACTTTAGCATGAAAATAGCCTTACTGCTGTAGGGGCGATCTTGGAGGTGATTGGAGAGGAGCATAGGGGAGCATCACTAGCTAAATAGGGTACGGAGCAATTACGGAGGCGGGGGAAGAGGTGCAATCATGCGAGCAGCGACAGTAGAGCAACATACTTCAACGGAAATGGGTTATTATTTGCGGTCACGAGCAAGATTCATGCAGTTGTTACACTTTTGCTCGCATTAATCTTGCAGCAATTGGCGAGAAGCAACACATCTTTAGTAAATTCCTCTGGTCTGCTGTTTACGTTTTGGTATTGTTCTACCCATTGCCATGATTTGCCGTCCTAGTACTTTCTAGCATAATATTCCACGTCCCAACATAAGCCTCAGACAACGTCTGAACGGTGAAAAAGACTATCCAACCGGCATGTTTTTCTTGGAAGGCTCCCCATCCCGAAAGAGACTAGCGCGCGTCTCTTACCCTTAAACAATACACAACCACTAGAGTAGGCGGCCAAGGCATGACATCATTCCTTCATACGACCATACGCCTCATTCTTCAAGGACCTCGTCGACTTGCTTTACTCGGATCCCGTTCTTTTCACATTGGAGCTGAAGTGAGAATGTAGCAATAAAACTGAATATTTTGGCATTCAGTCGTCTTCTGCGGTTTTCGACAGTAGCGAGGTTGGTTAGGGGTAACCTACGCGGTTGAGCGCGCCTGAGGATATGCGGTATATCTCAATGGTGCACATACAACACACAAGCATGAGTCTCCAAGGTTGTGTAGTTGTTAAGTTCTCTATTATATCAGACAACAAGGAGTTGTATTTGAGACTGACCAAAATTAATGCGAAATAACACTAAAACGAGATCTAGTAGTAACACCTCCCCGATACTCAATCCATCCCTCATAGGACAATCCCGTTCCCACACAGCTGGGCTGGATGATGACCCTACAGAACAACACAAACTCCGCTTACTCAGCTCCGTCAAACCCACTATGCCAAACCCACTCAGTCCCACCCCAATACTTGAGCATTTTGGCATCTTCATCCCATACCCAGGCTGGTGCCTGTGGGGGAGCAGGCATTTGACCTCCTGAATTTGCTTGAGTATTGGACATACCGGTACCCAAATTTGACTGCGTCAACGCGACAAGTTCGCAAAGAACGGCATCAATTGTTTCTTCGTCTTGCTTGAAATGTAAGGAAGTTCCATCGTGGCCGGAATAGTCACGCAATTGACCCTCACCGGGTTTAAGTTCGTAGAATCGCGAAAAGTGCCCGACAGTGACAATTCCATACATACTCTCATTTGGGTTTGGGTTGGCAGCCCGCGCGGTCGCCATATACCCAGTGAGTTGTTCGAGTGCGTCCCCCCATTTGGTGTTGGAGCTTTCGTACTTAACACGCTTGTCCTCGATGAGGCAGACCTTTTTTGGCTGACCGTTCTTGACGTATCGAATGGCAAAATCGGCCCGTGTCGCCAAGTGATTTGCTCATGTGAACTCATGGAAGTTATACAGGCTTGTCTTCATCTTCTCAGTTGTCCGACATTTGTTGGAACTTTCAAAGTCAAATTTATCCAAGCGTGTCTGTTACCTTGCAACTTACAAGTAGTGTCTCATATCGCTAATCTCATTCGCTTTTTGGGCGCTAGTCGCATGTTAAAAACTTGCACTGTATAAAAATCCGATCTTGGACTTTTCCTGAGCTCCTTATCATCTTCCTACAACCACGAATCGCAACCACCTCAAGATCACATCCACATCAACTTCTACACCAACATAAACATCAAGCCCTACAACGTCTCCTCACAAGATCAGCAACTCAAAGACACATTCCAAAATGCAGATCCCAAACAGACTCACCAAAGGCGCAAAAGTCGCAAACAGTGCAATCCCTTCCGGATCGTCTTCTTCTGTTGTCCCTGAGAAGCGCAACAAAGCCCCGAAGCCAAAGTCTATTCAGATCAAGTTCGTTCGTCTGCGATCGGCCACAGCTGACGTTACCATCTTGGCCTCTGGAGCCACATTCAACCATGTCAAGCTCACGAACTCCACTTACGCTGATGGTACAAACCAACAAGTAGCATCATACCCATTCCAAACCAATGGCTATGATTTCGCCCGCCACTTCGCCGATCGCATGTCGACTCCAGATCGAGTGAACTTCTTATCGAAGCACTGGATCGAGATAGTCGTCGTCGTTGGGTCAAATCCTTCCGCCCTTCTTGCGCAAATGTACAAACTCGGCCCAGACTTCGCCCACCACGTCAAGAATCTCGACGTCAAGATTCAACTTCCGCCGTTGTCTCAGATCAACACACCTCTGAACCTCATCTCTGCTTCTCCAGGATACAAGCTCGTCGAAGAGATCGCCGCTGAAGTGGACACATACACAGCCTTGTTGAAGTTGAACGTTGTCCTTTCGATGCCTCATACGTTTGCGAGAGGTATGCATGACTCTCAACTGAGTCATGTGCTGCCTTTCTATCAAGTGGCGTTCACGAAGTGGACTTTTAAGTACCAGACGCCCGGCATGCGCTTCCCGGATATTAGTCCAAAGGGCGACTTGGAACGTCTGGGTCAACTCAACGACAAGGCTACGCTGGGTAATCAGGATGGTCAGGATGAGATGTGAGATGCTGTGGTCCGGCACTGAATATCGGAGTGCAAAAGGGTATGGGAAACAGCAGTCATGAAGCAGGGATTCACGGGGAGGACGATACTTTGAGGGTCTCGGCTTTTGGTGCTGGCAGTACTTCATGATGGTGGTATAAACCGTTCTTTCGATTTCTTGCTTTTGTTATTTTGTATAGTGCATGGTCGGATGGGGGGTCTGCACGCGTTTGACTTCTTGACCGTGAACGTCTTGCGAGCAATAGTGCCTAAGTATTCACTAGATTATAGTGGCCTATGATAGAGGCGAGCCAAAAGAGTCAAAAAATGAACCTCATCTCTCTAGTCATTTAATATCATGTGAGATTAGACCAGCATCCTCCTTGCTCGTTCATCAAGATAAGACTTCACCTTCTGCCATTCACATAATGTTCAAAGCGCTGATAGTAATCATTGGGATAAGTGAGACATTATCAAGCGACTATATACATCTATGTACACTCTGGCATTCCTTTCAAAGCGCTAGATCATTGACTATAGGGGCTCCTTTTCCGAATACCCGGCCCATATTTGTAGAATATCCAAGGAATCGGTACCATCAGCACGCAAACAAAAGCTAGAAGCAATGTAGCCCATTTGACCCCTAACGCTTCGTACATCTGTACGGTAAACAACGGAAAACTGGCACCCATTGTATACCGCAGCAGACCATTGGCAGCCATTGCAGATGCGCCACTCAGGGGACCATAGACATCTAGCATATAGAGCGCTGCTGAGATGAAAACGGTTACATTTCCAAAGGCGAATGGGACGCCAGCAAGGACCGGCACGATCCAGTGTACGGATGGTTTGGCCGTTAGAGCGAACCAGATGAGTCTGTAGATGAGTCAGTGAAACGACCTCAAGTTTTTGTGGACCGTGGAATGACTTACCCAATGGGGAGACAGAGATCACCGATCATACCGATGTACAATCTTTGCTCGGGTCCTCTGTTTCTGATGCGATCTCCACCTTCCTTCACAATTTTCTGATAGACCAAACGATCAACCAGAATCGCGCCGAGCGCGCCAAGCAGCACGCCAATACCAATTCCCAAGAACGTTAGACCGTACTGCCAGATCTGGAAGTCATATTCTCCCATGAACACAAACGGATAAGCCTCAAAGAAAGCAAACAACACGCTGAAAGTGAATGCGTTGTAAATGGAGTATAAGAGAACGATGGGCTCCGAGACAAGCATGCGGATTGGGCGGAAGAGAGTGATGGTGAGGAGCAACTTGATGGCATCCTTCCGCGCGAGCTCTGGCTCCGGTGGTGGGCGATTCATTTTCTTGGCTTTTCTTTTGAGCAGTACTCCTCGGTGGGTTTCGGATGTTGGAAGGACGAGAATGTACGCAGCCAGTGCTAGGAAGATTGTCGACCACTGCGTCCATCGATACTCTGTATATGTGGCTGAGAAGCCTCCGATGACTGGTCCAAGGCCTATAGGTAACAATTAGTCAAGATCGAGAGCACAGCTTGAAGGTGTTCCTTACAAGGACCCAAGAATGGTGCCATCACCACGAGAGCGCCTGGGCCAGCCATCTTACTTGGCTCAAAGAGATCAGCGACAGTGCCTGCTCCTACAGCGAGACATGGAGCACCAGCCATTGCTGCGAGAATGCGGCATATGAGTAAACCCGCAAAAGAGTTCGAGAAGCCGGCGCCGAGAATGAAAAGCATGTACAGCGGCATGCTGACTTTGTAGACAATGCCTCGACCGCGAGTTTCCGAGATGGGGGCAGCAAGCATTGGACCAATGGCTAGTCCAAGGACGAATAAGGATAGAGGTAGTATTGCGGCAGTGTGAGATACTTGGAACTTGTATGATATTGCGAAGACACCAGGTGTGATCATGGATGAGCCAGCCGTGACACTTAGGCAAAGCAGCGCCACTGGGATGATATGACGAGCCTTCTTCACTGAGAATAAGTTAGCTCTACTGCGAAGTGAGATATTTAAGTTGATACTTGCTCACAGGCACTCCAGTTTCTGGGATTTTCCTGGTTGTCAGGAGCATCCCATTCCTTTATGAAAGCATTGGTCTTGTTGTCACGGGCATCTCCATCATATGTCGAGGCGCTGGTCCGGTCGCATGCTTCCTTGGAAGCATCTAATTCATGCAGTTGAATCTCGACATCTTCCACTTTGGCAAAAGTTTTCGAGGCCATGGCGCAAGTGATGTGTCAATGCTTTGGAGAAGGAAGTTGTGGAAAGCTACAGGACATGGGAAGTTGGGAAGAAGGCAGCCTTATGTGCCCTATCACACAAACGCGAACTCCCATACCAAAAGAATTGCAGCATTGCCATAAACATACATGATCGCCCCGCACAGTTCCCTTTTTGGCCGTCTGTGAGGCCGTACGCGCTATCGCAGACTGTTTTGGGACATCGAGAGATCTAGATGGGGACAGCTGAGGCACCGGCTGGCTGGTTGTGGCTGACTGGGGAACCAGCAAAGTACAGGTCGAAGAACGTTCGAATTGTTATCTGTGGAGCATCTATGGCTCTCTCAGAATAGGTACCTAGATACTTCCGTCCTTGTGTTGTTTGGATCAGGGGAACCGATAAGCGACATCTAGGCGAGCCTAGTGATCCGCCATTGGCTCGCTACCCCAGGTACGGAAAAGCTTGGGCCAAATACCCCTGACAGCCTGAAACTTCTCAGTCTAGAACTTCGGAGCTGAACTCCTTCTACGTGTCGACCAATACAAGGCCTCTTCTTAACGCAGACTATCCCTCCATAGTGTACGTGCATACAGCACACTACTATTGGCAATAGTAGCTGGAAACGATGAGCCCCACCATTATCTTCAACTCTTAGTGGTCCGATAAGGAAGATCCACCATCTGGAATTAGTGGCGCACGCCTCAGCCAGCCCATACCGCCACAGCCAGCCTCTGCCGTCCAGCCTTCAGCCTCATCGCTGTGGCCGACGCACTATTGATTGACTGAATCGCACCTTCTATGCTGCATCTGGAAATATGCGTCGTGTATCCTCATCTTCTTTGGTTTCTGGACCAATCGAAGGATCACAACACAATGAATCAATGCGCAGACCGACCTCGTCGCATTTGAGCATCACTTAAACAGTCCGAACTCACTCTCTCGAAACGCTCCAGGTTCCCAACAAAAGTAGCATCTGTTTTTTGCGCAACGAGCTTTTATTTGACCTCCATCATGGGCAGAGGAGCTTACGTCCCGTTCAAGCCTCCCAAGCCTGCAAAGGAGGCGAAACTCGAAGCTTCTGCTCCTGCAACTGCCCTTCCAATGACTATGAAACCAATGCGAACAAATACCGATTGGAAGGCCAGCATACGAACGAAAACTTTCTTGTCACACAATTCATCCAAAACAAAACTGGCTACTCCCGTGCCTGATCAGCCTGCACCAGTGCAACAAATCCATCATCAAGATGGAATCGCCGATTTTCAGACAAGAAAATCTAATCTCACCGTCGAGTGTGTCGAAGTACACGATATAATTTCAAGCGATCCGCCTAAAGAGCTAGAAGTTTCTGTGCGACCGATATCCAGTCGAACCTCATCGGCAACCTCATCGGTGCATCCTTCTGGAGAGGAAAGAGAAGACACATACGAAGCAGGCTTGGATACGTTCGGAGATCTCACCGTGGAAGAGACTCAGTCTAGCGCCTCATCGTTATACTCTAGAGACTCGTCATCGATATATTCCAGAGACTCTACATCGATATACTCCAGCGCCTCATCAATCTACTCCAGTGGAGCGTCAATATACAGCTTTGATGACCGTGGACTGAAAGGACTCGATCGATACAATACCAATGGATCTACGGAGCAGATTATAGAAGAGGACGAAGTCAGCCTCGATTCTCGATTGCCTAGCGGAGCGCAATATCAGCAACGTACAACTACCCGAACCGTTGGAGTTCGACGACAAGAACCCCAAGACGCCGCATACAGAGAGTCATCATCCATAGCGAAGAAGGCTGCTCGGTTTAAGAATTCTCGATTACAACCACAACTGCCCTCATTCCGCACTTCTCTCCCAACATGGTCTATGATCTGCCGTGCAGCGAAAGCATCACAAGATTGCTACGATTCACAATCACTGACAAGACGAGGGACGTACACTCCAGCAAACTCCTCCAAAGACATCAAAGCAATGATCATAGACGACCAACTCATCGACGACTCTCGACTCGTCATCATCTCCACACGCGGTACCGAGTGCAAGTGTCTCGCTGATTGGGCCGTCAACAAGGATGCGAAGCCTGCGAAACCCGTCGGATTTCTGGACGACGAGGAGAATGCATGCCATGCCGGATTCCTTCAGGTTGCCCAAGCGATGATAAGTCAAGTCGCAACACAATTACAACAGCAGTATTCAGCGTCCTCGGAAAGGCCTTCCCTTTTATTCACTGGCCACTCGGCAGGTGGAGCAGTAGCTGCAATGTTGTATAGCCACATGCTATCGGTCTCCGTCTGCTCAGAATTGACGACACTCGCCAACCAGTTCTCCACCATCAACTGCATAACCTTCGGCGCTCCCCCTCTCTCCCTGAGCCCACTTCTGAAACGAGATCACGGATCCGGTATTTTCCTCGCCTTTGCAAACGAAGGCGACCCCATTCTTCGACTCAGTGACGCCGCATATGTAAAATCCCTCGCGAAACTCATGACCACATCGCCTCCTTCATCTGGTCCGGCCCCGAAAGTCAAAGTCGTTCGCCGGTCCCGGGGTACTTCAGTCATCCGGGAGATTGCCCCGCCGCCTCCTCCGTGGGAGGAACTTCCGCTGTGGCCTACGCCGCCGGTTCTGCTGACGAATGCTGGTGATGTGATTTTGCTCCGTGACAAGGAGAATGGGAGGCCGACAGCATCACGGGTAACGAGTGAAGAGTTGAGTGATGTAATTTTTGGCGATTTCGCACAGCATACTATGCAGATGTATATACGGCGGGTCAAGGAGGTCGCTTTTGCTGCGATGATGGGAAGAAATTTGGACTAGAGGTACGAGTTGGAGTTTGGAGTAGAGGCATGATTCTGTCAAAGTCTTAGCGGGATTACGTCTGGCACAGGAGATATGCAAATTGTATAGAACGGCGTACTTTATGTGTCAAAGAATTATCATTACTTGTACATAGGTAGACTATCCCAATTCATACACAGTTTGAACCTTGGTATCACTCGGCACTGCCTCGGTATTCTGGATTTGAGGGGCAATCTCGTGGCTATTCAACTCAACTGGTCCATAACCGCCATCCCGGTATTTTCCTGGCGGGGACCCAACGCCATTCGGGTTTGACACCGTGCCGCGACCAGTAGAGGTGATGCCAGAAGATGGCTCTTGGTCGCTGCTACGCTTTCTGAGGCAGAGGCACGCGCATAAGGATATCATCAAGAGACCACAGACAGCACCGCCTGTGCCAATACCAGCCTTTGCCCCAACAGAGAGCTCATGAGATGTATTTGTGGTTTTTGAAGACAATGTGGTTTTTGAAGACAATGTGGTGTTCGAAGAAGATGTGGTGTTTGAAGCCGTTGTGTTGGCTGACTGGCTATTCAACGGTATCAATATTCCTTTCCAGCTATCCGCCCAGTCATCAGAGGATGATGCTATCGACGAATCTTGGTCACCAATGGTTTCAACACTACTCTGTGAGACTGTGTTTGGACCAGGTGCCTGAGCAAGCCACCATACACCTTGGTTGTTGTTGGCATTCCAGTTCGCTCCTACAAATGCTGCTTGTAGAAAGGCTCGACCCAAAGAATATCTACCATTGGATTGCGCATTGCAAGGGAAATAGGGGATCGTCTTCGAAACTAGAGGTGGTTCGAGGGTTAAGTTGAGGAGCATGAATGGCACGTTGATTGTCAGATTCTCCGTATTCGTCTGGTCTTTGCGAAAGACGAAACCGAGGACAGAAGGAGAAGTGACAATCTGGCTGTATTGTGGGTCGTTGGTATTCCAGGTGTACAATCCAAGGTCAGCGTTGTATGTCAGTGGAAGCCAAGCAGCAATAGCATCGCAAGTACTTTTTGGCAAGTCTAGGTAGGGGGCCTCTGGAAGTAACGGAACTGGCAGAGCAGGACCAATTGAAGAATTTCCAGCAGCAAGAAGGTTGTTTATCGTTGACGTATTGAACGGAGAAGAGCCGTCGATTACGTTGATTGTGATATCGAGCAAATCGATGAGTCCTATTTTCCCGTCATCGACAGGCTCAATTCCTAAAAACGCTCCTTGCTAAATCGAAATATTGCCGCAAATTCAAGTCCGATCGTAACCGCCGAAGTACAGAGAACCTTGGATCTTCAGATTTGCAGACCCAATATGCAATCCGAAAGTGTTTGAAGGGGCCAGATTTGCCGCTTCTAGATAGCCTGGTATGAGGCTTCCGTTGATGCTGGGTAAGCCTAGTTGTGTAAAGCTTTGGTTGACAGTGCCCAGATAGCCCAAGCCTAGTGTTCCTACTTGTAGTCCATATAAGGAACCGCTAGGATAGACCGTAGCGACATCGTCGTACACGCCAATAGTTACATTTGGCACAACGATCGTGTTGCCGGAGCCGATCGCCACCCCAATATTGATCTGATCCAAAACAGATATTCCTGGTGTCCCCTGAACTTGAAGCCCACCATGCGTATAATCGATAGCTGCTGGGACGCTTATAGCAGTGTCTACAGCGGTGGTAGAACTCTCGACAGCGTATAGGCCAGCCGCGGAGGCGTAACAAGTATCCGGTGACAAAGTAATGTTGGAACAAATTCGTGGAGTCAACAAGTGCGATCGAAAAGTTCCTGCAGGGTAGAGAGCAACTTGTTGGGATGGGCTTCCAATGTTGACTTGTACTGCTTGCCATGGTCCATCGGGTCCAAAAGCGGTACTGGACCAGGTCATTGCAAAGGGTACGGCTGGATTGGCAGCAACATTCCGTGTAAGGAGTGACCCAAGGAGAAATAGACAAAAGAGTTGTGTCATGACTCTAATGCAACAAAATCGCTGTAAATCGGGAGACTACGAACAAACGCAACAAAGTAGTGAGAATAGGAAACAAACGGTGAGAGCAGGAACCGGCTGAATTGTATTATTCTCAAGGGGTTGCCGATCGGTGGTTGTATTGTCCAAAGCCAAACCAACGATTCGAGCGCTCTTCCTATTGGTTACCGACCCTGCTGGTATTGGTTACCGACACAGTGGATGAAGCGCAAATGAACCGGAAGGGGCAGGTCGGTTAAATTGTCTGAGTTGACGCCATTGGGGAGTCGGCCGGCCCGTTGCCTGTATCAATGGTGGATGCATATAAATGTTGGTGTTTGGGGCGCGGCGCCTAGTCCTTCCAGTATTAGAGGCTCGTCTCTTGTGCATGTCCGCTCCCCTGCGATGTTGGTTTACCACAAAGCGTGTAAGATGTGTCAATCTCTTCTATGAAAGGACCACTTTCCCAGTTCGCCCCTCTTCCAACTTCTCTCCTCAACCCCCTCGAACACCACACGTGACACGCTGCCCACTTGCGCTATTCAGCTTGAAACATGTATACCTCCATCTGCCTTCCATTCTTTTCACTTTTTTTTACACTTGCGACCGCTCAAAACTTGGGACATCCTTCCAATGGAGAACTTCCACTACGCCCCATATCATTCTCCTCACCTTCTCAACATCCCATCTTACAACCACCCAACGATCTCTCACCCAGCAGTGGGATAATCAACGTGCCCTTTTGTACTCTCGATGAGCCGATCCGGGCAATCCCCGTCACCTTCTCCATCTCATCACAAGTCTGTGGGCCTCTGCTTCCGAACATCCCATATATAATCGCAGACCTCTCTGAACGGCTTCTTGAGGAACACATCAACGGAATCTCGTTCCTGTCCTCGACTGATGCGCAAACGCTTTCGCCTCCAATCTATCTTGGAGCTAACATTACGGAGCAACTCTATCGCTTAAGTTCTCACCCCTCGAGGCTGGTGTGAGTGGTATAGGGAACCCAAGATGGCGGTGGGTTGTAGGACTGTTAGAGAAGAGCATATTGCAGTTGGATAGAGAAGCGAAGAAGAGGGCTGGTACGGGTTTGGGGAGTGTGTTGATGCTTGAGACTGAGCTGGAGCAGATCCAAGTGCTTGCTGAGTGGATGATATGGAGAGTTGTTGACGGACTAGAAGTCATATGCGAGAGTTGATGGATCTTGTTGCAACATAGATGTATGTATGTAAGCTTTCCTGTAACAAGATTCACGTATCTATCCAATTATGATGCTTTCGCTCCACTGCTTGCTTGTGTGCGCCTGGTGCTTGATCTTTGATGGCTTATTGGAGAAAGCCAACGGACTCTTGGACTCGCTTTTAGCTAAGGTTTCGAATCCTTGTTGCGCATTCCCATTGAGGCAACCATGATGTCTATTTCGACGTGAGCCTGTAGAGACAGGTGGTGTGCTTCTGTATGGGGCAAGCCTTATGTTCGGCTCAAGCATTGCCGCATTGGGAATGGGTATATTGCGCGACTCGGTTGGCATTGATTGGTCGTACCCCACCAAATCACCAAGAACATGCACTCTCCTGAAATAAATATTTTTGGATTGGCTGATTTGGGACTCTGTTTCGCTGCGCGATATGTTACGATGTGCTCGTTTGTCAAAGATTCCGGTGTGACGCCGAGTAGTGTTGTGGTGGTTAGGTACAAGTATAAGTATCTGCTCATCGAATCTGGCGGCCGTGGTTCGCACTCCCATTTCTTCTCAAATCGCCGATTTCGTCAACGGGTCTTCAACCACGAGTTCGACCGCAACCATATATCATCTTTACTCACCCAACCTTCTCCTTCATCGCCATAATGGGCTTAATCCAAACAAGCATCATGACCGGTGGCATGATCTACGCCGTCAACAAACTCACCAAGACGATTGAACAACGCCAAGACTCCAACAACTCCAGCAAGACATACCGCGACAACAATTCTCAGGCGCAAGGATATTGGGGTGGTCCACCATTACCCCGAGGACCGCCATACAACTCCAACGAAGAAGAACCTCGATGGTACCCAGCGGATGAAAACACAAGAGCTCCTCCATACAGCCCTCCTGAATACGTCCCCGAGAAGCCGCGCTGGAAGGCAGACGAGTCTCAACCCAAGTCATCTTCTCGCTACCCGTCCCAGCCACTCCAGCGCTATCTTCAAGCACCTTCAGAGCATGAGTTTGCTGGGAGGAATAACCAGAGACGAATTTCGGGCCTGGAAAGTCTGGCGGATTTGGCAATTGGATTTGTGGATAAGGGAGGTAGTTCCAGAAGCGGAGGGAGTTCCAGAGGGGGAAGTAGTTCGAAAGGGAGAAGCTCGGGTACTCACCGAAAGAAGAAAGGACGGAAATAAGAATAGAGAAATGAATTACATATTTCCATTTGCAGACTTGCATTTCCTTGAAGGGCTGACTAATACTGCAGCGCGAGTATTGGACAGAGCAATGACTGACCGACGGACCTGATCGAAGATAAATTCCAGCAGTGCATGTCATTATGAATGAAGCAACCGATATTGATTTGGATCATTAAAACTTGGGCGTACGAGATCTGAAACACAGTGACAATCATCCTTCCTGAATACCGTAGAGCGCTAGACACAGATATTTATATATACATCTACGCTCGAGTCGAGCAAGCAAATACCTCAATGTTTTTGTCGAGAATCCAAGTCTCCATAATAAACCCAGACGCTCCTTGTTTTCTGGGCGATCCAATTTCGATCAGTCAAAGCCTGTCCATGAACTATTTCCAGCTGCAGTTCAAGTTCTGCGGGATTTACACCTTTGAAAATCTCTTTAGGATACTCCTCGTATAACTTAGTAGAGCTGATCCCATCAGCAATAGAGTTCCATAAGCGACAAAGGACCGCCTTCTGCTCCACTGCATAACCCTGGGGCCTATCCATGATCGTCTGGTAACGGTTGAAGACAGGGTTGGCCACACTGTGTGCGATGAGTATATTTTTGAGGCCAGCCATTCCGTCAATACAAGACCCTACACCAGTCCAAAAATGGTTGGCACGGAAGCGTATTATGTCGGCGATGGCTAGGGTGGAAATACTTTTTCTTTCGAAAGTATTTAGATTCTGCAAAAAGCCAACGGATGCGAGGCGTACTGGGTAGTTCATATTGGGGCCCAAAAAGAGCGTGTCAAGAGACATATTGAATCGTATGGTTGGCGGATGTGTTTCTGAAGCAAAACAGAGTGGGTAGAAGGGAAGAACTGCACTTCAAGAGTCGCGACAGGCGTAGAGGGCCGTAGGAAGAAGGGTGTGGGCGTGTGCTTGGTAGCGGATGAGAAGGGGAAAGTCTTCATTATCGTAATAATATACCCAACGGCGGAATTCCTGTGAACGTCGTGTTTCGATCCTCTCATGGCGGAGTGACATTCGATTCTGAGCTTCGGCTGATCCGTCATCGGGTTGCTCGATACCACTCATATCCTCGTCATAGGTATCAACGACTTCCATATCCACAACACGGGGATGAAGTGAGAATTGCCATATCATATAGCGAAGCTCAGTCGGCAGATGTTTGAAAAGATGGAAGGTCTCGCCCGGTCCAATTACACGACTCTGGAGTTGCATCGTGATATACGGAGTAGAAAACGTAATGAGCTGCGTTGAGCTGTTGGGATCGATTGCTCTGTGCCCTTTCTCCGAGCTTGACGAGGTTAGCAAAATCTTGGATGAGAAAGCCCAATGTTGAACTGGAAGTTGTCAAGGACTTGGGTTCATGTGGAGCTTAAAGGTGGTGGAAAGAGTATATGGAAGAGTGAGAGAGCTTCGTGCGCACATCAAGAAAGTGACTCCATGAAGGAAGCTAAGAGAAAAAATTTGCCGCCCTTGACATCATCATTTATCCTCACCTAACATCAACGACCTCACTTACATTGCTCTTTGCCATGGCTACAAATTGACGGTTTGAGCATCTCTGGTCGCTTCGGTACTCGGTTGATATTAAGTTCTTGGCACCTGGAAGTGGCGCACCCAAACTGCGCCGCACTAATGCTGTGCCGAAAGGATTCCGGATCAAACGCCCCTTTGTCTGATCACGATGGAAATTGGAAAGGGTTCTCTTCGAGGAGGTCAGTTGGTTTGATCTTCTGCGATCATTCTTCATCCTGACAGAAGGGCTCAAGTGGGTTGGGATTCTTCCACTCGTGTTTGGTTCCTATCTACATTGGTTGTCGGTCATTGTGTGTTGACAATTTGATTGGAATATTGCGTTTTTCTAAATCCATTCGACAAGAGTCATATTCACGAAGCTCAAGATCCCATTCTCGTCGCTCTAGGCAAGGAGACAAAAGGATCCGAGATTTCATTCTCTATTTTGAAAATCGTTGTGGAGCTGTATAAGGCTGATTTGTGCACCAGGGTCAGATCTCTCGTTTTCACCTAATGTTTCCTAATGGACATAAGCTCGTAACCTTACCATTTGAGGTAACCACGGCGAGACGCAGAGACTTGTATCGATCCAAAGGATTTTCATGCATGTTGAAGGCCTGGGGTGAGGCTATTCCCCGGCAGACAAGGGATGCAAGGCGTTCCGACAACCTTCGTCTCATGTTTCTGGACCCCGAAAACCTTTGCTCCAGCCAACCAGGTCACGCCCAGAGGAATGTCGAACGATTTGTGATGTCCCAAAATTAGTAGAAGCTGAGTCTATGCTGCTTTTATCTTTCCATCCAATTTGTGAGCCTTGAAGCCTTGGCATGCATGGCTGACAGTCTCAGCCTCCTGATCTCCTCCACGATCAAAATCCTCACTCACTAAAAAGCTTTGTATGGAAGGACTTGGTGATCCTCTGAGTTTGGACTCTTGCCGAAGTCGCAGGGGAGTTAAACCTTCAGCTCCACGAACTACAACAATGAGAGTCTTCATATAATGGCTCAACGGCCCAGATGTTAGTTCAAGTTGCAAAGTCACTGGTCGCAAATTTCCTACAACATGAAGTTCTTATTGTCGTGGCTCGCTGTCCCTGTTGAGATTCTCATTTTCATCAATTCTGTTGCCGCGTCAAGGCCCCTCATCGCAAATGAGGTCCGAGATGTCGATTTTGTGCAGAAGCCTCGAATGAGTGACCTAGAAGTCGCGCCTCTACATTACTTATCGAAGAGAAACACTTCCTCGAACTTAGGAACTCTTTCATTGGCCACGCAGCTCACAAACGATGTTCTATTCTCGATGTATGTGCTCCTCGCAACACTTTTTACATATTTGCTAATCTCTTTCAGCGGTCTCGATGGGCTAGTAAGCATCGCAGGATCACCAAATCTGACGGTAGTCTGTATATCATGCTTCACTACTGGCACCGCTTCACTTCTCAGTTCTTCATTTACACAAGACGAAGCGCTGCTTTCAGATATACCTGCTGCCACAGCAGAACTGGTCAAGGATCCACTAGGATTTCTTGAAGAGGCACTTAATGTTACATTCGAAATCGACTTCCAGGACGTTGCTGGTCATTTCGACGTTGATGTCTCCTTTGCAGCTGCTGGAGCTTTGTCGTTTCCGCTCTTCCATCCAGTGACACCTCTCGGTGCTTCGGTGAGTAGTTTGTTTTTTCTTGTCGACTTCTGCGCGAAACATTGCGCGTTGAAGTACCGAATCTAACAGAAACAGATTGATGGTAACCTAATTGGATTCATTTTCACAATCGATCTGGTCTTCAGCGTCACAGGTCAGCTCGATGTGACCACCGGTTTTGATATCACGTGGCCGAACTCAGCCTTCATCACAATCGATCCTATCAAAGGAGAAATCCTCTCTATGGATGTGTAAGCAATACGTTTCCGTGCCTAATAATGCCGTCTCTAACCAACTCGTAGATCAGGCGTCCAAGTCAACCCACTTCCGTTAACCTTCATCACGGGATCAGGATGTGTCCAAGTCGCTCTCCGTTTCGGACTGAAAGCCGGTCTGGGCATCAACCTTCTCGGCACGAGCGCCAACATCCAAGCAGGTGCATTCGTCGACGCCCCGGCATACCAGGCGTGTGCCGAATTCAACTCCGCTGCACCGTGCGAGCTTGGTCTCACCCAGAAAGTCTTCGGTGATGCCGGCGCTTTTGCTGATATTGCTGTCAAGATTGACTTCTTGCAATTTTCAGAAGGTCCGAGTGTCGTGACCACATTCTTCTCCGCAGATCTACCTACTGCCTGCTTGGCGAGCACAACAACGCTGGCAATTGCAAATACGACCTCGTCCAAGGCTTCTGTCACTGCTGCTCCGGTTTACGGCAATGCAACCACGACTTCCAAATATGTCTCCGCTACTACGACCCAATCGGCATCTTTATCTGGGAACTCTACAGTATACACTCTTACCAATTGCCAATCTGATTTGCTATGGTGTCCGTCGAATCTTCAGACAACCATCACCATCACCGAATCAGCAGCCGCAACACTTACCGCGAGCCCACCATCCGTAACTATAACAAACGCTGTAACCATAACCGTCTTCTCAACGCCTCTGGTGTCTACCATCCAATCGACAGTAGCCAATTCCACAACTTCAACAACAGCTGGTGGGGACTTTGCTCAGCAATCCAAGAACACGACCTCGACGCTCACTAGTGTTGCAACAGCAAGGTCGAACGTTACCATGGTTTCCACTTCCTCTCCTGGAATGGCGAGCGTCATTGTGAGCATTGGCGGGATAGCTGCCTCCTCGACTTCGGCGGCGAGCAGCTCGGGTAACGGCACAGCGATTCAATTGACAAGTAATGCACCTCGCATTCGGAACTCTGATTACAACCTCGCAGCACTTTTCGTCGGTGTCCTAGGATTGGTTGTGCTTGTTAGATGAGATGAAGCCAGATGATGCATTGGGGCGGCTTTTGTCCTATATTTCCTGAGTATTTTTTCTTCTCTTACTGTTCTTATTTATGATACCCAGCTAGAATTAGAGACTTTTGTTGATATGCTATTACTCTGGGGTTCATTTTCGTAAATGGACGGTGCATAAGTTTGTACCTTCTATTCTGGAATAGGATATCCTGCTGCTGATAACTGCACTCGAGTGCTTGAAGTCGCCAATCAACAACCCGCCACCATGCGGGCTTAATTGAATTTGGCTGATTAGTCAATGAATATTCCATTCTCCAAGGGATAATGGATTGTGGCTGACTTGCGTGAAGCTACCCGTCTCATGAGTTTTAAAGATCTGACCAACTCTGATAGTAAGCGCTCAGACCTTGCTGCGGCAAGAAAAGGGGGTCTCACGTGATAGCAGGAATACCACCCCATACGACTCTACGACTCAGCCACTTGCAGCGGGGAATCTTCACCAACCAACGACCTCGTATCGATCCATTCACTTGGCATTTCAAGCGTGCGGCACAGATCGCCGCAGTTTTCAGGCAACAGAATACCACTTGACATCATTCGTTCTCTGTTCACAACATCCTCCTGTTGCTGTTCCATCCAACCCTCACCACGCGTTCTCGTCTCCTCCCGCACCACCACATCTCTTTCTTCGGTGCCTAATTGCCAGGTCTGTTTGTCTCCGTCCGAAATCAACAGCAATGTGATCATGCCCTACGATCCAGACGATTTGTACACAGCAGAACCGAAGCTCTTATCACTCGACTGCTTTCCCGTCTTCTTCGTTCAACCAGCTGCCCCTCCAGACTACGATCTCATCATGGCTGGAAACACTCGCTATCACCGAATCTCAGAGGACAATCGCGCCTCAATGGAATCATCCAACCCCGAGCTTGATGCTGGGCTTCTCCTCCTCGATCCTACTCGAGATGACGACGGAAACCCACCCCCGAAGAAATCATACAATTTCTCCTACCACCCAACATTGCTGTTTCGTTTCATCGCCATATGTCTCTTCATTCCCAGCTTCGCCATGCTCGTTGTCACTGATCGACCCCGAAACCTGTCGGCTATCATCTTCATCTGCATCTCTTTCGTGCGAAACATCCTCGTGATCCTCCATTGGATCTGTTCCAAGCGTCTTCGAATCAGGTTCTCAATCGAGCTCCGAAATCGAGGCCCAGTTGTGGGCAAGCCTAAGAGAGGTTGTCCCGCATGGCTGAAGCACGGCTTGCTGCATATTCTGATCGATTTCATCTTGGTGGTGGTCACGCTGATTACTACTATTATTGCCAATTCGGGCGCGAATAATTGGTATTGGAGATCACGTCACAATGGATTGGTTTTGCCTGCATGTGTGCTGTCTTATATCGGAAAGTAGGTTACCTGTATATTATACGGTGGGGTGCACCGGGCTAACTTTCATCTAGTGCTTTTTACTTGCTTTCTTTCATTGATCTGGGAAAGCCAAACAGTATCACGATCAACAGTGGCATTGTCTTTGACTACGGCAAGGGCAACGATGATGATCAGCCTAGTCAGCCGCCGCAACCGCAGTTTTACAGAGATGTCGAGGCTGCTGGCGGTCTTGGTGCCGACAGTCGAAAGACGGGTGCTGACTCTCCTGTCATTATTTAAGCGGTCCACAAGATAGTGTACACCATTTCGGCTTGTCGACCGTGGATGGATCATCAAAGCTGGGTTTCAAGGGTCTCTGGGCAGGCGGACGAGTTACAGATGGAAATATGAAAGGGGTTCACCGTTCGGGCACGGAATCGGGAGTTACATTGGTGTTTGGGTTGATTGTTCATTGCTGGGATAAGCGTTGGGATACGGTGCATTTCCTTGGTGCTTGATGAGATAGAAGGGTGATTGGCAGGTGACAATTGACCGTTATGGCGATATCACAGTGTATGATGACAATCAAAACTATTCCTACACGAGTTCCAGATTGTTAGCACCATAGAAAGATCCATTACGTTGAGTCTATGGTCTACTGGACTAGCCATTGAGTACCTCCACTCGTCTGCTAGGACTATACATGATGGTCTTCGCTCATTTCATTGCCCGGTTGATGAGTATCAGCCAATCGCAGACTTTCTTCGTGATCTTTAACATGATCAGATAATCGTGAAAGTCTTCCGCTTCCCAGCACCGACCCACATCTTAGAAGTTCCTTTATGCGAAGTACTCCAAAACCCAACCCTCCTGAAAGTATCGACTTCGCCCTCCACCGGCATCAACACCAATACGGTTGTGCTCGTCATCTTCCCCCCGCCATCACGACCTTCACCGAGAAGCATTCCCACCGAGTTCTCCATCAACCCCTCACCCTGGCTAAGAAGATGCGCCCGACCTGGTCCCGGCCATCGATCTTCCTCGTGATTATCAAGCACCAGCGTCCCTCCAATGCGATAAGTCTCCGCATCCAACCCGGCAATTCCACGATTCGGAAGATCTCGACCTGGGATCAACGACGCCTCAAGGACCGCCCTGCCACTCTTCACCTCTCCAAGTGATGCTTGATTCCTCAAAGGCACAACCTCACAAGAGATAAGTTTCGCCCCCAAACCCCTCATATTCCCCAAATCCAGCCGCCAATCAAACTCAATCGGCCCCTCAATACTCGCCCACGACCAGCTCGGTGCCCGATACTCCTTCAGCGGCGGCCAGTACTTATCCGCTGGACCCTGCCACGAACTAGTACGTCGCCACGTCAAGGAGGCAAGGAAATGCGGTTTCCATACTCCAGCAAAATACTCGTTCTCCCACGCATCCTTGAACTTCTGAGCAACTCCCGAGATGGCGGGGAAGCGATCGGAAAGCACGGTCAGGTTGCGTTTCGTGTAATTCTGTACTGTGTGGTGCCAGGCTTTGTATCGTTCGTATTCAAGTTCGGGGCTGACTGAAGATTGGGACTTTTCGACTGTGACGGAATCGGGGATCCTGCCAAAGGGAGAAGAGGCTAGGTTTGGGTTCTCGTACAGATATTCGACGTGAGTGGTCGATGGACGCAGTATGGGGTGGGATCGGCATTGCCAGAGGACTTCTGTGTTTGTGAATAGCAGCATTCGAGCTGAGAGGAGGTTCTCTTGCAGACACCATGCTCGGGTGTATAGAGGTTGTTGCCACATATCAACCTCCACTTGAGGAGATATCTTGATAGTGCCCGGTCCTCCATTGGGACTTCGGCATGGGACGTCGACGGATAGTCGAGGTTTCGTCTTCAAGAACCCTTCCATCACGCTCGGTGCGTTCACCACCGCTATTGTGAGCGTGGAGTTGCTATATATATTCTCCATATTTCCGATCTCGATGATCTTGTCCTCTATGCTGTCCTGAATGATGCAAAGAGCGTCGATCCATATGTAGCGAAAACCAAGCTTTCTCGTGGTCTTGATGGCATCAACGAACGTTTGTGGAAGTTTGGCCTCTTCTAGACCTCTGAAGTGTTCCTCGAGATTGGATTTCAGTGTGGTGAGGAACCGTGTTCTTCCCCAGCAGTAGCTCAAGGTGACATAATCGTCGTATATAGTATCAGAAGGCTGGAAAAGCTTTGCTACAGAGCTTGAATTTGTGCCTACATCAATCACTCTGGTTGGGAATGGTTTGCGATTTCCTGGGAGATCATCTTTCAGCGATGTGGATTCGGAGTGCTTTGTGAGGCATTCAGACAACCAATTTTGTGCCTGCACAATAGTGTTATCATCGCCCAAATCTTTCTCGATGGGACTCTGGCTCGTGATCATCTTTGCATTATCATCTGCACTCATGTGAGTTGGTCTGAGAGTAAAAAGGATGAATGAAATACCTAGAGCGGCTACCGAGAGCTTGAGTTTGAACATGTCCGGCTCGGACGAAAAATACAACGAATTTATATCCACCGTACATCCATCATCAGATAAACTGCCCTCAGCAAAAAGACTCAGCGACATCTGCAAGCGTCGCTCATCAGGGTTCGGGTCCTGAAGCAAGAACATGCGGCACAGTCCACAGCCTCGCTCAGCAGACGACTCCAATGCATTGCGGCTGAGGTGTGAATATCCATATTCAGAGAACAATGACCGAGTCACATTTTCCTCCGTGAATATGGCATTGCATTCCTCGCATAGTCGAGGATTTTGAACAGCTAGCAAAGCTTTGTCGTGGCATGTGAGGCACAGCTTTGCGTTCTCGAACATGACTTCTGATGGCTTGAATGAACACCATTTGCATGTGATTGAGCCACCGCTTGGATGATGGAAAGGATCCATGGCAATTGGCTTTTCGAGTAGGGTTTAAGAGACTGGGCTGAAGGTTTGGCTTCAGAGAAGTGCGGTCGTCTTAAGGAGGTCGGGCACGGACCATGACCCCTCAAAAACGGCCCCCAATGTATAGATACATCTATGAATAGAAAGGGGGAAATCTTACAACCTGAGATGAAACACATGGCACGTAATATAGATATGTGAGATAGCGAATCACATTGCATTTCATGTACAGATCATAAATGTCAAACTATGCTCTGAAATCCCTAGAACCGATAGACGCACCCCATGAACTTGCGCCCTAGTTGTTTCCAAACGGAATGTCCTTGTTGACCTTATCATCTGCAACAGTGTCCAATCCCTTATCGTCTTGTTGAGGTACTCCAACATCGTTGGCAGCTTGGTTCAGACCTGAAGAAATCAAACAGTGAGCATTTGCGTTTTCTCTTACAACCTCCTGGGCGATAAATTCAAGGAATGCATACCTCCGTTGGCATCCTGATCAGCAGTAGCCTCAACTTGATCGCCTGGCTGAGCATTCTGGTCCATCTTGTTGCCAATGGCATTTGTTGCCTTGTCGAGGAGTCCAGACATGTTGACTGAGGAATTGGTAATTGGTTGTTGTTTGAGAATGTTTTGTTTGGATGTGGGTTGAGGAGTTCTCAATTCAATGATATTTGAAAAATGAGGGATTGCTTGGGGATTTATATACCTTTTCTTACCTCTCGTGGTTCTTGTTTCTGGAGGTTGGAGCTCCTTAGTCTAAGTGTCGATCCGGAGGATTATGCATGAACCCTGCCAAGACGTCATTGGATAGCGTCACAACCACCAATAACGACCTCATATCCCAGGATTTGAAACTTGGTCCGGGGAATCTAATCTATAGCCTACCAAGACGTCACAACGCCACGAAGATCGCGATGGGTTGTGATATCTTTGTGGCGCATGGGACGCTATATTAAGGTTGTTTATAGCTGAGCGCCTTGATTTCTTTGGGTTCATACATCATTGCCAAGACCTATCAATGCACCTTGTTTGATACAGAGAGAAGTCATCGCGAGATCGATCATATGGATCATGGAAAGTGCACTGCGAAATAGTCCTTGGCATAAGCCCCACCTGCCGTGGCCGAGCTTCTTGGCTGAAAAGCTTGTGCTGCCTCAGTCCGCATCAGATGATCGGGATGAAATTGATGAGAAACAAAATCGCTACGAAATCAAAGGGTATCGTCGGTAAGATCTATCACCTCCTTGGCATCATCTCCATCACTATTTGCTTGACCACGCTGCTTGCTGGTCTTCCACTCGCCAGTCACCGGATCGTAGTCGAGGAGATATAGAGTTTGTTCATCTCCACCTTCGTGAGCCTCGCAGACAATGTCCAAATTAGGCTCGCCATAATGTCTCATGAATTCTAGCTCAAGCTTCAGTTTCAGCCCAAGATCCATGGCACCTCGAAAGTTGAATACAAATGGCTCGGACTTCAGCAAACGTCTGTTGTACTCAAGCTTGACGGATTGAAGGAACGTGGCAGGAGTACCATCTTCATCGACGCCATAGACTTTCAATTGATGTCGCTCATCTTTTGATGTGAAATCGACCATCAAGCGACGATGCAAGATGAACGGCGGGATAGGGATATCCAGCTTCTCCATGATGCGAATCATCAAATCATCCGCTTTCGAGAAGATGCGGACATCTGCAAGTCCATCGATAGGTGTACTCTGAAGATTGCAGATGGCTAACTTGCCACCTTTCCTCTTGCCAACTATCTCAGGAATACCGCTTGCGGGAGGTATAGTGAGGGAGGATCCGAGAACCAAGCAAAGATCCGCACGTTTGGCATTGCTGCGAGCACGTTCGAGTACTTCAACAGGCAGAAAATCCCCGAAATTTACGATACTGTCGAGCAGAACGCCGCCACAACAAGCGCATTTTCGCCCAGTGCGATGATCGTGGACGGTTTTTTCGTAGGTAGCGACAGCTCGGAAATCTGTTCACGGTAAGTATGATGACAAGATAAGATTCTACAGAAGACTTACCTCGAATGTATTCTTTACCACAATCTTTGCATGACTCACGATTGCTGTTACCGTGTAGCTCAGATATCCGATCCTACGACGAACAAGAGTGAGAAAAGGTATCGCCAAGACAGACTTGGCTGATGCTTACAGACGTGATCCCGCTCTTCCTGTGCAAGCCGTCACAATTCTGACTAAGCAAGTACTTCAAAATCCCTCGATTCTGAAGATCCACAAGTGCCATATGAGTAGGCGTTGGAATAGCCTGTAGAGTGCTAACAGTCTTTCCCGTCCTCTGTCTTCCTTGAGCCCTGAGGGTCCATGCTCCTTCCGGGCCTCGGAAATCGGGGATACCTGGGAGATGTTCAGATGAGGCACTGTAACAAAAGAATGAAACGAGAGCTTACCGGCAGAAGTAGAGACACCTGCTCCTGTGAAAGCGATGAAGTGTTTGCTTTTCTTGATTTGGTCGACAAGGGTTTGTGCTTTGAGGTCTATGGCATCAGGTGACTCGATGCGTTCTGCTTCTGCAACCTTTGGGGAAGAATCAGCCATACTGCGATTCTTTCAAGGGACTAGCTAGGATGGAAGACTCTGAACTCGGGCGGGAGATTCCTGGGATGAGAATTGATGATGAAGGAGGGAAATTTGTGGTATTGATGTTTGGTTTTGTCTAGGATTCGAACCGCCCGGCTAGGCAACACCCGAGATCACCAACAATTTTACCAACATCCTGCCTTGACAGAGGCAGCAACGAACAGGCAACAACGCACTAGTATGAAGATATAATACCCACCAAGCTTTTAAAACTCCTTGGCGCTCAGAAGACATCACTATGGTTAGAACATAGCTTAGTCACGTGACAAAATATTAATGTTCTATGAAATTATAATTTAAACGAATTACGAAAGCCGAAATTTTAATTAATTTTATAATATGTTATTTTTTTATGTTATTTAACGAAAACAAAATTTATTATTAAAACGGTTCTGGTAATAACGAAAACGCTTTTTCTCTACTGTTTGACAAACTATCGAGAACATCACATGGATCAACAGGGAAGTCGCTGCTGTGGACGACAGTAGTTAAAAATAAGCCAAGTTCTCTTCGACACATTTGGCCCACTCTAATACTATACATCCGTCAACCAATCTGGATCCTTACCTTGCTCGTTTGCAATCCTATCAATACCGTGGAAACTCGTCAACTCAGTTCCAATAAGGATCCATGATAATATCCGACATTAATGCTCTTTTCGCTGGATCGAGATTTGTCATCCTCAATATCAACTTTTGGCGCACATACTCGCGACCGGAGTGACCAACGAGTGTTGAAAACATCCTCGCAGCTTTGAAGACACGAGTGCAGCAAAGAATCATGGGGAAGTACCAGACTCACCAAGGGTAGGAGTAAGGGTGGGCAAGGTGGAAGAAAAAGCAGCTGATCGCAGCTTTTTTAAAGGTGCTATAATTCAGAGCTGAATCACGTGATTAAGGATAATAATAATATAGATATCCGAATATAAAATATTATTACTTTCAGCATAATTATAACGTTATAGTTTTCTTTAATAAAAATAAATTTTTTATAATTATATTATTTCTTGAAAATCTTGAATTTCTCCGTAGCATTTACCAACGACTCCTCGATCCTTTTCTCATGTGAACTATGCCCACAACCCGGTATAATCAAGTACTCCACATTCGAGTTCTCCTTCCCTCCGAGTGCTTGATATAGCTCCCAACTCGTCTTTGCCGGACAAACAACATCATACCTGCCCTGTACAATAAATACCGGCAAATGTTTAATCTTGTACGCGTCTTCAATCAATTGCCCTTCACGCATCCACCCACCGTTCACAAAAAAGTGGCTCTCAATGCGAGCGAATGGAAGTGCCCATTTTGAGTCTTGTGCCTTTTTGATATATTCCTGATTCACAATCAACTCGACTGTTGCGCTCTCCCAGGTCACCCAAGCACTGGCACATTTCAACTTTTCTTCCTCGTTATCTCCTGTAAGTCTCTTATAGTACGCTGCTATCATATCACCTCGTTCTGCCTCTGGGATACAAGCTCGGTACTGCTCGAAATAATCGGGGAATAGCATGTTCGCTCCCTGCTGGTAGAACCACTCCAGCTCCCGGCGGCGAAGGGTGTAAACCCCACGTAGGATCAGACCCATGCAGCGCTCAGTATGCTTCTGCGAATATGCCAAGGACAAAGTCGAGCCCCATGAGCCACCCATCACTATCCACTTCTCGATATTGAGGTGTTCTCGGAGAGCCTCCATGTCGGCGACGAGTGTCCAGGTTGTGTTGTCATCGAGACATCCGGAAGGGAGGGATTTGCCGCAGCCACGCTGGTCGAAGAGGATGATGCGGTAGTGGGTTGGGTCGAAGTATTGTCTATCGGAATCCACCATTCCTTGGCCCCAAGTTAATTCATCTCACATATAACTGGAAGCAGGGTGTACGTACCTTCTCCAGGACCTCCATGCAGGTGTACGATCGGAACACCGGTTGCGATACCGGAATCTTCGTAGTAAATCGAGTGCACGGAGGAGACTTGTAGGTAGCCAGTCTCTCGTACTTGCAATGGTGGGTAGATTGGCGCCATTGTGGAAAACTTTCTCCCAGATTCTTTGATAGAAAGCCAGAGCTGAGTATCCAAGGTTCGCTGCAGCTACAATGTGCGCTTCTAGGCATCTCTAGAATGGCGGTGAAAAGCATCGCGGATAGTGGGGGGAGGATGAGGCTCGGAAGGTGTCTGCGTCTGCGACTTGATGTTAGCATGCTCCTGGATGAGAAACTTGTAAGTTGTTGACTGACCATGGGAGTATAGTTCGCACACGATTCACTTAGTGCCCTATCAACTGTCCAGGCTCTAAGACATGGCCATGTACAAAAAGCACGCATACAAAGCACGCAAATTTCAAGCCCAGGGTAGACGTTGGGATTAAGCTTATGCACGGGCCACCAAAAGATAGCCTAGAAGACCTGTAGATCACAACTCACCTGGTAATCAGTCGCCAGAGAATGTTTTAAACCCTCTTTCGAGTTACGCTCTTACTCGACACTACATTGACGAGAAAGAACAAGATCATATCCCAACACGAGGCCACTCACAACGCCTCAAATCGCCTCTCAAGACACCCATATCATCTTCTCCAAAGTCTAAATCAACCACAAATTCTGCCAACCAGGCAGCGCAATGACGTCTAAATGCCATCAATACCATCAACAAAATACAACCCAGAAATCACCTAAAATTATGCAGGCATCCCCAATACATCTTACCTCCCAATAGTTCCCGGGGTACTACCACCTCAAGACACACAGATCAACTTGAATCCTTTCTGGACGAGTTTTACCTCTGAGTTCGACGGTTCCTGCATGCCTGCCGAGACACTTCAAGAGAACACTATAGTCAGGAGATTGCCTCCTTGGGTAAATGGATTACCAGATGAACATTTTTCTAGTAGCATATTTTGAACTGGTTTCAACAGTATCTACAGATTCTGCCCCAAGAGACACAGACGATCAACCTCTATTTCAGTACCGATCATATCCTTGCAACTCAACCGGATCCACAATCCTAGCGCTAAGCCGACCATCAAGCTCCGAATAGACTGGCGAATGTGAAGCTGCTCTATCGGGGGCGACACCCATCTCTGCAGCATTTGGGTTTGTCTGGCCAGGTATTGCTTCTTTGTAGGAAAAGACTGGATCTTCGCGATCAGAAGCGGGGACGACTTTGCACGTCTTGCGAGTATCCATCCTAGCAAGAAGACGGCGATAGCACCAACTGCTGCGCCTATTCCAATTCCTGCTTTTGCGCCTATTGAAAGACCCTTCTTCGAAGATTGTGTGGTTGGAGATGGGGTTGAGGTAGCTGGTGAGGCTGTGTTGCTTGTAGGAGTCGATGAGGTACTTGTTGACGGAGTTTGCGCTATGCTTGATGGCTGAGATGTAGATGACCGAGAGGTGGATGACTGAGAGGTATCTGATGACTGAGAGACAGATGATTGAGACGAAGAAGACGATGACGAGCTCGTCGATGTCGAAGGAGTCGACGTAGAAGGACTTGTTTGTTTCGCAGGTGGAGATGTCGTAGAAGACGAGGTCGTTACCACAGGTGGAGAAGGTGCTGTCGAAGTAACCGTCTGCGTCACGGGTGGAGGCGTCGATGTCGTCGGTGTCGCAGGCGGAGGTGTTGTCGAAGATGTTGTGGCTGCTATAGGTGCGGTGATATCAAATAGCGGGCTTGCAATATTCTGACCTGAGCCTCCATTCCAACTGCCCCTGAAGGTATGAATCGGAAGACCCAAGTTTGATACGCTGCCAATTGAGCAGAAGTTATATCCACTGTCCATGTGTATGAAGTTGACGTTGCGACATTTATCCCCGCTGCGAAAAGTATTGATATTAGTTTCATGGTACATCTTCTGTACTCTGGAACCATAAGAAAGAAGATAAGCAGAATGACTTTTGAGGACCACATTGCTGCTGTAGAAGTAGGCTTTTCTGGGCTGAAAATGAATGGCGACTGGTAGCTGATAGTGCTTCAAGTACAGATTCGTCAGCTGCGGTCGAGGAAGAAATGAAATTTGGGTGAGGCTGCATGCGTGCTAGCACACCATTCATTTGAAGCTGGCTTGCTACCATGGCAGTGATTTATGGGAGGCAGAGCCTCACATAAAACTCGGCCAAGTCACCGTTTGCGCCTCTCTCCACATGCTCGAATGAGCATCTAGTCTTTCTTATCCCCCGCCTTCCATTCCTGATGGGCAGAATGTAGGCTCGAAATAGAAGCAAATCCGGAGGGTTCGAGCCTGTCAGATGAAAGTAGCTCGTAGGGTCTCTATCACACTCCTTTAGGGCCTATGCCAGTCCACACAACTGCTCCTTACCCTTTCCTACATCAGTTAGAACTCCCCTACAATAGAGGAACAAACAGCTTGACCTCAATTAATCTGTCCCTTCGGACCCATGTGACTCCTCAGCCAACTTCAACTCATCTTTGAGAAACACATCGAGGTAGGTAGTATCCTTCACAGGGCTCACCGTCCCATTTTCCCAGCGGAAACCATATCGAAGTAAAACTCCAAGAGTCCTAACTTCATTAACAGCATGGCGACATTCATCCGAGATTTTCCATTCGATTTCTCTTAAGAAAGCCCTCCAAAATAGCGCTCGTGATCGGGAAGGATCACACCCAAGGTGTGAATAGGAAGGGTCGCTTCCAAAGTATGACCAGCCAGTAGGGCCGCTGCAACCAAGCACACTCTCTAGTCCCCATAGAGCCATGCCGAATGGTTCGATAGTAGCATCTGCCCAGTCAACCACACCAGTGATATGGCCGGTATCAGGATCAACGAGGATATTCATACCTGAGAGATCTTGGTGAGTCAAAACCCAAGGCACCAGATCTGTTATCAGCCCCATATTTTTCTGTGCGTTTTCGAGGATTTTCGTGAATCGAGGAGGTAGGGAGGTGGACAACTGCTTGAGCTTAGTGGTGTAGAGATGGATTTTGTCTTTAGCTGGAGATTGGGGGGTTTTCCATGACGCAGCATAAAACCGGTAGTATTGTATCAGCTAGCAGCTCAAATTGATTTGATAATGTACGAAGACCTACTTGGCGAAATCTGTGACTGTGATATCTAGCTTAGCTGTAGTGATTGTGCTAGTTGTGAACAAATACCCAACACCCGTAATGATTTCCATGACCCAGACAGATACCGAAGAGTTGGGCATCAAGCCGCGATATGTAGTGGCTGGAGCAAGATGGCCGTGGACCTTTTTAGCAAGCTTGGCCGTTGAACTATCGAGGGGTGATGCTTTCGATCGAAATTGAATGATAAGCCCCGAGTTTGACCGCAGTGTATAGCTATGAAAGCCTTGCCAAGGCATTGGTGTCACGAAGCCCTTCACCAGGTTCTGGGCGTACGTATCACAGTCGTTTTGGGTGACCTCATTCTGCGTCTCAAATAGATCTGACATTGGGTCCACGTTGTTATTAGGTTCGTCCAGTTCTGAACAGTCATGAAGAGGACAGTGGAAGACGCTGGCAAATGTATTTCGTACTATTCCTAATTCATAAGCGCACAGTCACAGCGCATATGCCCATAGTTCTTGAGATCGGGGGTTGCATCTCACCTCGAGAATTTGCGAAACATCATTTTTACTAACTGGAAATTTCACAGCACCATAATTAGTCAGCAGCATTTGAATGCATAACTGCTCAAGCAGTTGAGCAGCCGCATCACGTGTCAAATAATCGCTGCCTGAGAATTGTCTGTCAATCCGTCAGCCTCGATCCGTCGGCGACCCTACGGGGGCAAATCCTGTTCTTTTCCTGGATTTGAAATCCAGGAAAATCCATCAAATCTAGGACTATTTCAAAGGATTAAATTCTAGTTTTTTCCTAGGATTTTTCCATTATTTTTCTAGGAATCTACTAGAAAAATTGCTTACTAAAAAAATATAAAGCTTAATATTTAAGGTGTAATAATTAGTCATTCCAGTTTATGCACCTTGATTTAGGTGCTTTAGTTTTATGTTCAGACGCACTCTAAAGAGAGGGACCTGTTTCTAAGAGAGATTTATTTTGAGGGAGAGTATTGAGGGAGAGTATTAAGGGAAGGACCTAAGGTGTCACGGGTTGGATGCAATGAGTCAAAGCAAGAACCTGATTGTATTACAAGAAGAATTAACTAAAGAGAGAAGAGTTCTTTCTCGTACGAAGAGCTGTTTTAAAGGGGCTCTCGCTGGTTCGTAGAATGGCCCGCGCGCTTTAGCGTCGCGTCGTCATGTGCAGGCCCGCGTAGTCACGTGTAGGCTGCACTACGTAGTAGTGCAGCCAAATATCGGGTTCAACCCGTCACATAAGGGAGACGACTTACTCTGAGGGAGGGACTTACTCTGAGGGAGGAGACTTACTTTGAGGGAGAGGGATCTGAGGGGAAGGGATCTGAGGGAAAGGACTTGCTTTAAGTGTTAAAAACTTAAGAATGTTAGGAGGAATGCGCATTATATTCACTTTTTTAAGATTTATTGGATTTTCTTGGATTTATTTAATAAAATATTTAAATTCTAGGATTCCTAGAAGATTCTAGATTATTTAGTAGATTTAAGAAAATTTTAAATTAAAGGAAACTAAAATTCAAGGGAATCTAGGATGAATTCTAGTAACAATCCAGGAATCCTAGCTAAAACCTGGAAACTCTTGGATTTACCTAGACATATTGCTCCCGTAGGGCGAGAAATGCTTCTTTCGCCATGCCAGCTGCTCTCGAGCTCGATAACGGGAAGCACATTACTTACGAGTTGGCCCTCAAGAAAGATGTCAACATCATCAATGAAGCAACATACCCTAGAGCGAGGAGACGGCTCTTTCAGAAGCTCTGGGATCAGCGAGCAACGATTCAGGCCCTTGTTCGGCATCACCTGAGACTGCGCGATCAAGACGCTTGTATTGTCAAAGCAGAGAGCCAATGGATTCGAGGGAGCTTTAATGTGTGCATACCTGTGGAAGTAAGGTCGGCCAGCTTCAACAAGAACCTGATCTTTCGTTGTCCTATGCCACACAAGCTTGCCGAAGCCAAACACCCTGGCACGATTGACGAGAAACTAAGCTGCGAGGTTGGAGCCTACGTATGGATGCTATCCATGCGTATCGTTCGAAGCCTGGGCGGCGCAATTCAAGCAGTACGGCAACTTCTCTGACTTCTGGTTTGACGACCCACAGAAGTCTAATTACATCTAATTCATGCTGCAGTCACGCGACCATGCGAAGAAGGAGTTGGAGACTGGGGAATGGGCACCATCCCGAGCTTTCTACGAATCCATGACTCTCGACGATGAAGCTTGCCAGCGGGCCGCTTCCGCTGGTCCAATTCGGCGTTGTGCTCCACTTGAGAAGGATGGTGGGTGTAATACTGAGGAAGAGGCTTCGAGCAGCAATGGGATTGGGAGTAAATGATGGATTTATTATGAATGGCCATGCGGCAACTGTGACGAACAAGATACCTCCATATGATTAGCCGGTGAATTGTGTGATAATCACATCGAGAAGAATTAATTCAAGAGGATTATGAGCTCTTTTCAGCTGATAAGCTGCCAGTGTTTCTTCTCCCAAAAGAAATTTTTGCTCTTCTCTCAGAGCCACGAATGCCTTCCATATCATAGTATTGAGCCCATTGAGACGCAGGCCCCGCCTGTCTTCTTCTCCCACGACTCTTCTGCAAGACTTTCGAGATCGTCTACGTTACCGTTCGTTTCATACATCGCTCGGAAAAGGCCTTTCTTATCTTGGAGCAGCTGGAAAGGATGCCCAAGTTCCTTGATCTCGCCGTGATCGAGGACCAGAACTTTTTCAAAGTTAATGATGGTCTGTAGCCTATGGGCGATGGTAATGTCGGTTGCTACTATCGCGTCAAGCGCCTTTTGGATCTTTAGATCCGTCCTGTAATCAATTAATGCGGTTGCTTCGTCCAAAATGATTATTTTGCTGCCCCTAAGCATAGCGCGGGCAAGGCAAAGCAATTGTCGCTGACCCTGTGACATGTTCGCTCCGTCAACCTCTTCAACCAAAGAATTTCCATGAGTACTCCATTCACTTCCTGTACAATGAAGCAGCCACGATCTCTTTGCCATCCACTTGTGAAGGCCCTTGCAAATAGCTGCTTGCATAATGTTAACGTCACTCCCCCGTTGTACAACCCGGCAGCCATTCCACTTCATCACGGAGAAAGCGCGTGGCAGAACTGGTGGTGCCTGTTCTATGATCGGTGCAACATCCTTCGTTGAAAGATGGTTGATTGTCGTGGGTTCTGGCACGGAATCGGAATCCTCTGCTTGTCCGCTGGCTTTGTATGGCGGCAAGATCCACTCAGAACTCGCATTGCCTATTTCAGGCTCCAGATTTATCCCTGGTGTTACTGATTTAAGGTCTGGCGAAGGGGACAAATCATGGCGTGAGTGGTCAATGTCTTCTTGTGCTCAAATGCTCGTCACCTGCGAGCCACTCAGGGATCGATTTCTGGATGCGCTCTCTTCACTTCCCTCAGGCTCATGAGTAGAAGCCTCTCCCGTATCAACGAATAAAGACACGTGGCTATTGTTATGCCCATGCACAACGTTAGATGCGGGTGCTGAAACAGAGCTCTCGGAAGGGAATGGTGTCCAATTACTCAACTCACTCCCTTCATCTACGTCCTCAGCCAGGACAGCCACAGAAGACCCGACGCAATTTGGATCCCGCAACCAATTTGATCCGAAGAGGTCCGTAGCGTCAACACTAGGATGTTGCAGATGCTGGTCGTGTTCCTTCCGTCGTATTCGCTTTGATCGTCGGACCGTTGAAGAATGTCGTGTGCTGTGTGTGGGACTTTTTGGCCGTCTTTCTCGCGGTGCTGGAGCCGAATCCGTTGTGGACCCCTTTTTTCTCTTTATTTTTCGTGCCCGAGCTCCCCCCTAGTACCAGTTAGTTAGGATTAGAGCTAGGATCGCGTGCCAACTCTGGTTGATTCTAACTATCGCTATCGTTTGGATCTCGCTCTTGTTGCGGTCCAAGTTTACGCAAAATCATACGCCAGGTACTTGCTTACCTCGTTTGATAAATTTCTTAAGCTTTGTTGATCTTCGAGCTCTTGCTCTTCGGTACTGTAATTAATCAAGTAGTGGTCTACTGTCGCCTGCGATGACGCTACATTGCTCTCCTGAGGTTTGTGATTTTGGAAGGCTTCCATTCTAATAAAAGTAGCCACCTCTGTGGGTGTTGCACTAGGCGTCGCCTGGTGGAGGTCAGGTACTTCCGTTAAACAATCGCTCGCGGAGTAAGATGCTTGCGTTGGGGTTGGGCAGCGGTTTTGGAACGGAGCAGAGAGCTGCAATGCTTGCTTCCAACACTTTTTAGCTAGAAGTCGCCCGTCTGGTTTCATGACTACTATCGCGGTCGATAGGAAATCAACCAAGGGGTCAGAATCCCAGTCATTGACTAGGTTGATGATTTTTTTACACCAACGCAGTCCCACATCTTTGTTGTCCCATTCTGGAAGGGGGCCGTAGGCGTACTTGAAGATAACGACGCCGAGCGACCAGATGTCACAAGCCTTTGTGTAGTATGTACCACGAGGAGTTGTGTAGATTTTAGGTGCAGCGTAGAGATGTGTCCCGCAGAACGTTTGTAGACTAGCGGTCGCTTTCGCAAGACTAAAGTCTGCAAGTTTTATGTGAAGCGGGCTTCGAGATTGAACAAGGATATTTTCCGGCTTGATATTTTGGTGGATGGTACCGTCTTCATGAACGGAGGTTAAGGCATCAAGGCTTTGACAAAGAATAATTAAGCTCTCTTGATCTGAAAATCGTTATTGTGTGTATTGATTTTCTAAATTTCCGAGCGGAAGATACTCGAGGATCAGCCGAGGTGACGGGCTTTCAATTAAAGCAAAAAACTGTATAATATGCTCCTATTATGCTGAATTAGCAAGGAACCTCTGTAGAAATGTGGGAGAAATCAACATTTGAGAGCCGTGAAACTTGGTTCATAATACTCGCTTCTCTCCTCCACTCTTTCTCTTTCATGTTGAAAAACTCCTTGGAAGCATACACAAATCCAGTGCTAACATCCCAAGCACGATACACAATCGAGAATTGACCGCTGCCAAGCCTCTGGTGGTTGATGTAGATCGGCGTTTGGGGAGTGGGAGTGTGAGCTCCACTTTGTTGCGCGGTTGGAATCGTACTCTGAATGCCTAGTGCACCAAAGGGAAACTCGGCATCTGCGTTTGTCTCGCGGAGGAATCGGTTAACGTGGTTATTATATATGTCGGACATGTCTCATGTTTGGCGACGATGATTTGAAACTTGATCTCCTGGATTTGTATGACGATTTTTTCGACATGCTCCGGTTCCTCCTCACCGCTTAGGATCCAGGTAAAATGGTGTCGCTTCTCTCGTCCTTTGTCATCGTATGTGACGGTGGTTCCGTGTGTTGAGAGATCTCGCAATATCAATCGTCGCTTTGCATCGAATGTTAGGACACAATGACGCCGGCCGATCTTATTTTCTAATAGTTTCGGCAGAACGATATCGCAACGGTTTTTATCAGTCCCAATCGTAAACCCTTGGCCAGCTTTCGGCCCTGGGTTAAAAGTAAGTTGGAGTCCTGGTGGAGTGTCTAAGTCACGGTGGTCGGTGTTCTTGTCGTCGTCCTCCAGCGGGGCTGTTGACTCGCGGCTGCCATAATCTGGTGTGGTGTTTTCAGGCGGTGCGCGTGCAATATATCGCCCACTGTTCTCGCGCATGCGGATCGCGTCCCATGTCAGTCGGTCGCCTTCTGCGGGATACAAGCAAGCAATCAAGTTCGTGTCTTCCATTATTGGAATAGGTCTCTCTCAACGATATATAGCAAAATAGTTTCTGAAGGGCAACATCTGGATTGCCTGCATGCTTATGTATGCTGATACTGTACAACATAACACATCTTATCGTAGCGCTTGCGGGGTCCAATCGAGTTGCCGCCTCTATCGTCGACAACAACCTACCTAGGTTTCTATTATTATGATGTTGTTATTGGTTGGTGGTATTGTGGCGGTTAGTTATTAGAGAACCAACGGCGGCGAGTAAGGCTCCAATTGGACTACCTTTTCAGAGGGGCTGGATAATAGGTCACCAGCAACTCTTTAAACGTGGAGAAAGGTGGTAAGGTGGTCCAATATGCATGCAATGCAGATCAGCGATCGAGACGGCTGACTCACCAATTAACCTAATTGATGCCCGAGGCAACAAATTTCGTCTCTATCGACGTCGCTCCTCCTTAACTTACGAACAACACACTATCCTTAAGCCCTCCGCCCTCGCGAACTTGTGCCTTTTATCTTATAAGCAATGGCACCGCTTTAACTTGAGACTTCGAAATTCCTCGCTCGCGATATCGCAGCTTATAGCGACGCAGAACTTGACCAGTACTTGGAAGCCACCGGAAGGTCAGGATTTTCTGAAGCTCATCGCTTGCCTCGGACGCTAAAGTTCAGAATACAGATTTGTTAAAGTTGAAGACCTAGAGAATCTACCCGAAGATTTCATTCAGAGGCTAAGGCAACAATTCTGCACTATTATATCTTTTTCACTATTTTCTAATAGCTATGGCAGAGCACGAGCAAGCGCGAACGACACGGCCCCATCCCACCCGATTGATCTGAACTACGTATCTGCACGCCTTGTTGAAGAGCCCGTGGACAGAGATCTATCACCTCAACGATCTCCTGTCTCGTGTTGGCAGCTGGTCAACGGACGCCATGAATTAGTACCCGCACATAGAGATCCATTGCCTCAACGATACCCCTCTGTATCATCGACTGCATCATACGTGGACGAGGAGGAAGTGTATCGCCGAGGTCTCGAGAGGGAGACGGAGTACTATCACCAGCTCATAAATGACGGCGGCCGACCCTCACACCCGATCAGTCTCGGCGATGATGTTGCCAGGAATCTAAAAGAATACTGCGAGATTTTATCGTTCTGGAATCCATTCTCTAGTTACGAGTATGATTGGATGATGTTTGGAAACCAAGAGCTGGCCTGGGGACACTTTCGCGAGTCGCAACAACGGATGAGAACAGACAGTCCCTTGGGTGTGGGGAGTGTCTTTCCTGCTCGTCCGGCAGAGCCAGGACGCTTCGCTGGATATTGCCGGGGCCTACATAAGCGTCTGGCAAGGCACGGGTTTGAGCGGTCGTTTCAGCTGAATGAAGACCCGGATCGACAAGACAAGTTGACGACGTGGATTGAGTATCTGGGCTTCGAGTACGTGTAGTACGATAAACATGCAAATATCATGAAGCGTCATTAGTCACAACACGACGAAGCCTGGAAGAAGCTCGTGGACTCGAAGGTCCTGAAGCCTTTTGAGACGGAGGAGGAGTTCAAACACTTTTTTTTTCTCCAGCTGAAGCAAGAAGAAACCGACGCTGAGAAGGCTGTGGAATCTGCGACGTCGTCCGTGAAGTCAGCAGAAAAGGAGTTGTCGGAAGCATAGTCGGCCGATTTATCTGAGCGAAATCTTTCTCGGATAGAATAGAAGCTCTCCACAGCCAGATCTAAATTGGCCGCGGCAACGGAGTCGTTTGAGTAGAGTAGTAGACGGCGCAAACTTATTAAGGAGTTCAGAAGTCAGACGATGGAATATAGCAGAGCCAAGCACGAGGCAGACCATCAAAATATACTACTGCGATGGATACTGCAGCAGATCCCTTTGATCGAACTCGAGTTAAACTAAACCAAGGTATTCGAAAAAGACTTAATAGAAGTGAATGGCGGACGCCAGCAAAGTCTCAAACGCAATCGCGCCGACGACTGCAACGAAGAACCAATTTCGAAGCGGCAGAGACAAGACGGCGAGAACCACACACTCCTAGAGAGCAAAACACGTGCCTCTACTGTTCAAGAGACATCCTCGACCCAACAGCCAAGGCAAACCCGGAGTTCTAGTACCCTACCTTCCAAACCTCGCTCTCGGAGAGGACTCCGTGCATCAAATCTGTCAGACACAAAATCAGATACTGCGAAATCTGGCATGGTCCTGAATGATAGTGCGCAAGTGAGGAAGGGGAGACGGCGTACCAAATTCAGCTCGGGTGGCACGCCTGACTCTCGAGTTCTCCGTCGAAACTCTCGACCGAGGCGCCGCCCTGAAAGGTTCCAATGAGGAAGTTATGAGCTCTCCGAGGGAAAGTCACCCCCATCCCTAAATCATTCTATCCAAAACACCCGACCGCCACCCTCGTCACGTCTGTACACTTACCGCGTCAAGTAAATACGAACTTTACGAGGATTAATCTCTTGATCACATTCGTACTGTATTGTAAAGACTACTTATCGGACTCCTAGCGGCCGTCCTCATCTCGAGACGGCCCAATGCACAAGAAGCCCAAGCCCCGTCTTCAACGGAGGTCACGAAGACCACGCTCCAAGCCTCATGGGCCCTCTCCCAAATCGCATGTCGCCCGACTGCTGCAACCAGTGGAGGCAGTCAAGGTAGGAGCGTCGGCTTTCCTGCCGTATTGTAAGAAATTAAGAATCCGCCTCATGACCCATATTGTATTAGAATCTCCTAAACTACTTGCGCTGCTACAATGGTCACTCCCTCGGTTTTCTTATCTCTCATCATCTTCCACTACAGCTTCCACTACATATTCGAATTCAAGCAGTGGACTAGAAGTAGAATTTGAAAGCAGCATCACTACCAACGGAATGATCTTCCAGATCCAGATCCCGTAGTTCATCGTCCCTCTCGTCACTCCCCAAAACTCATCGTCATCCCCAACGTCATCGTCAGATGTGTTACACTCCCAGTTAGCCTAGTACCTATAGTCGGCGTTGTCGTCATCTCTTGTCTCGTCGTCTATAAGACTGTGGATATCAAACTTGGCAGCCTCTAAGATGGGAATCGTCGGGAGTGTCCAAAAACTGATCTCGCAGGGCGATGTTTGCAACCTGCCTAAGACATAGTTGAAGTCGTCAGTAATATATTCCGTCTCCCAAGAAACTCCTGTTCAGACTTCCACTCCTGGTCCCACCTGCCCTGGTGCAACCTTGATTCTTGGCTCCATTGCTCCTCGTACCACCTATTCTTGAGAATAATTTTGTGTAAGTTCGTATATCGATTTGTTATAATCAATTTTTTGAGATGGGGAAACTTGTTATAAAAGTTTATGTTTTTGAGCCCATAATTAAAAGCATTGGTAAGCCGCTTTGGCGGAGCGTCGACAATAATCTCGATATAGCCAAATAAGTACTTAATAGAAGTAAAGTCGTGCTGCAAAGATAAGTGCGTAAAGTTACAATGGAAAATATTGCACTTTGAATCGAAATATATTATTTTTTGGCTATTTAGTGGTTATGCTTGAAAGAAATTAGTATAATCAAAGTGGTTTTAGTGCGAAAATTCTCGATTTATAATACGATTGTAGTATGGATGGAACTAGGTTTAAGCATATCACGCTATTTAGAGGTCTCGAGAGTCGGAGGGTATTGACGTCGAAAATTCATGATCCGGGGAGTGATTTTTCTCACATTAAATGTCGAATTTCGATAAGCAAATGCTGAAAGCTGGCGAAGTTTTCAATCGCTTTACAATGGTTTAAAGACTTTGAGGCATTTTGGCATGATTGTTGCTTCATTTTGGCTTTTGAATGGCGATTCACGAGTACTTGAGGGTAAGAAGGGCAACACCGTATCGGCCTCTTTCCGTCTGCAGCAAGAAGAGAATGATCCAATGAGAGAGGGGATGAAGTGAGGCAATCGCGATGCAGCAGCGAGAAGCAAATGAGGAGGGCGCACACTTGTTCTATAGCTTCTCATCGAGCTGCGTCTCCCCCATCAGTACAAGGGGGGACGAACTTCAGTCTATATCGTTAACGAAACGAATGCAAATCGCTTTTCAAAATATACCATAATTTTGCAAAATCTTACAAGTCTAAAAATGACCACCCCGGAAGGGAAGAAAACACGGCAAACAAGCTTCCATATTTTATTATAGCCAAGCAATACGATGTATGTGAACTGAGAGTCCAATCTCCTATTAAACCTTTGAGACTTAATACACGATTCTGAGTTAATCAGATCGGATTAATGTTAGAGAGGACGCCAACATGAATTGGAATTCATAGTGTTAGTCTGCTAAAACGAACCGAAAGTCGGGAATGGAACGCTGGGGCGTGGGAGGAAGATAATGTACGAAACAAAAGTGAAACCTCTATTGATGCGGTAGTGATTGTAGCAAGCATGTTATCTAAGCTACGTGCTGATCCCAGACACGATCCAAGAGCCATCTTGTTGGATACTTAAGCGGCGATACGCATTTTGGGAGGTACAAGTACTAATTAGACCTCTTAATAGCTGAAAGGTTGTTTGTTACTTTAAGAGATTCCTAGTATGCTGGGTAGAAGCCACTATATTCCTAGTCTATTATTCCAAGAACTTTCTAACTACTATCCTCGTTTTGCGTAACTTTAATATTTGCTAGCCGAATATTGCTATAGGTGAAAACATAGTCTGGCGTTGGCTGATCTGACGAGTAGAAGTTTCTTGGGAACTCAAGGTAGACGGGACTTCTTGAGTTAGGGTTGGAGAAGATAAAATCTTCGAAATCCTTGGGAGTCATGATCGGCTTAGAGCTGATACGGATGTTCTGCCTCGCATCTTTGCAACCCTTTCCTTGGACTTCGCCGAGCGACTAGTTTTTGGGGAAGGGAAGAGACCTTAAGTCCGAGAATATAACGTCAAGCTGGCCACTTATATCCCGTTTCTAATAGTCTTTTAATTGAGGCCATGCCTCCTCGAGATCAAGGCCAAATATAAAAGTTATGAAGATTAAGTAAAATTTGCTTATCTTGATTAAACTATGTAGCTTTGGGGTAAATATACTAGATTTTTGATCCCGGAAATACTACATCGAGGTATACTCGGTGATATTATTGATATTTTGGACAATTTTGATAGCGATAGCTTCGCTAGCTCGTAAGATTATTGTAAAGAACCTATGGGGATATTGGAAGAGGACTTCGCTTCGACCGAGAAGTTCTACAATAGCGCGCGAGAAATTATTGTCTTTTGTTAAAAGCTTTTTAACATTATCCGAGAGAGGTGAAAGGATGATGGCGGTGTAGGACTCTTGGAGGAGTGAGCGGGTGTCTCGTCGAGGAAAGTTTGGCTGGTAGGTTTTGTTTGGTAGCTTGGGTTTTATAGCAAAGGAAGTAGGTTAGTGACCCGTTGATTCTTAGAGCGGGATAGTCTTCACTGCGTTCTCGCAGTCTTGCTAGAGTTTTGGAATAGACGCTAGGCAAGATTAAAAGTAGATTGGCCTTAAGATTATTCTCTAGAGTAAGGGAGAGTGTCTTTAGCATTCGACGATTCCATTGAGTTGCTGGCGTATTTTGATTGACTTTGAGCACACGATTTATGGATGTAGGTGGCACTGGAGCTTTGTCGACTATATTTCCGATTTTTATTGTCGCTTTAGGTTAGTTTTGTAATTGCCTAGGTCGTAAAAGATAACTAGTCGCAAGTGATAGTGCCAAGATATGAGCCGAGTGTAAAGCTTAGAATCAAGAACTTCTCTACGCTTTTGACGGAAACCAAGTGCGATTTAATAAATATAGAGAAAGTACAAGCGCTAAATGTTATTATCTGCGCGGAAAGCGGTGTCAGGCGGCAATATAGCGCTAAAACCGTAGGCTTAGAATTCTTTATATAATAAAACGTAATAAAAAACGAGTTATTATTTAATTTTAAATTACGTAATATTATTTAATTTTTAATTCAATTATTTAATTCGAATCGTCGACCTCGCTTAGCTAGCCGACTTTATCGTATTCACATTATTTTTAATTGTATCGTGTCGCGTAATCGAAAGTAAATAAATTTAAGCAAACTTAAGCCGAGGGTAAGTTTAGCTTGAGCCGAGCTTGAGAAAGAGCGGCGTTGCTCACGTGAGACATAGGATTGGAAAGAGCAGACATTCCGGTGGGGGAAGATTTATGACGGTGGCAAGCGTGGCAGAGGCGGAGGCGACTATTCCTACAGTGGAAGATAGAACTCTAGAGGAGAGCCATCAAGACGTGGACAGACATCCACGCCCTGCCCGACACTAATCCACCCCGCAGGAACACATCTCGGATGCCGAAATTCAGGAAACAACACCATTCGCCTCTGTATCAGATGGCGGAAAAACTCAAGGATATTGCGATGGAGGAAATGGAAACTATCTATCCGTTCACTCTGCCGCCGTGGGAGAAGAGAGTGCAAACCATCACGAACAAGGAGTAACGGGGCAACCGGACTCAAATCGAGCAGCGTATATTGCCGTAAGCAGCTCAGCACTAAATGGCGTGGTTGGACTGGGTGCAGCACTCAAGACACGCAAGCGAGTCGGAGAGAATCCCACAGTTGAAACCCTTTCCTCTACTCTAGGCCCAAGAATAGAGCAGAACCCGTACGTAGCGGAACTAACAGCAATGGCCCACGACCTCCAGCAGCTACCGCGGCGTAAATACCATAGTATTACGCTACTGACGAGCAACAAAGCAGCCGTGCTCACGCTGAGGAACCCACGCTAACAGTCTGGCCAGGAGCATATTTGCAGCATTTACGAATCCATCAACAAGCTCAAGAGAAAATGCAACAACAATCACGGTAATATAGCTACCTACGGACGAAGACGAGGAACTCTGGACTTGTGCCAAAGAGAAAACCAAAGAAGCCACACGACAATGCACACAGCTATAAATACTATTCCCCAGAGCACGATTGACGACGCTTAATGTGGCACGCGCCGAACGAGGTCCTACCAAATGTCTACCGGAGAAGGTTAGAAAACTGTCCAAGCAAGTCGACATAGCATTACCAAGTAAATATACTCGAAAGCTATACGACCAGCTCACACCAAAAGAAGCGAGTGTGCTTGCCTAGCTAAAGACAGGAATAGCGAGATTAAACTCGTATCTATTCCTTATTAAAGCTGCACCATTAGATCAGTGCGTTTGTGGGGAAGCGAGAGAAACAGTTGAACACTTCCTTTTTCTGTGCCGAAGATGGACTACGTACCGAACCGAAATGCTTCAGTGTACAGAAATTCACAGGATCAACATTTCATTCTATTGAGGAGGAAAATCACGATCGGATGACAAGAATTGAACGCCGGACATAAGAGCAGTCCGAGTGACGATACGATTTGCGATAGCCACGGGCCGACTGGATGCTGACCCTTGGCAAGAAAACAGCCAATAAGACTGACCCCTTTTCAACTTCGCCTCAACTACCTACCACTAACTACCTCGTGCCGTTCTCGCTAGCCCAGTGTTAGGAAAATGATACTCATAGTCCCATTGTCCCACCTTCCATAATATAAGCCTCATGGAAGTCGACTGCTCAGCCAAAAAGATTTCGTTAACAACTCAAGACGAATTCAATCCTCCACAGCAAACGGCATTGAAAGGCAACGAACGATTTCAAGCACAGCCTTTCAAGAATAATGCCCAGTCCATGGAGCTTGCGTCGCTGGCGCTGCGGCACCATTAATATCTGCCTTCACAAAAACATGCAACAACTCTGACGCCAAAAGCGTTATCGGATCATCCAAAACCAACACTTCAAAGAAGTCTTTCGGTCTCAAGGCAGCCTTGATGAACTCGGACAGTGTAGTCAATTTCATATGGATGGTAGTGCCTTCCGGACCCCAGCGATAGGGATATCCGACCCAAGCAGGAATATCATATGCGCCAGGAGTTCCTGTCAACCAGTCCGCAGCAACGACTTGATATCTGGTCGAGCAGTCGAATTGCAAACCCCCATCAGCAGTAGCATTGACGATATTGAAGTCCAGACCTGCAGGCTTGCCCAGGACCTGGTGATGTTCAGAGAAGTTGGTTCCAACGCCTGGAAAGTTTGCATGCCCGTTCAAGGACGAATATACGACAGGGTGTTCTCCATTTACCATCTTGAACTGTTTTGCAACAGCAGCCTTGTCGAAGAAAATGTTCTTACCATGTTCGGAGAGCATGATACCGATCATTTCCTTGCTTGCGTTGTCGATTCGGATAGCAGCGTATTCCCAGTCAGCCCAGTGTTCGCCTAGTGGAGCGAGGTTGATATCAGCTTGATGGTCCACTTTGTCTTCAACGAGGCTGCCAAATAGTGCTGTTCCATGACCATTGTAGGCGCTGAAGAACCAGAATTGCAGATCAGTGTAAGTCAAGCCTTTTTGCCAGAAAGCATTTACGTATGCCTTCGCTGTGGAAAAGTTGCCCGGCTTGGCTGAGTCTTCTACCTCGAGATAATATTGGGTGCCTTGCTTTGGTCCTTGGGGAAGTTGGTCTGGCCGAGGATGAACGATGTTCTTGGTTTTATCTTTGGTGTCAATCAGAGTGCTGTGCGAGAGCATCCATTCGATTGAGCAGTTGACGTATTGCTCGTCAGGGTGGAGCTGAAGCATTGGTCCATGGTTGGCTATAGCTGCATCGGTCTCGGAGCGTGTGAGAGGTTGCGCCATCGCAAGAGATTTGAGTTTTTTGCTAAGTTTTTGCTAGAGTATGTTTGGGAAGAAATCTAGGAAGTGGATTTACGATGAGAGATCAGAAGATATCATGGTGTGAGTCCACGTGAAAATATGAGACACGCTGTCAGCTGACAACTGCAACCTGATGCAAGGCGTGCCAATGTGAGACGCTTCATTGGGTGCCAAAAGTTGTGAATGGTGACACAAAGGCAGGCGCGATCATGGGAGTGGTCGTGGTGTGAAACCATTCGCTTCTCGTTTATGCCACGGCGTTTCTCAGCTTTCAGCTTCAGAGCCTGGCTGAATGGTGTTGCAATAGCAACATTCAGTCCAATCAATATAGATCTCATATACTAAGTAGTACCAAATAGTGACATTGGAACTTTGTTCTGTACGAGGCAACAATTAATTTTTTGCAGTTCTTTGCTAGAATATTTCATCCCAGGCTCTTCCAGGGAGCAGGAACGAGCCAAATGAGGTTTGTAGATAGGTGCTTATATACTTGAAATAAACTAAGACGATATGATAATTCATCATTCCAGCAAGGCGAAGGCGTTTGAAAGATCCAAAAGCTCAATCGAGAGAATAAGAAGCAGCAACGAAGTACAATGCTGTTTAAGCTAAGGTTTAAATTGTGTCTAGAAAATTGGGATTATGAGTCGCAATTATGAGTATGAGTATGAGTCTTTTTGTTGCAACAGCAAGGCAGTCTTCTAAGTATTGGCTGATTACCGCTTGAAACAGGTTTACCAATCAGAACATCAAATACTCTAGTCATGCTGTCAAGTATTTCGCACTCAGCCACTGCTGAGAAAGTCCAATTACCGAACGATGAAGAGCATGCTGCACACAGAGCCACTGAATTTACCTGACTTGGGCAAGTTCAGTTGGATGCTGTAGTGAAAAATACAGTCCATCTTGGACATGAAGCAAGTGAAGCTTATTAAAAGAGAATTCCAAGTCAGCAGCAAATCCATTTTCAAGGTCACTTGTCTCAATACCGGAAAAGGTCTTGTGTAGTGAATGTTTATGTAACACTTCCGGTTGGCTTGAGATCATTTTCCGCGGGGTCAATTTAGCGTTGCTTAGTGTTCTAATGGGCTGTACGTGATTGGGCCGATAAGATGTCATTGGCCTGGAAAAATAATTTGTTATCGGACGAAACTCGCTGTTGAGAGCAACTTCTCCATGGACCGCGACGATACTTTTTCTTCGACAATGAGGGAGTGGGTGAACCATATTCCGGATTGATACTTGGGTGTATAATCTCTTGTTAATATATCTTCTTCTTCGTTATCAATATTTCCTGATTCAATTGCCATCTCTGAACTTTGGCGCAAAAGAACTCGATTTGCCCCTCCTTCGAGGTCCTCCAGCGAAAGAATATATCGTCGGCCTTGAAGTAGACACAACAATGGGCGCTGTTTCTCTTCTCACATCGATCGATTCGACGAACCATATCCACTTAATCATTGGTTCGAATCCATTGGCAGCAGCACGATGTGCAAAGTCTCTCGAAGTTGGGGCAAAACCGCTTCTCATCGCACCAGAGACCTCGGAACTGCATTATGCTCTGCAGAAGAGGATAGACAATGGCGAAGTAAAATGGTTGAAGAAGTCATTCGAAGACGAAGACGTTCTACGACTCGGTAGAGAAGAGATCAATTGTGTCGTCGATACCGTCTTCGTCACTCTTGGTCCTCGAGACCCAATGAGTACTTCCACCCTTCACTTTGACTCTGCAGAAACTGATTTTCTTCAGGCGCGCATATCTCCAACCTCTGCAGACGGAATCGCATACCAGTCAACGTCGCAGATGCTCCCTCGCTCTGCACATTCAGTCTCGTCTCAACACATACCTCCGGTCCTCTGCAAATTGGGGTCACGACTAATGGTAAAGGCTGCAAACTTTCCTCTCGAATCCGACGCGAAATCGCTTCTTCACTTCCTCCCAATCTCGGTCCAGCTTGCGAGAGACTAGGCACTATTCGCAGAAAGATACAAGAAGAGGACCACTTGTCACACATGGCATTGGCAGGAGATCTCGAGGAGGAAGATTCCGTCGACCAAACATCGACCTTCAATCGCCTGATCACAGAAGCCGACCTCGACGCTGCGAAGAACAGGCGCATGAGATGGCTCTCTCAGATCTGCGAATACTGGCCTTTACGAAGACTGGCAAACATAACAGACTCCGATGTCGAATCAGTCCTAAGATCCTATACATCGACCCTGGAAACTCAACAACTGGAAAAGAGAACTGAGAAGAAAGGCAGAATTATCTTAGCAGGCAGCGGACCAGGTCATCCAGATCTCCTTACAAGAGCAACCCACAAAGCAATCCTAAGCTCCGACCTCATCTTAGCTGACAAACTCGTCCCCTCCGGCGTCTTGGACCTGATTCCCCGCCGCACACCGATCCACATCGCCCGCAAATTCCCGGGAAACGCAGAGAAGGCCCAAGAGGAGCTTCTATCCCTCGCACTCGCTGGTCTTAAAGCTGGGAAAACAGTGTTGAGGCTCAAGCAAGGTGATCCCTATATCTACGGACGTGGAGGCGAAGAGTTTGAATTCTTCCGCAAAGAAGGATTTGGGGATGTAGTTACTGTTCTACCAGGCATAACGAGTGCGTTGAGCGCACCTCTATTCGTGGGCATTCCAGCTACGCAGAGGGGTGTCAGTGATCAAGTTCTGATCTGTACGGGGACGGGCAGGAAGGGGAGACCCACTGTGCCCCCAGCGTATGTGGGGACGCAGACGGTTGTGTTTTTGATGGCTCTGCATCGGATTTCGGGATTAGTGGCTGATCTTACTACGCATGATTCAGAAGATGCAAAGGTGCTGAGTGAGGATGGGTTGCTGGATGAGAGTAGGAGGTTGTGGCCGAAGGAGACGCCTTGTGCGGTGATTGAAAGGGCTAGTTGTCCAGATCAGAGGGTTATTAGGACGACGTTGGAGTTTGTTGCAGCGGCTATCGAGGAAGAGGGTAGTAGACCTCCAGGACTGTTGGTTGTTGGGAAGGCATGTAAAGTATTGCATAAGGGTGATGCTGCGAGGAAGTGGGTGGTTGAGGAAGGATTCAAAGGTTTTGAAGATTTTGATGGCACGGGATTGGAGGAGTTGATGTTGGGGAAGGATGAGGATGTGAGGCCAGAAGCAGTCGTGAGAGGTGACAGTTCCGGGATGGAGTTGAAGGTCTGAAGTTTGCAGGATGTATATTGATCGCATATTTGGCAGTTTGATTCATTTGCATGGTTGGGTATAGATGAATAGATTGATACCCATTTGCATTGTGTTCCTCACAATGCGTGCTACACATCACAGCCTACTCCTCTGATATTTCCCTCTCGTCTGATCATACAAGTCCAGGCCTCTCGTTTTGTCTCAATGATCATTCCGAAATTCCTGGCATGCTCCATCAACCACCCTTCTCCCAAAAGCGATCTCGTGAGTTCATATCCTTCAAACAGCCACTGTTGTCCGTACCCTCCTTTTAGGCCTCGGATTTTTACTCAATTCCCATCCAACATTAATCAAATCATCAAACCCCACTTCGCAATCTCAAGTAGCAGCAACACTCATCCTCAACTGCCTCTGCCTCTGCTGACTCTGCAGCTGCAACCTCTCAACTGCATACCCCAACCTCTCCTTCTTGCTCCTCAACGCCTTCAACCTCGCCACCCTCTCCTCATTCACCCCCTTTCCTCCACTCTTCTTCGCAAGCATCTTCTCCAGACTCCTCTTCTTCCGTAACCCGCCATCGCCCTCTAACCGTCCAGCTAATAGCTCGCTCCGTGCGATCAAGTTCCCTTGTTTCCGTTCTAGCTTCGCGACGTATTGTTCGGCGCGCGATAGTAAGGTGGTGATAGCGGGCGCAAGTTCGGAGGCCAGGGAGGCTTGCGCGGTTGTTAGGGTTGTGGAGGGGGTTAGTTCGAAATGCTGTTCGAATGTCAATGAGATGAGGGAGGGGAAGGGCGGGAAGGGAAAATACGCGTGTGCTGGATAAGACTTTCTTCAAGCGCGGAAAGTCTGAGATTCCGGAGTCGAGGATGGAGATTGAGGAGTCGAGGAGGGTGAGGGAGCTACGGAGGGAGGTGACAGATGCGGTGAGGGAGGAGAGGGATTGCGATTGTGTGTATGCCATCTTTGGGACTGGGTTTGAGGACGGATTGGCGTTGATGGTTGTGGTGGGGTGAGGATATATTATTGCGATGAGCAAGTCAATATTGACGTGTTTTAGCGTGACATGTGACCGGACCCACTTTTACTTACATGTCAACTTCGAGAAACCACTCGTTGCTTGTTACCTTGTTGCTGATATTGCCTGGCGAAACAACGGCCGTTTAAAAAGACTTTGAGAATACGCCTCCAGTGACCGGTGAAGGAGGATATAGAATGCGAATGGCAGCCAGCTCTTCTACGACTAACTGTTAGTTGCAATACGTACTCGACAATGATATTATGCTAATTTCTACTTGGCAGGTCCGGATCATCTCTATACATAGGCATATTCGAGTCTTGAACGCGACCTTCACTGGAAATTATTACAAAATATTGAGCAAGACTGGTAAAACACGCCTTGATAATGCATCGTACAAGTATAGACATTGAAGTGTGAGTGTCGAACCGTGAGGCCTATGTTGTTATCCCTTGAATTTCTTGGAGAGATATATGCTTATTGTTCCTTACAATGTGTGCGGAAAGCGTGTCAAAAGATATATCTAAGTTGCAAACTCTAGATCATTATTGACGCTTGTTTTGGCCAATTCATTGTTTCTCTCCGTCTTCAACTTCTAGCGGCCCCACGCTCCACAAAGAATTCAAATTCGCTCCTGCTTGTTGGCTGCAAGAACGACATTTATGAGCGGGTCCCACCATCTTATTCCAGAGATCGTAGTCGATAACATCTCATGCAGATGCACATTTGTTGTGTTACAGTATAAGCACTCGCCGCATCTCTGCAGGCGTCCTACGGCTGCGGGAAATGGGCCCAATTCACCACGACAGACGCATATTCCTTACAGCTTGAGCTCTCATCTACCTCGAAACAATCCTCTATTCTAGAGGAAATATTCGCCGACCATTCTCTGCGCCCATACTACCCGCACATCGAGTGTCTAACCTTAACTCCCTACCAAGATGCAACGCTTCTTCCGGTCCAAATTGTCTCGAAAGATGTCCACAGATTCGAAACCACAGCAATATGAACAATTCTTCCGCTATACTAGTGGGAGGTGGCTATGGAATGAAGAGAAGAAGCTTCGTGAGAGATATATGAAGTTCAATGTTAAAGAACTTAAGCGCATTACAGCCGAGAGCATTGGTGCGAAGTCTTGTGTCTCAATGATCAAGCTGGCCGAAGGTGGATACAACAAGGTCTTCAAGCTGATAATGGACAATGGTTCTGTTGCTATTGCACGCATACCATGTCCCAATGCTGGTCCAGCATTTAAGACCACCGCTTCTGAGGTTGCAACTATGGAATTTGTGAGCTACCCCTGAATCTTAATCGGAGAAATGAGAGCCAATATCTTGCTCCCTTAGGCCAGAACTATTCTCAATATACCGGTTCCTAAGATCCACGCCTGGAGTGCGGTGACAGATAATCCCGTTCAAGCAGAATATATTGTAATGGAAGAGGCCCCTGGAATACCGCTAGCAGATATATGGGAAGATATGGAACTTCAGTCGAAAGATAAAGTCATCGAAGACCTGGTAGCTATTGAGAAGAAGCTACTCTCGGTGTCCTTCACCTGGTTAGTTCCCATAGACAACCCTCTAGGAATTTTACTGACCTTGTTAGGTATGGCAACATTTACTTTGCAAAAGATTCGTTCCCTGGATGTGAAAAAGCAGAGCTTTCTAGTGATGTTTCTGTAGAATTGAAAAATGAGGTAGAAGAGCGATTCACAATTGGTCCAGTGGTAGAGCATGTGTTTTGGAGAAAGGAGCGAGCATCAATGTCAATTGAACGAGGCCCTTGTAAGCCTCCAAGGAGTTATCATTCATGATCAAAATCATGAGCTAATTGTTTGTAGAGAAAACTGCTCATGATTATCTTAAAGCTCTAGCCAATAACCAAATCAAGTGGTTGAGTCAACATACGGTTCGGGAACCGCCAACAGACATATTCCACAAATCGGATGCTCAGAATTCTCCTGACGTTCACGTCGCACTTTACAAGAAATACCTAGGCATCTCTCCTTACATTTTCCCAAAAGATGAGAGGATGACTCGCTCCACTCTTTGGCATTGGGATATGCATACCCCAAATTTCTTTGTGAAAGATGACCGAATTACCAGCCTCATTGATTGGCAATCTACATGGGCTGGCCCTCTGTTCCTTCAATACCGCTATCCGAAGCTTGTCAATTACACTGGCGAAGTGATGTTGAGACTTCCTGGGGACTACAAGGACATGGAAAAGAGCAAAAAAGATCCGGTCGCAAACCAGGTTGAGAGATCTCTTGTGCAATATCTATATAAGACAGAAACCAAGAAACAGAATCCGTTGCTTGTCGAAGTCAATGATGTCCCTCATGGGACGACAAGAAGACAGACGATCGAATTCGCTGAGGATACTTGGGAAGGAGATATTTTACCCTTCAGGCAGTGTCTTATCAGATTAGAAAGGTTTGTCCTACCTTGCTCTCTATTCCACGAAATCAACTAACGAAGAACACATAGGCATTGGGATGAAATGGGGTTTGATGTTCCTTGCCCTATCCATTTTACCGAGGAAGATATACAGAATCATATGCGAGACGGCGAGGGATGGAACGAGCAGGCCGATTTCTGGGATGGATTAGAAGGTTTTGTTGCCCGTGATGGGTGGACCTCGAATGAGACGTATAAAGAAGCCCTCGAGATGTTTGCTGGACTCCGAGAGGAGGGACTGAAGCAAATGACTGGTGAGGAGAGGAAGGATTTTAAGAAGCAGACCAGGTGGGCTAAGAGAATGACAATGGCACTTGGTTAGATTGGCTCGATGCTACCACTTCTTTAGAGTCTATTTTGTAATTCAATCGAGGCGCTGGCTCCAATTCCGACCGTTGCTCTAATCCTCTTCTGGCTGCTACGCGAGAAGTGGGACCCGTGCCTTCACGTCTGTCTGGACGATGGACATGGACACTCTCCATAAACGGCATTTCGTATTGACCATACACGGCTTTCTTGGCTGCGGCTGCGGCTGCCTTGGGTCCTCTCCATATCAAGGAATTGTTTGCAAAACAAGACAGCAGCGCAGAAGTCCGTAACTTCTTGTGTCAAAGGGGGTCGGCATCCCGGGGTGGGCCCATGGTTGGAGGGATCTCCTAGGGAATGATTGGCATCGTGTCCATCAATCGCAGTAGAAGTGTCGTTGGGATGATCTTCCGTGGCGGGCCCGTCTCTTGGGGCATGGTTGGCATCTTGTCCGTCTTTGGCGGTAGAAGTGTTGTCGCGATAATGGTCAACAATTACTGCGTGTTTTGACAGACTTGTTGCATCAAGAGATTCACCCACCGCTCCGGACGTGAGTGTACTGGACATGATGCTGAAATCTGACGGGTTTGGTGATGCTAGAGAGGAAGTTGATACCGAAGTGGCCCGACGAACCCTCTAAAGCCGTGAGTGTACTTCGTACAGTAGTACTATACTTGAGGTCAGGGTATTGATAGGTATAGTGGTCATTTGATTCATTGTGTCATGTCGAATTCCCTTTCCACCTACCCATGAAGTGTGGCGATTGGTTTTTTTGTAGGTGAGCACTGATCACGTCGCACATGTCATGCGGCCATCTAAACGCTGGAGTATCACCGTTATCGCGGAACGCGACGACGATACGTGCTGAGCAATGGTGAATACGGAACAAATCGACCACCAATAGCCCCCCTGGAGCGTAAATGGCACGGCTTTCGGAACTTTATCAGTATGACAACCTGCCTACTCAGACCTCCTTCAGGGTTTTAGAGCTTCTACCTGGGCAAGAAGGCGATCAAATATCATGTTTGTTACACACTGTGGACTGGTCCAATCCACTGGAATATGAAGCTATATCTTATGCTTGGGGTGATCCAAATGCTAAAGAATCGATCACTTGCCATGGAAGAGGACTGGAGGTGACCCGAAATCTTCATACGGGACTCACCCATCTCCGGCTTCAAGATCGGTCAAGGATTTTGTGGGCAGATGCTATCTGGTAAGAAATGGTTAACTCCAGTTGTCTATATAACGTCAAACATCTTCTGCCTATCTTGGCTGTCTTAGGTCTAACAACTTCTTAGTACAAACCAATCAGACATTCCTGAACGTAGCAGTCAAGTCAGTCAGATGCTCAGGATTTACCAAAGCGCAAAAGCTGTCCTCATATGGCTTGGACCAGATTCAGAGGAACAATATGCCCAATTCGCCATCCACTCGATTCGGACAATCTCGGACTTTTTATGCCATAAGGTTGGCATTTCAGTGTCAGACCTGAGCTCCATCAGTGATGTTTACCAGGAAGTTGTGTTCAAGAATCGCGACTCTCTCCCTCTGCCAAATGCGTGCGAATTCAGCACTGAGGCCATGTGGAAAGCCCTGGTCTGGTTCTATTCCCATTCTTATTTTACTCGAGTATGGGCTGTTCAAGAAATAAATGCCAATAAAGCACGATTGCTTCACTGTGGTCATGCGATGATTGAATGGGGCCGAGTTGCTTTGGTTGCTGGCTATATCATTATGGAAACTGCATTCTCCAAAAGTTTCGGCTTCACGGGCGCGCACTGCTGGTGGGCAGCTATCATGACAACAGAGCGTATCAGACAACCCAAGAATTGGCTGTTCATGCTGTATCTCGCATCCAACTTCTCTAGTACAGATCCAAGAGATCAGATATACGGTCTCCGGGGCCTAATGAAGTTCTCCGACGGGGCCGGGCTTCTGGATCCCGACTATGGCAAGTCAACTGTTGACGTGTATCGAGAGGGGCAAAGCATTTAAATGTTGGGGGAAAGAATTATGAGTTTAAAAGTAAAAATTTAATAAAAACCGAGTTTAAGAAAAGGGATAAAAGGGTTAGAAGTTAAGAGAAGTTAATAAAGTTGATGATATTGTATTAATTTTATAATTTAATTTAATATAATATAATTATTAGATTAGATATTAACTTGTAGAGTTTAAATTAAGAGTTAAAAGTTAATCCTAACATAGTCCAGCGTTTTTAACTACTTTACCTTACTGAAATAGGAAAATTCGGCCCGATTAAGCAAGGCGCTCACACCCAAAGGTTGTCGCCACCGGGGGAATGTTCATGGTCCGGGTTATCGATTTTACAAAACGACACAGTGAAATATAAACCTCACTTATTTTGCTTCACGCATGCCCCAACTATCCAAAATAAGCGACACACCAAAATTAAAAGTTTTTCCACCTCATTAAACACCAGCTTTTCAGCATCAATTGCACCACAATTATAAGCTTGAAACACATAAAATATTAATCTAATAGCCTGTTCTATGTCCTCCAGCTAATTTCACAGCTTCCAGGCGTTCTGGCATCTCGTCTACCTACTTATTAATGGTCTTCTGGCTCACTCTCTCCCACCCCTCCAAACTAGCTCTTTAAGAGTGTCAATATCCCAATGAGCTTGAGATCTGGTGTGATGCTTGACTGGCTGCCATGAGTTCTCTACTGGAGAGAGGTCAGGGGAATGTGCACAGTTTTTATAAGTCTTCAGCCCATGGTTTTGCTTCCATTCTGTGACCACATTTGCAGTACCATTCTTATTATACCGATGCCCTGAATCCCCATCCTATTCTAGCACAAAGTCATGGCCTGCATCCAACCAAGGCTTGACAACAGGCTCCAAGATCTGATCAATGTAAACTCTATGGGTCATCTTACTATTTGAATTTGAAGGCACATCATAGAATTGAATCCTAGACTTGAAGTCGTACCCAATGGCTACCCACCAATGCACTCTATATTGCTGATCATCATCCTTCTCTTTCCTCACTTCTTGAATGCAGTCAGAGAGTCCTCTCTGTTTAGAAGTCCTAATGACATGCACCATTCCCTCAGGGCCGAAGCTTACATGGCATTCATCAGAGAACCTGACATTGTGCCAATCCTCCTTCTCTGGGTATTTCTCCTTCATATCTTCAGCCCACTGCAGCCTCTTGGGTGCATCATCTTCTGAAACATATGGCCGTCTGCAAGCTTTGCAAATGTGGTATCCCCTCTTATTCATAGCTCTTCTAATAGCAGCTGTGCCTGCTTCTGTGCCTGCCTCTTGCCCTAATTGTTCCCAGCTCAATGTGCGCCAAAGCAGCGCTAGGGCGCTTTATTATTATTGGTTAGTAGCCCCTGCTAGCGTGGAAAGTGCTAGAACTTTTCTTTTTTTTTTACAATTGTTTGATCTGACACGAGTAACGTCCAACGAGTAACGTCCAACATCCGACGTCCAACGTCCGAAGTACCACACCAGATCTCCGAAATGGCAACCGTTGCTTCTGCTGCTGCAGCGAAGTTTAGGCTCGTCTTCTTCGCGCCCGTACCCGCTCTCGAAACTTGCAAGGCCGCTATCTTCGCTGCTGGCGCAGGTCGCTATCCTGGGGGAAAATACACCGAATGCTGCTGGACCGTTCTGGGTAACGGGCAGTTCCACCCTGGAGATACAGCGAATCCACACATTGGAAGCGTGGGCAAACTGGAACACACGGAGGAGGCCAGGGTGGAAGTGATATGCTTTGGCGAAAATATTGCTAGGGAGGCGGTCGCCGCGCTGAAGACGTAAGTTCGTATCATTACTTCTTGTTTTCCAACTTTGAGCCACCTTTAGTAGGTGCTAATCACTTTTTGGCGGTGGTCTGACAAACTTGCTAGTGCCCGTCCATACGAGGAGCCTTCATATGGTGTGTATAAGTTGGAAGATTTCTGAATTCATGAATCGCATCTTTTTCCCCCGGGAGGCTATAGTCGCAGTTGGGAGGAAATCAGACGTTTTACAACGCGTCGGCTATCCGTAGATCACGTGACGACTTGAAAGGTTTCACTTTTACGTGGCCTTTCCGATTGTATCACTTGGCTGGAAGTAATAAGGCAGCTGCAGTAGTAAATTCAATAGATAACTTTCCTGCAATACTTACTCAACTTTTACATCGTGCCGAGCAGCATATCATCTCAACAGCACTCTAGTGGCGGACGGCGTGCCGAGTTCGAGAAACCACACAATACTTCCTCGCTCTTTAACCCGTCGCACCTTTGGACCTCACCAATTGCCTTGAAAATAACATCCGTTATTCTTAAGTCGCGTCTAACCCAACATACCCTTCAAAAGCATGCTAAAACACCGGCCAATCGACTAACGATTCTGCGTACACGCGGCCAGCATATTAGCTCAGAAATCGACGATTCGTTTTTTTCAACAGATTTTAAAAACGTAGTGCAAATTATAAATAACGAGCGAATATCGAAAAATTAACTTTTTATAATATGAAAATAAAGTAAAAAATTAACGTAAATTTTTTTTTCAATAATTAATATATTAATTAATATTACGGTTCTAGGTTGAATAAGTTTGGATCACGTGATTGTTTCAGTTAGTGTTTGAGGAGCCAGCTTATCTGTCCTCAACACTCTTCCACTCTTTTAGTTCTTTGTCTATTATTCACAGATTAGTGCGTACGTATTGATTCCAGCCTCATGGACCAGCTTGATGTAGGGGCTGTCGGGCGATGTACTTGCGACGAGAAGGGGGATAGGTGCGTTCGTCAGTGTGTAGCTTGAATTATCACTGTCGTCGTTCCAGGTGGCCGTATCTGAAGGATAGGGACATCGATGGAGCACGAGACCACCAATGAGCCAAGTGTTTGAATCAATTTGCTTGAGGGATTTGTTGATGTGGTCCTCGCCCTATTTGCGTACATTGACCATTTCGCTGTGGGTTGATTGTACTTTGTGTCGTTCGTCTCGTGCTGTTTCCACGCGCCCAGAGACGCGTGATTATCGATAATTTTATAATTAAATTTATATTCTTTTTAAAAAAATTTTTTTAATTGCTTTATAAAATTATTTATTTAAAATATAATAATTACGTAATAATAAAACAATATTTTAAATTTTAATAATTTAATTCTTTTCAATTTTATTGTAATATCACGAATAAAACTACTAAAGTCAATTGTTTCTGAAACTTCCTCTGTCACAAATAATCTGGACAGCATTCAGCTTCATCGTAATGAAGATATCAAATACTTCCAACGTTTCTCCTATATCGCTAGAAACTACCCACGATCTCGGACATCGTTCACTGTTCTGGGATCACTTGTTTTCTTATGGGGAGTCGAAAATAGGGTAAAGCACGTGCATGCAACGACGGAGGACATTATGGACAGCCAAGACCAGACCCAAAGACATTCCAAGCATGGCAGGAGCGAGGAATGCCGTACTTTGATCTCAGAATCTGGGCGAATGGATTACGGAACAGTGAAAAGTGAGGTCGGTGGTCAATTTGCTGCAACGGATGACCAGCGAATGGACACTGAAGACAGGAATGTTGACTCACCTTTCCTCGACAATGGAGTCATAACTCACTCGAGCAAAGAACTGAATTTTCTTTCACGGCATCGGTGGTCATCGAAGATATTGATCCTCCTTTCCATCTTAGCCATATCTTTCCTCGGCGTCAATCTGAGCCAGACTACAGTATTTGGCAACTGCCCTCATTCAAGATCAAACCCAGGATATTGCTCCGCAAGTCCATACTGGAAAGGCTGGCCTTACATCAAGTACACATTCGCATTTGGAGATTCCTGGACCAGCACAAGTTTCAATTACACCGACGCTCAACCATCACCCAACGAGCCCCTCGGTAATCCTCCTTTCCCGGGCATCACCTCCTCCAACGCAACAAACTGGATAGGTTATCTGACCACCAAGTACAACGCCTCCTTCCTGCAAACCTTCAACTTAGCCGTCTCAGGCACAACACTCAACAATCACATCACAAACGCATTTCCCATCCCGGTAACGGAACAGATCTACGCTCGCTGGATGCCAGCATATGCAGAAGCATACTGGACGCCATGGAAACGAAACGATACTCTGTTCATGATGTTTGTTGGCATCAATGATGTGATAATAATGAACGACAAAACAGGCGATGACCTGGCTCTCATCGACAAAAAGCTCGAGAGCATGCACCTCAAACTTTTATCTTCTCTCTATGGAGCCGGAGCCAGGAACTTTCTACTACTGAATGTCCCTCCTTTGGAACGGATTTGGCAACCTCCTTGGGTTTCGAAGGAAGCTATTGAGAAATATGGGTCTGATGCTAAGATGTATAATCGACGCATTAACCGCGTAGCTGCGTCCTTGAAAGCGGAGTTCGCGGATGCCAATGTTTTCGTTTATGATGTTCATAGGTTGTTCAATGAGGCATTGGACGAGCCTAAGAGGTTTGAACAGTTGCGTGGGATTAAGAATACGACGGAATTTTGCCCGAGTTATGCTATGTAAGTTCTTCTGGCTGGTCTTGACGAAGGGATGAGCTGATGAATCGAAGGGGAACACCAACTACAGATTATTTTCTTCCAGAGTGTGGAATTCCGGTGAACGAGTATTTCTGGTTGAATGCTTTGCATCCAACGTATCCGATACATGATGTGCTTGCGGAGGAGGTGGTGAAGCTTATGGAGTCGGGACCAAATGTTTGTTAGAAGAGTTATATTTATAACTCAATACTTATCACACTGAACAAGCTTGGCTAAGGCCTGACAGCCGAGTCGATATATCATGATTGAAAATAGATTTTGAATTCCGCTTTGAGTCGATTGGTGTATTGCTTTCTATCATTTTTGAAGTGATTAATTAATCGTCACTCCTCATTGTTCGAGTCCTTTCTTCGTGGATACGAAAGTCGCAGTGGTCATCTATATTGAAGAATAATATGTCTAAGGAGTTCAGGAGCTTTAGGTAGGAAAAATATTTCTATGAATCTCCATCGATGCGAGCGCGGATAGCGCAATTTGCGCAAGTAGCGCGAGTCGCGCGAAATGCGAGGAGATCTATGCAGCTTTAATTCGAAATGGTGTTCATAAAGCGATACTGAAACATGAAACCCATGATTGACTATATGCACCTTTAATGTCCCTCGCGAACTACAGTTAAGGCACACAGGTACACTTCAATGGCCTCCAAGAGCATTTCAGTGGACCTATTTGGGGGCGGAAATCGCGGAGTACCTTTTCCACCAAGTGGGGTAGAGATGCCCCGCTACTTTTCGTACGAGCTTCCGCGAAACTGCAGTTATACGCGAATGTGAATGTGGATGGCATGGTGTGAATAATATTAGGTGTAAAGACTGAGAACGTTGAAGAATGTGGCTGACTCGGGCCATGCAAGAGTCAAGTGTGGGGAGTGCTAAATGCTTAGCAGATATTGGGGTAAACGTTTATCCACTTTATTCTCCAGACTTCATCTTAAGCAGATGACTTTGACACAACTTGTCAATGACGAGACAGATTGTTCGCCTCATTATTGAGATGATACAAGACTATATTTCTTCGCTTGTCGTCGTTTCCATTTTCATATCCCATCATCGTTCCTTAAGGACATCACAATGATAGACTCTACCTCGCGCTCGACCACAACTTCTCCCCCTCTCAACATAATCCTCATAGGCGCAGGCCTCATCGGCCCCCGACACGCTGAATCCATCCTCAAAAACCCATTCACCACCCTCCTCGCTTTAATCGACCCTTCCCCTGCCACCATCTCCCTCGCCGCCACCCTAACCACAACACACTACCCCTCCATCCCCTCCTTCCTCTCCTCCTCCCCCCAGAAGGCCGACGCAGCCATAATCTGCACACCGAACTCAACCCACGTCTCCCTCGCCCTCGAACTAATCTCTGCCTCCATCCCCCTCCTCGTCGAGAAACCGATCTCGACCACCATCTCCGACGGCAAGAAATTAATCGACTCCGCCAAAGAAAAGGATATAAAAATCCTAATAAGCCATCATCGCCGCTTCAACCCTTATTTAATAGCAACAAAGAAATGCTTAGACGACAAACAGCTAGGAACCATAACCGCCATCCAAGGAACGTGGTCCCTCCTCAAAACGCCCTCTTACTTCACCGGTCCCGGGTCCTGGCGGCAATCCTCCGCATCCGGGGGCGTCGTCCTAATAAACTTAATCCATGAAATCGACCTCCTGCAATTCCTGCTCGGGCCCATAACATGGGTAACGGCTCTCCCAACCCCCAAGACGCGAGGCTTCGAAGCCGAGGAAGGTGCTGCTATCTTGCTTAAGTTCGAGAGTGGAGTGGTAGGGACGTTTATATTGAGTGATGCGACGCCTAGTCCGTGGAATTTCGAGATGGGGACTGGTGAGAATCCTCTTATTGGGCAGGTAGAGGGGAGCGAGGTAGGAGGATTTTATCGGATTTTTGGCACGGGGGGAAGTTTGAGTGTGCCGGATCTGAGGGTTTGGAGGGGTGATTGGTGGGAGGGGATGGAGAGGGAGGAGGTGCGGGTTGAGAGGGAGAAAGTCCCGTTTGATGAGCAGTTGGGGCATTTTGTGAATGTGGTGAGGGGGGCGGAGGAGCCGGGGTGTAGTGGGGAGGAGGGGTTGAGGGCGCTGGTTGTTTGTGAGGCTGTGAAGAGGAGTATGGGAGAGGGGAGGGCGGTGGAGATCAAGGGGTTCGAGATTAGGTGTGTGTGAATATTTGATGGTACATTAGGTATATATACATTGAGTTCTAATTCGGATGCTCGAATACAGCTCGGGTTCTTGAGATAAGGGTCTCTCTCCTGCTTCCACTCATACTCCTGATTGGACTTGGTATCCCACTAGGTCTTATCTCCCTGCTCTGTCTCTTCTCCCAACTCCCTGTCACTGATCTAGTTGGAGCAGGTATCGGCGCTTGGTAATTATATGGATCGAATTCGGTTTGTGTTGGTAATGGCGAAGCAGCTTTATTTAACTCTTGATGATGTGATTCGAAAGCTCCGAAGTCAACTTCGACTTCATGGGTGTGATCATGCCATGAAGATTGGTGGATGAGTGGTTCAGCGACGGCTTGCCGTGTGGAGTGGATGGGACTGGGATGTTCGTCGTCAGTTGGTGTCACTGGTGAAGAGTCCTCGACATTTTCGAGAGAATTGCTCAGAGACGAGTAGCTTCCGTTGCCGACCAGATTCGTGACGATTGGGACATTGTCTTTGACTCTATTCAGAAGCGAAGCGAAAGCTCCTGGTCCGAATGACCTTCGTGAAACAGGAGCTGGCGGAGGGACAGAAGTGTCTCTGGGTTTTTGAAAACTATTTCTTGGGCTTGAGCGGAAATCATCATAATCTGAGTGATCAGAGTCTCCAAAGAAATCTCCAGTCTCGAGCGGACTGGCGAAACCATTGTGATCGATTTGGTGAGGGATGGTGACAGCGCCTTCTTGGTGGAAGACCAGCATGCCGTGACTTCCTTGCATGGTTCCGAGCTGAGATTGATCGGTCCAGTAGGTTGGAGGATTTGGTGGTGCATATTGGACAGGAAGGGAAGGTTGTTCTGGTATCCATGGCTCTTGGTTGATACTTGATTCGTCTTTGAGATGTGAGATGGCATGAGCTAGTGACACTTCACCGATGTGGTCTACGCGTTCCGCAGCAGCTCGAATTGCAACTGTGGAAGCACCACTCGGGTCGAATTTCATCGCACCATGAGATCCCTGGATCGAAGCTAAATCTGCCTGATTTGCCGTCCAGTACGGTCGACTCTGCATGGCAACTTGCAATGAGGCTCCCTTGTTCTGGAAAGAAAGCATACCGTGAACGCCATTCACTTCGTGCAACATCTTCTGATCTGCTAGCCAGTATGGGTTTGGCCTTGATATCACCATTGTGGCACCATTCGACCCGAAACTCAAACGCCCATGAGAGCCACGGATTACAGAAAGTTTGCCCTGGTCAGCGGTCCAATAGGGATCTGGTCTCTTAACCATCAGAGAAGCACCGCTCGATCCGAAGCTGAATTGTCCATGAGTGCCGTACACCACATCCAACCTCCGCTGATCAGCTGTCCAGTATGGGTCTGGCCGTTTCGGTGTGAGGGCAGCTCCGCTGGGTCCAAAAGTCAGTTGAGCATGTGACCCGTTCACCACATCCAAACTTTGTTGATTTGCAGTCCAGTACGGATCCGGTCTTTTCATGATGAGAGAGGCACCGCTCGACTCAAACTTCAACTGCCCAAGAGTACCCTTCACCACACTCAGCCGTCCTTGGTCAGCAGTCCAATAGGGATCTCGTCGAACGATTTCCAGCGAAGCACCATTCGAACTAAACGCCAACCGCCCATTTGTTCCTCTCACAGCCGAAAGGCCAGCTTGATTTTCAGCCCAATACGGATCTGGGCGCACGACCTTCAAAGAGGCGCCATTGGAGTCGAAAATTAGTCGAGCGTGAATTCCCGTAACTTCTGGAAGCTGACATTGATCCGCGCTCCAGAATGGATCTGGACGAACTGGTTCAAGAGATGCGCCATTCGAATCGAAAGCCAGTCTTCCGTTCATACCTCTGACTTGAGGAAGTTTGATCTGATCCGCACCCCAGAACGGATCTTGCCTCATAACCTGAAGCGCCGCACTATTCAAATCAAAAGCTAGCCGTCCGTTCATACCTCTTACCTCGGAAAGTTGGCTCTGGTCCGCACTCCAAAATGAATCCGCCCTCACGGCCAATAGGTGTGCATCATTCCCACGGAAAGAAAGACTGGCATGACTACCTTTTACCGACGAAAGCGTCCCTTGGTCTTGAGCCCAGTAAGGAGTCGCTCTCACAGGTACAAGTGAAGAGCCTTCTGCGTTGAAGGAGAGTTTTCCGTGAGATCCTCGGACTAGTGATAAAGAGCTCTGGTCAATCCAGTAGGGGTTAACGCGAAGGACTACTAGGGAAGCAGAGTTTTCTTTGAAGTGCAGAGTTCCGTGCGTTCCATTGACTGTGGGGAGGGTTGCTTGGTCGTGGCTCCAGTACGGGTTCACGGTAACAGCCTCAAGCGAAGCTCCCTCGGCGTTGAAAGCGAGCTTGCCGTGCGATCCTCGGACACGAGAAAGAGAAGCCTGGTCGACCCAATACAGATCTTTGCTCACAACTTCAACGATAGAAGCCTCTCCGCTAAAGGCTAGTTTTCCGTGCTTTCCCCTGACCGTTGCGAGTGTGCTCTGGTCGGCCCAATACACGTTCTTTGCCTTAATTCCCCCCGAAGTAAGGGCTGCTGACGTTCGACGACTTCCTCGATTTACAGCAAGAGCCAGTTGAGCTTCCCAGTAGATCTTAGGGGTGACTGATTTCGTGATAGCTCCAGATTGCGTGAAGTGTAATCGCCCGTGTTGGCCTGTTAGCGTTAAGAGAGAGGCTTGGTTGATCCAATAAGGATTGGATTTGACGGATTGCAGAGATGCTCCGTCGTCGCTGAATACTAGGCGGCCATAGTCACCTCTCACGATGGGAAGGGATGATTGATTGACCCAGTATGGGTCTGGTCGAACGGGACGCAGTGTAGCTGTGTGATCGGAAGAGAAGGAGAGACGAGCATGTTGTCCTGTGACGATCTTGAGGGCTGATTGATCGACCCAATATGGGTTTGATCGAATGGCCTTCAGAGCTGCTCCGTTGCTGCTGAACATTAATCGACCGTAATCACCTCTCACAACAGTAAGGGTCGATTGATCAGCCCAATAAGGATCCGGTCTTACTATCCTGAGAATTGCTCCGTCTTCGCTGAAGAACAATCTTCCGTAGTCTCCTTTGACAGTCGAGAGAGTCGCTTGGTCTACCCAATAAGGATCTGGCCCAACCACTTTCACAGAGACTTCATCGCCAAATACCAGCATTCCATGTGTTCCCATCACATTCTGAAGAGTTGCCTGATCTCTCCAATAAGGATTAGGTCTCACAACCTTGAGAATAGCGTCATTCTCCGAGAAGTGAAGTTTTCCATGATCTCCTCTCACGATCGAAAGAGTTGCTTGATCTCTCCAATAAGGGTCTGGCCTCATTACTTTCGTCGATGCTTCATTCCCAGAAAATTTCAACATAGCGTGACTCCCTCGTACAATATCTAAGTTCGCTTGGTTCGCCCAATACAGATTCTCCCGCTGCGCAACTAGCACTGCACCTCGCTGATCAAAAGACAGTGTTCCATGGCTGCCACTCATGGGCTTGAGCTGAGCCTGATCCGCTGCCCAGTATACGTCGTTTCTCGAATGGGTCGCTTGCACAAGCTCCTCCAAAGCAGGATGACGAACATCGTATTTCTCACCTACAACCTCGACAATTTCGGAGGAAGCAACTAATGCCTTGGCTACAGGAACAGATCGTTCAGTCCCATGATTCATCGTCGCGGCTCCGAGTCCACGAGGTGGTTTGCCTTGGCTAGGCATGTGGGTTGTGAGTTCTGGAGATGGCTTTGATCGCGTGTTGTTGTGTGGATGACCGCGTTGAACGGGCTTTGGAGCTGCGAACCAGACTTTCTCGGGTGGGATGGCGCGAGATGTTGCTCGGGGTCGGATTGGTGCGTCCATCCCTTCTTCTTCATCTGGCTTGAAAACTTCCGCTGCTAAAAGAGTCGCAGCACCAGCTTCGAACATTGTCATTGTGTCGAATTTCGGGAAGCTGTGCTGCTGAGTTTGCAACACCGGTTCGGGGGCAGCCAGTTGGCGAGAAACAGGCTTCCATGTACGTGAGTGGCTCGAAAGATGAGAGACATCCTCTATGTCGCCGAGATTCGTGATGTTGAAAGGATGTCCGTATGCAGGTTCAAAAACTCCGTCCACATCTTCGGACTTCGGCGTCAGGATGACATCCATGTCTGCGCCGCCTTCTCGGAATACCAATGTGCCCCAATCTCCAGCAACGAGTTTGAGCTTCGATTGATCAGCCCAGGTTGGGAGGAGAGCATGCTTTATTACGTCGATTTTGAAAGGGTTTTTCTTCGCTTCCGTGGATATTGATGATGATTGTCTTACTCTGGGAGATTCGACCACTGCCATTTCCGCACCCTCGCCACGGAAGTTCATGACGCCATGAGAACCACGCACAATTGGTAATGAGGCTTGATCAGCCCATGTAGGCAGTCTGCTGTGCTTTGGTCCATCGTAGACGTATTTGGTCAGGGCATTAAGGGTATCGACATGCGCTTGTACTGGCACTCCTCGTTCTAATGACTGACTCTGCGAACTGGGCTCATTGATCCTTGACAATGTAGATTTGCGTTGCATTGGAGGTCTTCCTGATGCTAACATGTCCGCAACATCAGCTGCGAGTGGTGTTCCAGAAAATCGCTTCGAGCCCCTTCGGAAGGATGCTGGTCGTGGAGCTCGCATCTTCGCATCGATCATAGCACTGATAGCCTGCACCAATTGTTAGCATCTGCAACACACGTTAATCTCCAGAGATCAAATACCTGGCGCTTCTGTTCCAGCTCTGCTAATTCTTTCTGGCTTTCCTCGACCTTCTTCTCCATCTCCTCCTCCAATTGTTCCATCTGCACATCGAAATCATCGTAGAGGCTGTTCTCACGCTCGATTGCATCTGCCCTCCTCCTTTCTTCTTCTGCAGCAAAAAGGATCTTGATCTCCTCTTCTTCTCTTTCTGCATTTGCTTTCAGCTCCTCCTCATGTTGTTGGATCTTGGCCTGTCTGTCATCATCCTCACTTTTCCTCCGAGCGGCAATTTCCTCGTCCTCTCGTTTTCTCGCAGCAGCTAATTCTTCCGCTTCTTGTGCCCTCCTAGCCACGACCTTTTCATATGCTCGTCTACGCTGCTCAGCAGCAGGCAATGCAGCCTGTCTCTTCTTCTCCTCCAACCCCCTTGCTTCCTTCTCCCATTGTAGATTCAGCAATTCTGCTCGTTTCTCTCGTTCGCTCTCGAGTCGTTCAATCTCATCGTCGTGTGCTTTCGTATCCGATATCCGTGCCAGGTGGTAATTGATCGCATCGAGATTGGCCTGCATCTGGCTGACCAGCTCAGCAACCGTCGCTGTCGCTATCGCCATCGTTGCTGCTCCGCGACGTGTCCTCTGCCTCGCAGGTAAATAAAATTAATGAATATCAAACACGCAATGAGTCGCAGACTCGGATAAAAGAAATGGGTATATTCTAGTCTATAGATGTTGCATGAATGGAAAGAAAAATTTGGGTGTGAGATCTACTCTCAAGCATCGGACGAACTGAAGAAAGATAGAAGACAACCTAACGGCGGAAGGAAAAGAGCAAAGTTCGATACTTGTCAATTGATACTGATCCATTATTGGTGATCCAAGCTGGATTGTGCAAGGGTTGCGGAGATAGTGAGGGAAGTGAGAGGGAACATCCATCAAACAGGAGTCTCCGTGTTTCAAGGGCTGGATGAGTCGCACGAGACTGAATCAGGGAATCTGCAGTGGGAATATGTCCAATCACTGTCGCAGGATGCAGAGCTGCAACAACGGTCACTCCAATAGAAGAAGTGGTAAGCGCCATAAAACATATTGTATTGCAGATGGTGATGTGGTGGGGATGATTGTTGTTGTTGAAGAAAAAAAGTTTGGAGAGTAAATGAGACTTGATATGCGGTGCAGGCTAAATCTAAGTCTAACTACCTTCGTACTCATAGGGTAAACTTCATACTGTAGTCCAATTCTCTTCAGGAATGCGCATTCAACACACACTGAGACCTAGGAAACACAAATGAAAAGTATATTGTCTTCAAAAATAGCATCTCAACAATCCTGTAGGCATCATGATAGGAATTCGGATCACCGAAGTTTCAAGATTTGTTCCATCTTCCTCCTCTGTGCGTGCCGCTGAGGTCAAGCCAGGCTCCAAGTCCCTTATCTTGCCCCCTGAAATTTAGCGACATTCAGCCGAACTTCAGCGGGCCGAGGCCGACCGAGCACTAAACGCGTCGGCGCGTCTTCCAACTACAGTAGTCCCAAATCATGACGTCGTCCCGCACTTATGGTTAAAGCTTCTTTCGTCCAAAGTCAATCAACAAACATGACAATCGAGATGGAAACGAGGACTCACAGTCTCCCAAGCCCTGTGTCACTATGGCAGAATCAAAAGACTTCGGAGTCCGGAGACTGGAGAATATCAAGCGCAATGGCGCACTCCTCGAGAGCCTTGGTGTCAACGAACAAGCCAAGGCCATCCACGACTCGAGACCCATCGAACCTGCGAAGAAGAAACGAAAGATCGAGAAGACGAAGCTGAATCTACCACCCTCTCGAGCCTCTGCTAGAATAGCATCCGCCTCTTCTCGACCAATATATGATGAAGATGTCCTCACCCATGCTATTGTAACGACCAAGCAGACGAAATCGACGTCTAGCAAGAAGGGAACTTCTGCGAGCAAAACGAAACTTGAAGAAACCAGAGACATAAGACCAGAGATACCCACAAAAGACCTTGGAGAACTCCAAGCCTCCTGGACATCATGGACACCCACCGCACCGCCCCCAACCCGCGATGAAGAAGGCGTCTTCCACTTCCCCTCCCACCCAGACTTCACACCCAACAAATCTCCCGAAGAAGTCCTCCGCGAAGGCTGTTTCGGCGGCTCCTATTTCCGCCCCCTCTACTCCAAGAAACTCAGCATAACAATCTCCAACGACTGGGAAGAACTACCACCCTCCTGGACCACCAACCTAAACGTCCCGACCTACCTCACGTCCCCTAGCTACGAGCCCGAAATGAACAAGTTCCACGTAACTTGCGGACAGTCGATCGAGGAATGGGAAGCGGCTGGGTGGATAAACCATGATTTTGACGTGCGGGGCTGGTTTCAGTGGTACTGTCGGTTCTTTATGGGGAGACGGTGCGCGGATGATGAGAGGCAGGTGGGGAGGTGGAGGAAATGCGTGGGGAGGACGGGCAGGTGGAGGAGGATGTTGTTGAAGAAGTATGTGAGTGCGGGGGTGAGGGAGGTGGTTGATGATGGGGCGGAGGACGGGCAGGAGGAGGTTAGTCCGGTCATGCATCAGACGTGTCATCATTGGGCGTTTATGGTGACGCAGGAGGTGTTGGATGAGTATTGGAGGACGGGGAAGTGAGGGACGTTGTTGGCGAGGTTAATGAATCTGCCATTCGATGTCGTTGTTGTTTGACCAACGGAAGATAACTTGGAGCTGGAGTGTGTGAGATACGCATGGAGGTCCAGCTTCAACACACTTTGGTGCCATGTTACTACGAATGGCCGATATTTCCGCTCGGCCCTTCAAGACGACGGAGAAATGTTCGATCTCCAGTCGAACATTGACTAGGGTTGGGATTTAGGTTCCAAAGGTCGCGCAAATTGTTGAAATGCTGAATCACGAAGAGCTGAATTCAACATTGCTTTAGTTGCAACCACACCACGTTTGATCTCCAAATATACTGCCTATCTCTACCTGTCTCGTGTCTCAAAATTCATCGATCAATAATCATGGAAACACTGGAGAATTTCCGACCGACGTCTTCGACCTTTACAATGATACTTGTCGGCACTCTGCTAGGCTCGCTCGTTTGCGCGGCTAACATGTATTTTGGCATGCAAGTGGGCAGCGTCAACACCATATCGCCGTCTACGGCTCTCATCTCGTTCGCCATCTTCAAAAGCCCGGATCAATGGCTAGCACACGTTTTTACACCTGCAGAAAATGTTGTGGTTCAGACCATTGCTTCCTCCATAGCAGGCATGCCCATTGCGGCGAGCATGCTCAGCGTTGTCCCTGCCTTCGAATTCCTAAGAAGACCAGAAGAGGGAGGCCAGCGCCACTTCTCTATTACCGAGTTGATTTTATGGTCGCTAGGAGTGTCTTTGTTTGGTACCGTCTTTGCTGCTCCTTTTCGCAAATATTTCCTCCTGTGGGAGCGGCTACGCTTTCCTGGCGGCTTCGCCACAGGTGTCCTGATCGGGGCGCTCCACAAGGATGGCGAGATTGCCTATATCGCTGATCTGGATAAGAAGGGCTTATCCTTCGTGGACTCAGATCGTGCGATCGATGCAGCTGCTGATGATGCTGGAGATGATGCATCACCTGACCTTTCTCAAACGCAGAGTCACCTTTCGTCGACCAGCCATGTAGCAATCATCCTCAAAGCTTTCTGTGGCACCACCATCTATGTACGTAGCTCTGATTAAATGAGATCTCGTCAGCTTCTAACTTGTCTAGATATTCGTCTCATACTTTATTCCGATATTGAACGCTCTTCCAGTCTTTGGGCCTGCCGCGGCTGGTGACTGGCTTTGGTTCCTGACTTTGTCTCCAGCATTCACGGCTTTCGGGATGATATTAGACCTATCCGTTGCCTACTCTATAGTGCTTGGGGCTATTCTGGGTTGGGGAATTCTCTCCCCAATTGCCAAAAATCACGGATGGGCGCCGGGGTTGGCTACTGATATGGAAACAGGCGTTCGTGGTTGGCTCATCTGGATCAGCATCGCCTTCTTACTTGGAGACGCCATGATCAGGGCACTCCATGGGCTCACAAGCATTACTCTGGGCCTCTACAATAGCATTCGATCTCAACGTCATATCAGTGCCCATTGCAATGAACACACGGATACAAGACCACTAGTTGGAGAATCCACTCCATGCGACAGCAGCACACCTCTGCTAGATCCAATCTTACATCAAACCCGAGGCAATCATGTTGTTTCCAGCAGGACAGTTTTGTATTGGCTGCTGCTATCCACTTCGCTTTGTCACATACCTTGTCTTCGGTCGGGAAATACCGCTTTATCTTATTGTCACAGCTGTTGCAATAGCATTTCCACTCTGCCTTGTTGTCATCCAGTCCACTGGTGAAACAGATACCGTACCATTAAACAGTCTCAGTAAGTTTCCTGATTGTCTGCCATCCTTGCGATACTAATGTACGGAGGCAATGCTTGCCAATTTCTGTTCCTTCTAATGTTATTCGAGGGTGCTGGGGCCAAGCTCGCCACAATGATTGCCGGGGCTATCACGGAAGCTGGTTTGTGGCAATCTGCCGTTTTGATGACAGACCTTAAGACGGCCTACCTAGTGCGAGCCTCTCCGAGAGTCATGTTTCACGCACAGCTACTCGGGTCCGTGATAGGATGCTTCATAGGCAGTGTTATCTATCGAACTTTCACTGCCGTATACAGCATTCCAAGCAAGGAGTTCTCTATCCCGCTCGCTCACATGTGGGTGAACACAGCCCGACTCGCCAAGGGGGGAGATCTTCCTAAAGGAGTCGTGCCATTTGCTATTGCAGCACTCTTTATCTTGGCTTGCCTGCGTGCCATCTGTATAACAGCGGGACAACGGCGTTGGACATCCTGGCTCCCCAGTGGAGTTGCCATTTCCATTGGTAAGATTGAAAATGCAACGCCCATCCAAGTCGAAGTCGGAACTGACCTGCCGCAGGCATGTATGTTCCTCCATCGGTAACACTGGCGAAGTTCATTGGTGCTGGACTGCGATTGTACTTCATGCGATGGTGGGCGGTTTCTGAGCTGACGCTAATGGCTGCTGCGACGGACTACATTCTGAGTGAAGGGACCTTGGGATTTGTTCCCATGACCATGGCGGCGTTGGGTATCCCGCGGCTCATGTAAATCGGCTATGGCTTCAAAATCTGAGACTCAAAGGCGACTACAATGAAGTCGCGCGAGATGGTGTAGTACTCGCATTATAAACTGCATGCGGCTACGAAAACGGGCAGGTAGTCGTGCAGATCAATTCCACTACCTAAAACCCGGGGCATATCTTACCACCCTTTTCACATCCACTGCAGGTTGTGTTGGAGTGGTGGGTAAGAGTGGCAAATGTCCGTTCTTCGGTGCGTGGGTGATCCTACCCCGCTTGCAGAGCCTCATTTTGAAGGTCACTTGGGGGCCCCGTTATCTGAATGTTGAATTCGGTAGCACAGAAACATTGAATCAATTTTCAGTTTTGCTCCACACTATCTGTGAAACTTTGTCAGCGGATCGTTCCACGAGGAAACTTTATCAGACATGCTGACCTCACCTATGTGGTTTCTGAAGGAGCTAGAGCTCTACAAGCATGTGAAACCGTACCGCCTAGATTTCGATCCAGAAGATGACAATTTTCCTCGCACAAACGTGGACCGAGTTGAAATACCTGGTGTTCCTATTCACGACATCCGGGGCAACGAAGACCAACTGTTATTTCCCAAATGTGGCTTCAGTATCCTACACATGCCGTCATCCTTAACTACACTCGATTACGATGATCATGACTTAGTGACGGATCGTTACTATTCATTTATTGAGAAAGCCGTCCAGGACTTCAGCGAGAAGTCCCACCTAGGCGCAAAGGTTGTTGCGCTCGATCACAAGGCAAGATTGAATCTCTAGATTCAGTGCCGGAGACAGCCCGCTGACTCGTAGTATGGCTACAGGTGCGAAAACGACATTCTACCTTTCCAATTTCGAACGGCGAGAATTATTCTGATCCCCAGCCCGTCATGGTGGCACACGTTGGTGAGCTGTCCCATGCAATCATATTGTAATGGACAAAAAAGTTCCGCCCCTGGTGCTAAAGCGCTTGACAGATTGGACACCCCAAACCATCGAAAAGAAGCTCCGACTTACTGTAGGGGATGAGAAGACTAAGGTGATCTTGGGCGGCCAGTATCAGTTCTGCCAGTTCGTTTCGCTGAGCTCATAAGCACTCCTTTCTCGTGTCCTGTCGCACACTAACAGGCTGATGAGCTAGTGCCTGGCGCCCACTCTTTGGACCTCTCAGAGGCTACCCCTTAGCTGTCTGCGATTACTCCACAGTCAATCCCGAAAACGACTATGAGATAACTGATGATGTCTACGAGAACCACGGTGTTGACGAAAACTACATGGTTTACCATAGACCTGGGCATAAATGGTATTACCTCAGTGATCAAGAGCCTACTGAGATCTTGCTTTTCAGAGAGTATGACAGCACCGTTGGACTGATGTCTGGTGAGTCTCTGCCACTTATAATCAACTATCATAAACCAGTCGAGTCTCACTGACTGCTCATCTCAACAGGAATTCCCCATTGTGCTATTCCTAACCCTGTCCCCTCAGAGCACATTATGGCAAGGCAAAGCATCGAGGTTGAATTGGTGATTTACTGGCCATGATCCTGACTTTGGAAACGGTAAGAAGGGCGTATGAACTTAATCTTGCGTTGGGGCACTTGTGGCGACACTATGAAGTATCTGATTATGTAACGAACGTGTGCATTGAAGTTCAACTAGCTTTCCTACGATAACACATAGCCGAGCTATCTCTCTGGCGCATTTCGACGGCTAAATCGCCTCCCTTAGGCCACAAGTTGATTGCCCCCCGAAACCACATTACCTCTGTCAACAATCTTGGAAAGCAGCGTACCTAATCTTGCCCAGGCAGCGGAAAGACGAAAAGGTTTTGTACTGTCAGAATTTCATTTAAACAGGTCAGCTTTTCAAGAAGGGGACACACGTCTTAATCTAATCCGTGCCGAAGGCTCTGACAACTGAACGCAACCAACGAGAGGCGCCTCAACCCGGCTTTTGACATCCCGACCTTCCCCTTTCAACGCCAGGATGCGAGGATCCCCGTGGCAGTACGTTTCTAAATTGAAACAGGTATTCCACCTATCAGGGTTCCGAGCTCCTCACGATGGAATAGAGTGAGTTTCAAATCCCATAAGGCTGTAAGCGCTGCCACGCCCATATCTAATACAGAAGCAGTATCGTGGTGATCCCGGGCCTCTGGGTTCACCACACGGTGGAAAAGGAGTCGAAAAGATGCTCATGGTTGAAGATTCTGGCTGCTTCCACGGACTATGACACACGCGTTTTCATTTTCAAGTACGATATTGAACCTGGTAAAGATGGGAGTGTGTGGCATCCACTGCTAGGGCTTAGCAGGGTCCTGTTGGACGCCCTTCGTCAAGCGCGGCCATGTGAGGTAGATGCTCTATTTCTCTCTAGGTCGCCTTTGAGTAACGTGTGCAATCTTAGAGCCAAAAGCGACCTCTGTACTTTATTTGCCACAGCCTAGGTGGTATTATCCTCAAGCAAGCTCTTTACCTTGCTCACCACAGCTATCCAGCGATTCGCAATGCTCTTTCCGGCATAATCTTCTTGGCCACTCCGCACCTAACGTCCATCGATGATGAACGATGGGAAAAATGGCGCCTGATCCTCAAAGCCTTCCAACGAAATGTTCCGAAAACTGCATTAGGGTTATAGGACATTGCAATGCTCGCCAATGTCTGCGGAAAGTTCACTGGACTCAATCTCGGAATTCAAATAATATCTGTCTATTATGCTAATGGCCTATCAGCCAGTATGCGATCGAGGTAGAATATCAAGATCTCGTTCTACGCCACATCGACGTCATCCCAGCGAGAGTGTTGTGGAACCAAGTAAGTGAAACTCAAGATGATTCATTACTATCTCGCAACCAGATGTGGTTACGACTAGTAGCTATGACTAAGCTAATCATGTGCCCCAACAGACAGGCGACGCAGTCGTTACACTTTTAATCCGAACTCCACAAGGATTCGCGTTCCAGGCGGCAAACCAGCGCAACTGTGTAGCAGCTCTCTGGAGACTACTGAGGGGCTTGAAGATTTCTGGACCGCAGGCAGCGGTCACCGTCGAGATGATCGGGTACGAGCTCTGGGGACCAAAGAGGATTTCTCATGTAGAACTCGATCATCCCTTTCATGCAGCATGGGAGACTAGTCTACGACAGAGCTTCATGAACTTCCTAGACACCTTCCAGAAGCTTCAAGGCAAAGTTTGCTCCATCGACGTCGTCCGGTTAGGATTTGATCTCGAAAATCCAGCCAACAATCCTATCGTTGTATCTATCACAGTGGACTGCACTTTGAACCCACCAGACTACGATAGCATCAAGTCCGGAATGCTCCAATCTCTCCGTCATGCTAATTTTCCCTTTGTCCGGGTCGAATTTGAACGCGAGTGTTTAAGTGAGTGAGTGGGTGGCTAGGTGGTGAGTAAGAAAGAAAGTAGAACGGGTGAGTGAAGGTAGAACAAAGCAAGCAAACGAACATTTCACTAGCGTTGAAAACTCAAATGAGGCTGAAACAATTTTCCTTTAATTTCCTCCTCACTATTCTACATTCCCACCTCTATTCGGTTATTTATACTTATATAAAGTAGCAATGAGAGGTGAGCAGTAGTGATATGAATTTAATTGTTTGTTAAAATTGTCAGACAAATAACAGACATTCTAGGCAATACAATTGTCGCCTTAGTCATTAATACAAGGCGGTGTCGAAAGACGGCTAGCGTATTAAAGACTTTTTTGGCAATACAAGTGCTATGCTCGTCAAAACAAAGGCGGTCTCAAAAACGGCTAGCGTGTAACTGACATTTTTGGCAATACAATTGTCTCTGCCTTCGTCATTAATACAAGGCGGTGTCGAAAGACGGCTAGCGTATTACAGACTTTTTTGGCAATACAATTATCTTTTTGCTGAACCCCGCTTGTCAACAACAAACAACTCCTCAAGACAACACGCAATCAACCCTCTGGAACGTCTCGAGCTCACACAGAAAAGATGGAGTCGCAAGCATCTGAGCAGGTAGATTTCAACTTCTTGAAGTCCCACAGATACGCTGACACTCTGTAGTCTAACATTCACGCCGCCGCCGCCGCGCCCCTCACCTCCGCAGCCTCTCCTGCTAGTCACGTGCCAGATGGATACTACATCAACAAGAAGGGCAAGATGACCAAGAAGAATCGTCCTGCCAAGTATGTCTCTCACTCCCTTTTTACACAATGGAAAATTGTCTAACACCTCTCAGAGAACGTCAGGAGTACGGACTTCCGCAAGTTCTCATGTCGGAAGCCGAGCTCAAAGCTGTTCGACCCGGTGCACAATTGAAGACCTTCGCCAATCACCCTGGCAAGGCACGAAGAATCAGATTGAGTCTGCGGGAGGTCAACGCACTCAATACATACAGAGGCCAGAATGGTGGACGGGAGGTAGACGTGGGAGCTGGGAATGGAAAGCTTGTTGGTGCTGCACAACGAAAGAAAGCAAGCCAACATTATGAAAAGACCCTGGGGGATCGAGTCGCTAAGAAGAGGAAGATGATGAAGCAGAAGAGAGAGAGAAAGCAGAGACAGATGGGGAAGTGGGGCTTGGGACAACCCAGTGCATAAGTTGGAGGTAGTCTTTGTCATGGATAATTTTCGGTTGCTCCTAAATGCAGACCCTTGCAGTCGCACTCGCTCTGCCAATCACCAAGATGAAACTGCGCGCTGACTCAGATCCCAACAACGAGTTCCCACTCACACCCATAAGCTTCATTCTCATTCTACCAACTTGTTGGACATCCAAGGTCTGCTAACGTTGCACTCTTGTTTCCATTAAATATGGCGTCCAAGTGGTGGTCAGACTTTGCGTTGAGGAGCTTCTCCATTTCTGCCCATCCAGCGTGTCCAGCTGTTAAACTCCTGCAGTGGAAGTCTCAATCCTTCCAAGCCAAATCATTTACATGCTCGAGAAGAATGTATCAATCAACCTCTTCGAGCTCACAAATCCCGTTGGGGCTGTACTTATGGAAAAGGTGGGATGCCCTCACGCTCGAATTAATTAGCCCCACTATTTGCTTACGGATATGGCAGGATTCGACAACTCGGAGTCAAATCAGTGATGGGACTACCTGGAGATATGAATCTTGAATTATTGCATTATATGAAAGATACCGATCTACGTTGGGGTTAGTTCCCTACTCCTTTTTGTGCTGCCGACATTCAACTCAAATTAGAAAGCTGACACAAAATCTCAGTTGGTAACTCAAATGAGCTCAATGCGGCCTACGCTGCTGATGGCTACTCGAGAATCTCAGGAGGTCCTGGTGTTTGTAAGTACTATCTCCAAGCTCGTGTTCAGAGCTGACCGCATGCCGAAAAGTGCTCACGACGATGGCTGTTGGGGAACTGAGCGCTATGAATGGTATTGCGGGCTCTTATGCCGAGAATGTAAAGATCATCCATGTTGTTGCTGCAACTGGGAAGATGGCGCAAGAAAGTAAAGTGGTTATGCACCATACATTGGGTTCTTCTCCCAATCATAGAGTGGGTCCGATGTATCCAAGATTGATATATCTTGCTGACAAGAATTCCTTTACTTTAGATATTCGAGAAAATGTCAGCTCCTGTCAGAGTAGCCCATTGTTACCTCGATGACGAGAAGATCGCTGCGCAGGAAATCGATGTGAGTTCCAACGTGCAACCTTTCTTCTTACTCGCATGCAAAGTCTCGAGCTCATGGATATTTCAGAGAGCCATCCACGAGTGCCACATCCAATCTCGACCAGTATATATCTACGTTCCAGTCGACATGGTCCATAAATCCATTTCTTCGGCCACCCTCGAGCAACCTCTGTTGTCATCTCGGCCAGAGAGCCCAGAGAGCACCAAATTCCAGGACTCTGCCTTAGACGCAGTTTCTTCCGCCATCTATGAATCCAAAAACCCAGTCCTCTTAGTCGACTCCCACGTTATCCAATTTGGCGCCAAAGACATCGTCAGAGAATTAGCAGATAACCTTCAATTCCCAGTCTTCTGTCCGTTCATGGGAAAATCCATTATCGATGAAAAGAAAACGTATTTCTATGGAACGTACAATGGAAAATTCTCCTACCCAGGGATCCAAAAAGCGGTTGAAGAAGATAGTGATCTTGTTATCCATCTCGGTCCTTTGCCAACCGATATGAACACCGGGGGATACACAGCTCGAGTCGACCCCAAGAAGTTGGTATCGGTCGAAGAAACAAAAGTCATTGTCAAAGGAGACGTATTCGAGATTGTGTACCTTAAATCTTGTACCTCTTCCAACCCCGCATTTTATTTAATTAATCACTAACACTTTCAGTCATCACCTCCCTCCTCTCCTCCCTCAACGCCACCAAACTCCCAAAACCTCATCCTCTCACAATATCACCGCCTCCAGAGCCAGAAGATGCAACCAGCACCGAAATTACACAATCCTACCTCTGGCCGCGCCTCGGAACCTTCCTCCGCGACGACGACGTCCTCTTCGCCGACGGCGGAACCACACATTTCGGGCTCCAAGACGCTACGCTCCCCGATATCACGTACGTGATGCAGAACCACTGGGCGAGTATTGGGTATGCTACTCCGGCTTCTTTTGGTGGTGCTTTGGCGCTGCAAGATATAGGCGTGGGTGGAAAGGGAAGAGGAAGGGTGGTTTTGATTACTGGGGAGGGGGCGTTGCAGTTGAGTGTGCAGGAGGTGGGGAGTATGGTTAGGGAGGGGTTGGATGTGATTATGTGAGTTTGTCTTGTCGATAAAAGATAAGAGGCTGATGAGAAAAGTGTTATTATCAACAATGGGGGGATTCTATTGAGCGGTGCGTCATTCATCCTGATGCTGGTAAGTCTCCGGTCCAGGTTTCTTCTCCTTGATTTTACGCAGGCTGATAGAGTAGGTTACCATGACATCGCGACCTGGGACCATAGGCACATGCTGTCTTTCTTTGGAGTTCCAGATGGAGAGAAACGTACACATCAAGTCAGAACAAAAGAGGAACTGGAGACTGTGCTTGGATTGCCGGAAATGATAACTCCGAAAGGTAACCAAGTTATAGAAATTTATGTAGATAAGATGGACTTTCCATGGAGACTGAAAGCTTTTGGGAAAGCGTATAGGGATATGAAGGGTTGAGAAGAAGGAGGGAGAGTGTAGATTTCGCTAAGCTCAAGGGGCTAGCTTAGCTGTCTTCTACATTGTACATTTCTGAGTAAATCGATATTCATTCTCGTCCTAGCTACATCATACTTCCATCTACGAAGCCGGCAATTCACAATAAGCCATCACCAAATACGTCTCCCCCTCGGCGGCAACCGTCGGATTCGCCGCACAGCTACTCGAAACCGTCATAGTAGGACAACTGACCGAGACCCCCGGACAAGTCAACGTCCCCACCGCCCTCTTCGGCGCAGCGGTATTTATATACGTACATCCCGTGATCCCATTCACGGGAGACGTAAACACAAAAGTCGAAGGATAAGACGAAATGCCGTCGTTGCCAGGTTGGGAGAGCTGGTTGCCGGCATCGGTGTTGCAGGGGTTGGGAAGGGGGGAGCCGATCGGGTTTACGTATTCTTCCCAGTAGTTTTCGAGTTCGGGAGTCGGGCCGCCGGCTTCGGTTTCGATGAAGACGCTGAGGAGGAGGACTTCGACGGAGGGGGAGGGAGGGGGAGTTGAGGATGTGCTGGTTGAGGAGGTGGTCGTTTTTGAGCTGGTCGTTTTGGATGTTGATGATGTAGTAGTGGGGATGATGGTTCCACTATTAGGTGGTACAGAGGTGTATTCGGAGCCTGTGATGTAGGTGAAGCCGTACATAAGACCAGGACCTCCTGCACCCATGGTGGGCAGTGGGCCGCTGCCGGCAGTCCAGAGATAGGACGTCATGCCCGCGAGGCAGGAGCTATCTCCTGACGTGGTGCTACATCCGATGACCTCTAAAGACGATTTAGTATTGAATCAAAAACACAGCCTGAGAAATATTACCTTTGCAAGAAGTTGAGCATGAACTAGTCGTAGCTACAGCTGTACATAAAGTATTGCAGGAACTGAATGTCGTTGTTTGACATTCAGTTGTGGTGTTCTCATCGTCTGGTTCTGGTTCTGGCTCGGGCTCAGGGTCGCCCTCAGGCTCATTGGGATCTGTACCGTCGAGACCTATATTTCATTAGAATCTGTTTCAGCGGGGCATAAAGAAGGTTCATACCTGGTGGGCCAGTACAGAATAGCCAACAAGGGCTACAAATGTCGAGAAATCCAAACAATCCCTGCCCACAAGAGTGTCCACAGCCAAGAACATGGGTACAAGTCGGGCTTGGAGGCCCTCTTGTATGATGGACAGATGTTACGCCACCAGGAGGGGTAGTCGTTGTTGGAGTGCCAGATGTGGGCGAGACGGTGAATGCCGGAGGGACTGTAGAGCCGGGCCACGGAGGCGGGAAGAATGTCCGGTTAGTTGGGGAATGAGTGACTCCACTGATCACTGTAGGATCGGTGATGTTGAATCCAGGTGGGACAATGCTGGGGAATGGATAAATTATTGTCGAGTTACTTGTGACAGTCACGTCAAACCATGAAATTACGGTTGTCGTAACAGCTGGAATACTGATGGTGGTCGTATCGAGTTCTGTTTCGTAGTAGGTCTGCGTCAACGTATCGCCATACTCGAGACCTGTGGTGGACGAATACCAGCCAACTGTAATGACAGTAGTAAGCTTTGGAAAGCTGAAGGTAGTTGGCGTGGTTAGGGTGAGAGGCGGGAAGACGTAAGTGCAAGGAGGATAGCATGCTACTGTTTGTGAACTAGCCGGTTCGCTCCAAAGAGTCGGATCAATGGTCACAATGTTTGATCCAGATCCGGAGTCACCAGTGGAGTTGCCTCCGGTTGAAAGTGCGAGCCAAGCTGCAATCTCACTGGTGTATCCGTCACTAGTTGTTGAATTAAACATCAGGGGTGGTAGGCCGCCCTGAGGAGAGACGATCTGAATGTTGCCTTTAGTGAAAATGTTGTAAATCCACAGACCGGATACAAAGTTGGTATCAATCAACGCGAGCTGACAATCCTCCTCTGGAGCACAACCCAATTGGTTATTCTGGAAGAATGAGTAGAATCCTGCAGAGTAGATGAAGACATTCGAAGACTCAATGACACGAAGGGCCCATGCTCCCCTGCAAGTGTCGTCTGCACAGTTCTCGAATGTCGGATCGCTTGGGAACTGGCCTATGGTGTACGGACTCAAAGAATTCGGGTTAGGCTGATAATAAGGTGTTTCGGTCTGCATATGACCCAAATAGATGTTTGATGCGTTCGACAACTGATACTGATACAATTGCGCATGCTCGCTAGCTGATCCGTAGAACCACGTGGGTCCTTGAGATTCGATGAGTATACCTCGGCCTGAATAAATAGAGATATCTGTCTCAACATTTAGCGGAATGCCCTCATCACTCTCAGTGGCGGCAGCATTGAGAGGGTTGTCGAGATCATGATCAGCTGTCCACGCCCAAACGTTCTCGAAGTAGCCTGATGCTTCGCTTGTCACATGCATCAGCATAGTAGCTGCCATACAATTCTTGTTGACGGATGTGGCACCCGACGGGCATTCAGACAATTGTAAGCTAGTGCCTGCAGCTCCTCCGACTCGGAAATGGGAATCCCACATCGCAGCTATTTGTAATGTCAACAAGTTTTCGGGACGCATTATCAAAGTAAGTACTTACCACTTCCTTGAGTGCTTTCGTGCACATTCCACTCCATCAATATCGCACCGGCCGTAGCACCTTTGACCGTAAAGAGCATATCAGAAATTTGAATTATCCCCGTATCTCCAGTTTTGCCGACTTGGACCATAACCTGAGGACTAGCAGCGTTCTCGAAGAAAGAACCAGTTCCCATGATTTGTGACCATCCTGAGCCAGTAATGATACTTCCTACCGGAATTTTTACCGTATTTTGTACTTGATAAATACCTCCCGGGAAAAAGAGTATAGATCCTACATTGTTTGCGAGGAAAGTGTTGATAGGGCCACTCTGATCGCCAGTGCCATCATTCAAAATACCGTTCTGAGTGGCAACAATTGGGTTTGTGGCAGGATATTGTGGTTTAGATTGTTCGAAGTAAGCGCCACTGCTGTCCAGCAAGCCGGGAGATTTACTTGGGGCCGGGTCGATGAATCCGGTTCGTTTGCCGCCAGTGCCATCTGGTAGATACTGATATCCATTCGCCCAAGAGTTGAAATAAAGTGGGCCAGATGATCCCTCAAGAATAGTTGCGCCGCCTGAGATGAGCACGACAGAAGCAGAGTTCTCGACCAGAAGGTTGTCAAGGACGATATTCGGCTGTTCACTGCCGAGACTCGCTATTGTGATAGCATAGGGGACTCCGTTGAAATGAGAATCTAGAACTGTGATCGATCCGGTTCCTTGATTTGTGATGCCAGAGTAGCTGGTACAATCTATTGCAATATAGCAGGACAGAACATAAATATTTTTCCAAGTAAAGCCCCAATTCCACTGTTGTTTGATAGCTGTCAAACAAGATGTGAACTGCAAGTTCTTGGCTGTGAATTGTTGACTTCCAGCAAGGAATCCAATATTTCTACAAAACCAATATTAGCGAAGTATCGTGATCTACAGCCAGAATTACTTACCCTCCAGTAAATGTGAGATCAGAAACCATACCACCACTCCCATTTTCCATTGCAATGCCCATCGCAGTTGCGGACTGTGATCCGGAGGACACCGCCATATTAAAATTACAATTAGTGATACTAGTCGCTTGTCCTACTTGCCAATGGATACCAGTAGGGAAATAAGTCTGATCATTATCTGTGTTGGTCCAATTCATACCAGTCATATCAAAGTTGAAGTTACGGATCTGTCGATAAAAGTTGCTCTGGTTGATATACCATTCCGCGGAGTTGCCGCCTGGGATGTAAAAGTCTGAGTCGAACAGTGCAATCCCAGTGAAGTTGAAACTTCCTTTGATGGTTGGAATGTTGTAAGCATTGCCCACGAACTGTGTGTAGTAGTACTGAACGATAGGTGTGCTAATGAGATAAGTTCCCGGTGGAAAGTAGACAACGGCTCCAAGTGTGGTACTTGAGCCACAATTGGCGCCACAGCGTCCAATAGTCAAGTTGGTGGAGCTAAAAGCTGATGCCGCACGATTAATGGCAGCAGTGTCGTCTGTAACACCGTCGCCTACAGCGCCGAAAAGCTTGACATTGCGGAAGAACTGGTAGCCTGAAGGCGCCAGTGGCATTTCACCAAGGCTGCCGAGGGTCGATAACCAGTAGCCATCACCGCCTGCTTGACGTTCTTGAACGGTAGAATTATGATGGATCTGATCCAGGGCGGCGTAGCTCAGTGGTCCAGTTATTGGGCCAGTCATTGAGCCTTTATCAGGCGCGCTTCCAAAGAAATTGTTGACATTGTCTTTCAGGTATGGTGGAGGAGGCTGTCCGAAAGGTAAGTAATTTGTACTTCTGGAATTTCGGGACTGGTCTACTTACCTGTGGCGATCCTGGTGGAAGCGGTGGTGCTGATCCAACTGGTTCTCGTGGCACCGTGACTGTGATTTGTGCCGTCACAGGTATAGACGACAGCACCAACAGTGAAAGAATATATTTCAGCGCCATCTTGTCTATGCTTGCTGCCAAACAGCAACAGAGAAGGATGAAGATATCGAAACTCTATACAAGTAGAAATAAGAAAAGAGAGCTCCGAGAAGGAACGACGTTCTCGAGACATGGCGGCTTCCTTGATGCTAAGGTGCGACTTTGATGAAAGTCATCAAAGCAAGTATAATAGCAGATGCAATTCGCTTCTTGCTATTGGTCACCTCGGGTTTCCATGAACCACGACTCCCAGCAGATTCCGTCTCCGTGGTATGGAACGCTGCATGAGAGTCGTACTCGGAGCTTCGGCTCGCATGCATGTTCTGGAATTATTGAAAATCTGAAATCAGCTTAATGTGCAAGGATAGATATTGCTCACCTTTACAGAAGGAGGTCAGGAGGCCAACGAGAAGACTCTTTTGATACTGTCAGTAAGCAGCCATGCGGCGTATTAGCGAAACCGTTGCCAAGAAGCAGGTTACGATGCCATAGAGGGGTAAAGGGGGGTCATGATGGTGCTGGCTCTAGACAAGGCAGAAGTATTTCTGTGCCGTAGCAATCAATAGTTTCATCCCAAGTTAAGCTTTGCGGGCCGGGGTCGACGGCTTTAGCGCCACGTGGGGTCAGCCTTAATGTAACCTTGTCACCCCTTTCTCGCGTATCGAAGCTTCCGTCCAGTTAAGAGTGGTGCGCAATGGTGGGAAGGATTTTTAATGTACCTTGCATAATTCGTCTGATGCCCCTTTTCATATATCACTCTATTGCTGCGCCGCAAAAGCTCTAAAATGATTCGACGATGTTACGGTGTTCATCCTCCTGGTCTCGCCATCAGGGCCAGAATCGTTCACAAAGCTCCAGACAAGACGATACCATGCGCAATTCGTCTGGTGTGTTGATAAATCTTACATTTTCGATATCCGGAATTGCATTTGACCATGATCATTTTCCGGGATGCCGAAGAAGTTGTCTGATACACAATCAGACTTTCGTACCGAGTATCCCTTTGCTAGATTTGCTGCTTCTCTCTCCAATTGCTTCCCCTCCTCACTCCCATCCTCTCTGCTCTTGAGAGCATTGCCACAACTTGAACTTCTTTTGCCATTACTCCAATGCTGCCAACATCAGTCATGAAGGCTATTTCCAGCCTTCTTTGGCTCGCGTTTGCGTTGACATCTGCCAATGCTCGCGCTACTGAGCGAAACATAGCAGATGCAATGATAGAGAAGTAAGTAACTACTTCCCATCAGCATGAAAGAATGTCTAGCTAAGGCCAATACAGGTTCAGCTATCTTCTGAATACAAGGCAAGAAGGAGCAGACGGACATGACGATTCTTGCGCTCTTTCTGTTGCAGCTTGTTCACCCTGTGCTGTGGGTGGGTGCGGGGCAGGAGGAAACAAGCTCAAGCAAAGACACCATGTCTACAACAACGGGTTCTCCGATGGTGATGTGTATGACACGAACTTTACCGCCAGCGAACCGGTTCCTGCCAGCAAGCACGAGCTGGTGAAAAGATTGTTCGCGGAGGTAGATCAATCGAATGTGGGCACACATATGGAAACACAGAATGGTGCTGCTACAGCTGTGAGCTTGGATGGCTTTTATTCTAGTAAGTATGGATCGGATGAAAGCTGCGAGAATGGTGGCTGATAATATTGTGCACAGATGGTAGCGCGACAAGCTTTTCAAGGCAGTATGAATTCGCAAATTATATCACCACCAATCCTAAGTCTATTTTGAATCCGGCGACTCCTGTTGGTATAATCATGGGTACTGGAGATACTCTCTTGACAGGCTGTGTCGTTTTGACAATAGTATCACGTCGAGCTGTATACATGGTGAGCCAGGAGTCTTCTCTAAGTCTTAATGAGCTCACTTAACTATCCACTAGGCGCACTTCTGGCAACCATATGGTTTCTGGGTGGTACCAGCAATCGCCAATAACGGATGGATGGATGGACCCAACGGTGCAAATCTCGACGAGAATGTTTTGAATCTCATCGGAGGCAAAACGCCCTTGTATTATGCCTCTGGCGTCGCGCTCGACGTGACACTTTTCAACCAAGCGAACGACCTGCCGTATGCTTACTTGATGGCTCCTCGATATCCAGGAAACAATGCCGCTGCTGGAAGCCCTGACCAGATCTATCTCTACTGGCCACAGATTCAAGCAATAGGAGCTTACATCCAGGAGCTACTTCCAAATCTGCAAGCTTACTTGCCGATTCCATATATTGCTCAAGCGCAGTACCCTGCGAATGAGCTGTATCGAGGTCAAGCTTTGTTCGAGTATGACCCTAATGCTGACGGAAATGGTAATGGGAATTGGAGACTCTTCTATGAGGAGACTAGTGTTGATGGACGATCGAAAGGGCAGAATGTTGTTGGAGTGAATCAACCTACTTAGTCCTGTTGCGAGATCTTATGCAGGCGGATGTTAAGATGTGAGGTACTTTGGCCTGAAGAGTTGATACTCCTAGGAGACATGACGATTGTTCGATGACATGAATCCAAAATCATTGCTTAAGTCAAACACCAGATGTCCTGAATTGTTTATTTAGATACTGAACCCCAAACGATGTTTGCCTCTCATCTATGCAGTGGGCCATAGAGTCTTTGACGCTCCCGGCGCTCCTCCCTTATCTGAGGAGTATCCATGGGAACGCCATGGTAATAATGATAAGAAATCGGCTTTTTCACCCCGTCGCCCGTCCTTATTAATGACGTTGAGGTTCGTGAACTGTTTGTGCCCGTCTGTTGTAGTCCTTGAGCGAAACTTCCTTGACCAGGCTCACCGAAATGCACTATGTTGTGCTTTTCAAACAGTTCCTTGAACTCAAATTCCAATATGCCGGTTGTTTCACCGGTGCAGTGATCGAAGAAAGGTGTGAAAATACCCCCAGACAGGATTACGTTGTCCAATAACAGCCGCTGGGGAGCTGTTCGCCGAACGAAGGCCAACAAGTCCTCGCTGCTGATGACTATTCCGCGAATGCTACACGTCTTCAGCCTTGGCAACTTCTCTGACTGGGCCAGTTCTCTCAACAGAAGCTCGTGTTGAAGGTATGGACTTCTGAGAAAGACGTGGGCCGCGTTCAATCGATAGTAGCGTATTTCGAGGTCCTCCAGTAGAGGTGCAAGCTGCAACAATTTTTCAAGGCCAATGAAATTCTCCTGGTCGGTTGCTTTTCCCATCGCCTCTAGAATGAACTCCTGTTTTGGAGGCTGGGACCGATCAGGTTCAGGCAGATTCGTGATAGCCCTGTCAGACAAGCTGAGAGCCAGATATTTCAAGCTCGAAAGAGACGCAACGAGCCTCTGATCCTGAAAGTCGAGACGATTAAGCTCATCGCATCCGAGGTTGCCCGACTGGCCCCCTGTATCGTGGAACACAATCAGGGCCCGCAACTTTAATCCGCTTGCCGCTACCGCGCGCATCGCGGTGTGAAATGTACCAGCTACGCACTGCCAATATGACTCCCAGTCCACGCCATTGCGCTGTCTCGATGTCCTGGTTAGTCTCAATCCAGAAGGAGTATGATTCATCTGAACCTCAACCGAGAGTGATATAGTTTCCTCGGTCCTCTTGGCTGCCGCAATACCGCTCAACGCCTGGTTAAGGAGGTCCAACTTCATGCCCGTAGCCCACAGCCCTGCTGCTAAATCGCGGCCATCTACTCTGGGAAACGTAAAGACGCCGAATATTGTCAAATTCTGGACTAGACATCCAAGTCGACCAGGGCGAGTTGCATCGACAAACTTTTCCAGTGATCGTGTGGTGGTGTCTACATGTTTCGAGAGATAGAATGACTTGAAATGGTTCTGAGTGGCTTTCGTAGCTAGTGATCGACTGGTTTGACGCAGGTTACAGATATCATTCAAGTCTAGAAGTACGACGATTGACTCGATGACCTCGTTCGGGCAGTCTTCCAAACGTGGCGCCATGTTTTGAAGGGGTGCTTAGAATCGAAAGAACTTGACGTGATGCACGAGAGTTGCGCGAAATACGACGCGCGTGATATTCTGCTGGCTTGCGTGACTTTAAGTGAATGATAGAAGATGTTGAAGACATAAGCGACAGATTTGGAGGATGACGTTGGGGCTGTGCCGCAGACCACAGTACCCAAGATTACATAAGTACTAGCTGTACAAACACGTGCACTACAGAAGACAGGGGCTTTGTCTCAACATGCAAATCATTGATACATGTATAAAGAGATATTGAAATTCGACGAAAGACACCGCAAATCAAAGGCTCCCTCCCATGCTGGATCTTCCGCCCATATTCACAATGTGCAAATATACCTCCTCCCTCATCCTTCTTCACCTACGCTTCTCCCGGTCCTACAGCAGTCAAGAAATCAAAATCAGCACCCTCTTGGGCCTGATTCACACACCTCTCATATAGTCCCCTATATCCTCTCCTCGCCTTCCTCTGTTTCCAAACTCCATCTCCATCCTTCTCCAACTTGGCCTTCCTCTCCACAATTCTCTGCGCAATCTCCTCATCACTAACCTCCAGCCTCAACTCTCTCTTCTCAACATCACAAACGATCCAATCACCATCTCTCACGATCCCAAGAACGCTCTCCGGAATTGCACTCTCAGGACTCACATGCAGTACTATCGTTCCGCCTGCAGTTCCACTCATCCTGCCGTCACTAATTCTCAGCATATCGCTGACTCCTTGCGCCGAGAGTTTTCTTGGGATGGGAATCATGCCCGCTTCTGGCATCCCTGGATTTCCAATTGGGCCGATACCTTGCAAGACAAGGACCGAGTCTTTCGTTACAGCGAGATTGGGATCATCGATTCGCAACGCTAGGTCTGCAGAGTTCTTGAAAACGACTGCAGGGCCTGAATGAGAGAGCAATCGCCGATCTTTGGAAGCAGAGGCTTTCGTGACACAGCCGTTAGGAGCAAGATTTCCTGAAAGGACGACGAGGGATGATGCAGGGTAGAGTGGGTTGGTTAAAGGTCGAATGATCTGCGAGGAGAATGGAAATGTGCGGAATGGGTTCGCATCCAGGACTTCGCCCAGTGTTTGGCCTGTGATAGTCATTGCTTCAAGGTGTAACAATGGTTCCAACGTATGTAGCAGACCGAGCATCCCACCGGCATTGTGAAAGTCTGTCATATAGTTGTCTCCGCTGGGCTTTAGATCTATCAGCAGAGGAGTCTTCCTTCCAATCTCATCAAACGTCTTAAGGGTGATTTCGCCAGCAAGTCTGGGATGTCGGTTTATAATCGCCATGAGATGGACAACTGCATTTGTTGATCCGCCAATGGCTTGGAGGACGGTGATAGCGTTGAGAAACGATTCTTTGGAGAGCATCTCTTGAGGGGTTCGCTTTGCTGCTGCTACTGAAACTGCGTTTGTTCCTGTTTCTTCTGCGATTCGGAGACGGGCGGAAGATACAGCTGGTGCTGAGGCACCTCGAAGTGGCATGAATCCAAGAGCTGTGGTGACGCACGCCATTGTGCTTGCTGTTCCCATGACACCACACGTACCTGCCTGCTTGAAATCAATACCACGACTCAAGTATTTATCATTGACCAATTACTGACTGTGGGAGCCAACTCTTCGTTCAAATTGCCAATGTCTTCAACATCTAGAGTACCAGCCCGGAAAGCAGCCCAATTGTTCCTGCAGTCCGTACAAGCACCGAGTCGTTGTCCTCGATAACTACCAGGCATCATCGGACCAGTAACAAGAGGCAACACTGGCTTATTTGCCGAAATGCCACCCATCAACTGAGCAGGAACCGTCTTATCACAACCTATCTCTCATCAGCTCTTCTGCACCTCATCATCCCAAACATGAAAGCGACACTCACCACCAATCATTACCACCGCATCAAGCGGCTGTGCCTTAATCATCTCCTCCGTATCCATGCTCATCAAATTCCTCAAAAACATACTCGTCGGACTACTGAAACTTTCATGGAGACTAATAGTCGGAAACTCGACAGCCAAGCCCCCACTCAACTGCACACCTCTCTTCACTGCCTCGATCAACTGCGGGACATTGGCGTGACATGGATTCAATGCTGAATACGTGTTGATGATTCCGATGATTGGGCGGTTGAGAGCAGACTCGGAGTAGCCGAGGGCTTTGATGAATACTTTTCGCAGGAAGAGGGAGAAGTGCGCATCGCCGTACGAGGTGAGGCCGCTGCGGAGACCGGTTCCTGTTGCGAGAGGTTGGGTGAGGTCGTAATCAGGGTTTTCTGCTGGCTTGGCTCCGTTTTGAGGTGGTTGAAGCTCCTTAGATTCTTCCATCTTGAGGGGCTCTGGTAAATGGTCTTCTTGAGCGGGAAGAGGCCAGGAGGGAATGCTTGTGCTACGTGGGATTGATTCTTGCGGAAGTGTTGATTGATTTGATCGTAAAGAAAGCGGTTGCGAAGATGAGTTTGTCGGTGGTTCCGTTTGCTTCTTGGGATGAAGCTTGTAGATGGAAAAGCGAGTCGCCATGTTGGATAATAAGATTAGTCTCGCTAAAGTGAATAGTGCGGGGTGGAGATTCGGATACGTTCCGCTATTCCAACTTCTTCACCTTCTTACAAATGAGTCAATATCATGAAGAACGGAGAGAATTCATCTTACTAAGCTGCAAAGTAAATTCACGTAAGTCTCTTCTCATTTCATATATACGAAGTTGACTTGTATCACAGTGGCGGAAAATCCGTCTTTGTACGACGGAAATCCCGCTCGTGACGGAACGCTTGCCGAGGCAGAAAGGGGTCAACTCATAACCGACTTCATCTCTCCATACAATTCCTCAGCCCTACAATCCAGCTGACAGGAATCAGTCCCAAGCAAACATCAACTGATCTACGACTCACATAATCTTCCTGGCGAAGTTGCACCATATCGTCATTTCGAAGAAGAAACCATGCTGCGACTGGATGGCAAAGTGGTTCTCATCACCGGTCTCGGACAGACCCAGGCGGAGAGCGATGTGTTGGGCATAGGAGCTGCGATCGCGGTGGTATTTGCTAGACAAGGTGCTAAGGTCTTTGGAGGAAATAGAAGCTTGACGTCTGGGATGGTGACGAAGAAGATGATTGAAAGTGAAGGTGGCATTTGTGATGTCATGGAGACCAATGTCACGTCTTCAGACTCCGTGAAGCTTTTGGTTGATGCTTGCATGAAAAAGCATGGACGGATCGATATTTTGGTCAACAACGTTGGAAGATCCGAACCTGGCTGTCCGGCGACGATGTCGGAGGAAGTTTGGGATTCTCAGGTGGAGCTGAACCTCAAGAGCGTGTACCTTTTGTGTCACCATGTGTTACCTATCATGGAGGCGCAGGGAAGTGGAGCAGTGGTCAGCATTGCAAGTATTGCTGGGTTGAGATATATTGGAAAGCCACAAGTTGGGTATTCGGCTACCAAGGCGGCAATCATTCAGTTCATGAAGGCAACAGCGGTCATTTATGCCGAGAGAGGAGTCAGATTGAATACGGTGGTACCAGGACTCATGGATACTCCATACACAAAAGCGATGGTCGAGAGGTATGCGAAGGATGGTGGAAGTGAAGAGTTCATGAGGATGAGAAACCGACAGGTCCCTATGGCAAAGATGGGTGACGCCTGGGATGTGGCGAATGCTGCTGTGTTCTTGTGCTCCGATGAGGCGAAATATATCACGGGACAGAAGATTGTGGTGGATGGCGGAATTACTTCGTCGACTGGAAGGCCACCAAAATAATGAATTGCGAGTGTGGCATAGCAGGGAGTTTTCTGAGTGTAATGTAGATTTACAAAATCGAGATTTTTCCTTGGAAGCAATTGAACAAAGAAAATCACGGGCCCTAGAACTTGGCCGCAATGCTCGGCTTTCGAAGGATTTGAGGCTCTATTAATCTCGTATGCATTTTCTGGAGGATCGCATTAAAATAGAGTTCGTAGTCCGGATCTGGAAAAGAGCTTCGTGAGACGGAACCTCGCTGCGTCAGCAAGGTACTCGTGAGAGCGTGCTGCGGCGAACGGCATCGGGATTAACAACGCGTTTGCCAAGAACTGATTTGCGTAGGGTATTGATATGGAGCTTACCCAATTTGGTTCCATGCTGCGAGATCATGGTTTTTTTATGTTGTTGCTGTACGATGTCTAAGAGGCGTGAAATAAGTATATTCAAGTAATGTACACATATATAGGAGTATTTTCTCTCTTTACTTTCTCTTTCTCTATCTGTTTCATTTCAGTTTAATCGCCACTCAAGCCAGGAAACTTTTTGTGGTCTTTCATAACCATGAATCTTAAAGCGCAATTGGCAGGAGTTGGTCTCTTACCACTCCTCCAAACTCTCTTCTACATTTCGGCCATTCCTGTCTCAGTTCAAGCGCACTATACAAACACAACTTGCAAGACAACACCCAACGACGCAGCTTGGCCCAGCATTTCGGAATGGACTGCTCTCAACCAATCGATCTCTGGTCGCTTACTGCATCCCTCTCCGCCAGCAGCCGCCTGCCACTCTCCAACTTTTGACAACGACACGTGCAATGCGATTAACACAGCTTGGACTACCTTTGCTTTCCACCAGGATAACCCTGTCAGCTCAGCATGGAACAACATGAACAACGATTCCTGTCTGCCGAATATTACTGCACCATGTTCCGACGTAGGATATCCGGTCTATGTCGTTAATGCATCGGATGCGAATGACATCAAATCTGCCATCGACTTTGCAAGAGAGAAGAATATAAGGTTGACCGTTAAAGCTTCTGGACATGACTATCTGAAGCGGTATGTTGGTTAATTTGAGTGAGGAATTAAGGGCTAACTTTGGATATAGAGCCGTAGCCCCATACTCTCTTTTGATTTGGACCCGATACATGGTCGGAGGGTACGAATTTCATGACACGTTCCAGCCACAGGGTTGCAATATCACCATTGATACGACAGCGGTGACCGCTGGCTCCGGGTCGTATGTCAGTGAGATGTACTCTTCCCTGAGCCCGCTAAATCAAACGCTGGTTGATGGGATGGGAAAAGAAGTCACCTTAGGCGGTTATATCACTGGTGGCGGCCACAGTCCGCTCTCACACATCTACGGACTTGGTTCTGATCAAGTGTATGAGGTTGAAATGGTGACACCCACTGGCGAAATTGTTACAGCGAATGAGTGTCAAAATACAGACTTGTTCTGGGCTGTTCGTGGAGTGAGTGAATTTATTCCCTCGAAGTGACAATGTTAACATTCCGCAGGGTGGCGGCGGCACATTTGGGGTTTTGTCAAGAATCACCGTTCGCACAGTACCAGCTACACCAATTGCACTCTACGATTTCACGCTCCAAGCAGCCTCCAACTCCACCACCTACTTCGAAGCCGTAGCATATTTCCTAGCGCAACTCCCCACACTATCCGCCTCTAATGTTTCAGCATTCCTGTATCTCTACCCCGACACTGCCGCTGGAGCAACATTTGAAGCCGTACTTTGCCTGCCCGACCCTGCATCAGCCATTTTATTGGAGGACTTGTGGGCTCCATACTGGGCTCATGTCAATGAGACGTATGCGGGCCAAATAAATAGTTCAGCGACAGCGACCCTTTTTCCCAATCTGGAGAGTTTGTTTCTTGAGTATGCGGATACGAGCAAAGCTGGTGTTGATAAAGTTGTTGGATCATGGCTTCTTCCACCAGCAACGTTGACAGAAGATACTTTCCAGGATGCTCTGATAGATTTTCTAGGAACGTCTGGCGCGAGATTGTATATGGTATCTGGAAAGGGGGTTTGGGATGCGGTGCCAAGAAGTGGCAGTGATGCTGTCAATCCTGCGTGGAGAAAGGCTTTGATTCATGCTGGTAAGTTCGCTCGGTCTGGAGAAGCGGATCCGAGAAAGAGATTTTCTGACAAACATAGTGACTTCCATAAATTGGACGCCTCTAAATGAGACTGCGCGGGCACTTGCAGAGTATAATGTCAATCATGTCCAAACGGAGGCTCTGCGACAACTGGTTCCTGACTCGGGAGCTTATATCAATGAGGTAATTTCTCTAGGTTACTTTGGGGATAATGGCTGACAAAATAGGCATATTGGGATGAACCCGACTTCCAACGCGCATTTTGGGGATCTAATTATGAGAGACTGCTGGATATTAAGAAGGCTGTTGACCCCGATGATGTATTATGGTGCCATATTTGTGTTGGGAGTGAAGGATGGAAAGAGGTTGGGAATAATTTATGTCGAGTCTGAGAAAGCTTAGGGGGGAAGAGTCACTTGTATTTGAATTCACACGATGGGGATAGAAAGGCATAGATTTGTACAAAAGAAATTTTTATTGTAATGACGGTACTTGCGAGGAGCTACAATGAAAGTTTCACTGTAATGACAGTAGTTGCAAGGAGCTCAGGAGCTCAGGTAGGTGCTCAGGTGGGTTTCTTGATCGATGGCGACTCACTATCGAGTGAAGGTGTTCCACCCGTCAAGGAATCTTTCAGTGAGCAGAACGGGTTCGAGAGCAGCGCCGAGATGGTAGTATCCCTTGTGCGTCTGTTCAGCGGTGAGCTGCTCAAGCCCATCGCGAATCTCAGGGAACACATTAGTAGGCCTTGGTGGATAGAGGATGTTGAACATAGTTCTGCACATTGGGCAAGTGCCGTGGGCACCCATCCATTGATCAATGCACGAGAAGTGGAATTGATGCTTACATGGAAGTTGAGACACTCTGACATTGGGGACGCCACTTGGTAACTGGCAGATGGAGCAGACTTCGTCTTTATCTATTGTCCAGTTATCGACGGCAGCGAAGAGCTCAGAGCGCCAGCCTGGGGCATACGCATGAGTTCTTTGCAGCAGAGGGAAGCCCAGCTGAAGCTCACGAAAGTGAAGCAGGACGAAGTCCTGGTACCATCTTCGCTCACGCTCAATTGATCGAGAAAGGTTCTTGCTCCAGATGTCGAAAGTCGCTGGTGCATTGGGATCCGAGGAGGACAACAAAGTTCCTCGGATGCACTCTAGGAGGGCTTTGTGCCTCTCTTTCAAAATTGCTTGGGGAGCAACGAGATTGTCGGTGATAGACTTCCAGAGCATTCTGCGGTCTTTGATGGCTGACTCTGTCAGCTCACCTACCGTTTCGCTTCTTCCTGGCCCTGCTGGCAGAGCGCCTTCGCAGCGGCCGCATTTGCTGGTCTTGTAGTAGACCTCTGTTGTGAAAACAGAGTTACCTGGATCAAGCATGGCTCGCGCAAAATCAAGACTGGGCAGCATAGCTACCCCTTCTTCTACTGCTGCAACATTCAGGGTCTCTAGCAAGTCCGAGGCACGGATGCAGTCTTCGATGTGGCCACATTCGTTGTAGAAAGATACTTGGTGTAAGATAGCCATGTTTGTGTGTGGGTTTCTTGTTGTATTTTTCTTCTTTGCTTGGTTCTTGTTTTAATGAATGATGGTTCTGTAACAATGCTATTGTCGGGATATTTATAGTGATTTCTTTGTCTTTGTTCGCATAATACAACGTCCCTTGTTTTTCTGGCAGCTGTTCAGAACAGACGAAAGAAATGAGGATATTCTTTATTCCAACTTTTTGAAAGAATAGAGGACAGCGCATGGTATTTGAACAAGCAATCATGTACTGTTCATCCTCGATTCTGGGCGAGACTCTGCTATTGTCTGGAAACGGGTTGGTAACAATGGGTGTAGAAGGTGAAATAACACCCCTGCAGCTTTAGGTTACGCTGGGTATGATCATACCTAAGCTATCTAAGTATCCACAAGAGTAGAAGCTCAATTCTACAGATGGATGCCGAAAGCATGAAATGCATCTAAACCGTCATCCCCTAGGCACTCCTCATCCTATCGAAGAAAATCAATATCTTCGCAAATTTCCAAGAGCAGAAGCCAGATGAGGAGTACATCTGGTCCATTACCCAGCCTTTATTAGATCGCTCCGAAAGAATGCAATGGACGACCCGATCTAGCAAGCTGACCTACGACTGCGCATACATAGCTAGCGCGAGATAGCATAGAGCCCATTCTCTATAGTTGGAACAACTTTATTCTCATCAACGTAAATCTTTCAGGGAAAAAGGAAACACCGCATGTTGGCAGACTGGATTTCCCAGAATTTTCGAATGAACATTTCTTTTCATTCTGTCTCCTCTCTTTTGCCCCGCAGTGCTGATTATCAGACAGTTTTCATTGCGGATGCTAAGTCCCATGTGGAAAGCATGCAGATATTTGTGGAGCTGCACTTGAGATTCTGTATCCGCAGCCAGGGCTGATCCTCTAAGACATGCTAGAGTTATCCGACACGCGTCTAAGACAACTTTGGCTGACCGTTCCCTAAATGGCTAGCCAAGCTTAGGGCTGAGTAGAAGTCTCCTCCTTCAGATATGCTTTCTTTGCAAACACATTGTCAACCAATCAACCTACATAACATCAATGCCAAAAAAACATGTAAGTTGATTACTTTTTAGTTTTGGTGCATCCTTAGAAGGATAATAAGGGAGCAGTCCCGTAGGGGAGAAAGGGTGGGGAAAGTGGGGTAACGCGACAGTCTTGGCAAGCGGTGAGATGTCGAAGAACCTTGCGTTCCAGCCCCGTACCCGCGCCCTCAATCAATGTCTCGCATCTCGCAGTATGGTGGGCTCCAATAAGCATTCCTTGGCTCAATCGTAGTCTCCAGCCCTGCAAGGTTTATGCCGGCCTTCTTCTCCTTTTTATTTGCATACTCTCTTTTCCAACCCAGGACAACATGGAAGGATGATGCTGCCTTTGAAAGCCAAATCGTAGGAGGAGTCGTATACTCTGGTCGCATTCCGAAGTCTGGATATGTCTCTGGTGACTAAGCCGAACACTAGCCCCAGTTGGATTGTTTGTTCCTTGGCCCGACATGCTCCGCATAACCTTAATAGCACCCCGCGATGCCTCTGGGTTTTCTCGCTCGAGTCAACATCTCATGTTTCCTTTGGATGCTGCCTCCTTTTCTCACAACCAAGATCTACCAGGAATATCTGAGACAACAATTGAGGAGTATTCGCACTTTGGCCAACAGAATGCGAAGTGTGCCTTCCCCAGACAAGGGACGCGTGGAGTGTGTCTTAGCCTGAGGCCGCAAAAGTGGCTTTCAAGGCTTCTGAACTCGATCAGCGCAAGCATCTCAACTCAATTTCGGTCACTGGCTGAAGTGTCAAGTCATGTTCATGTACCTGCTTTCGCCTGAGATTGGGCCGTACGAGTAAATATGTATGAATGCATAGGTACAAGCGCCTGGTACTTCAAAGTCAATTTATCTCCACAGGTTCTAAATTTCAGCCCTATCACTATCACTATCACAAACATGTCTCCTTCTTCTTTGTTCTGCGCATCCTAGTGTTGCTTTTAGATGTAACGAATATGCCAATGCAGGGCATCAGCTCACTTTTCTCGGAAGTCTTCAGATATGGACGTGAATGAAACTTTCTATTGGACTGCTCGCTGCGGAAGAAAACAAAGCTGTAGTCAAGCTGGAACACGAGGCTTGTCCCTTCGACTCGCTGCTGTATTCAGGCAATATGAGGAGCATAGATTTGCCACCACTTGCGCCCCGTCAGACATATTGGCAATTCTAGACTCCTAAGCAATGCGCACTCGCACAAGTTGCGGGGCTTCAGCCGGTCTCGCATGTCATTGTGGGATAAGCTTAGTCTCAAAGCCAACTATATTATCCTTCCTGCTCTTTCCCGTTTTTGATCTCCCAAGCAACTACTTCTCGAAAGCCTTTTTCACATCAGTAGTGAAGCTCAGTTCAATCAAGATGGACGCTGACTCTTCATACCTATCGAAAGATCCAACCATTTTGTACGACTTTGTCGTTTCTACTACCCAAGCCAGCATTAGTAGTGGCCTCTTTGAATACATCCACGATACAACTCAGCCTATCACATATCTCTGCTTTCTCGTCGATGGTACGGGAAATCCAACGATTCAGATCTCCCTGTCAGACCTCCTCGCCGTCACCGGCGGTGTAAACCCCTTTGACATTGAAGCGACCACCCCGTACAACGATCCCCGTATTGGTAAACTCACCGCCGCGAGGTTCAATGTTGGCATCAAGCTCCAAATTGGCATGCCGCCTGGTTGCATGCCACCAAGCAGCCTGCCTCCGGGTAACGTAACCATATGTAAAGACCCCATTATTTATTATCCTCTTCCATTCCCTCCCCATACTTTAGATCCTGCTCCCCAAAGAGTTTCATCTCTTTCTCGAGGATTCTGCTCCTAATATTCCTTTCGAAACAAGTGCTAATCGCATGTAGTGGATCCTATACTTACCCTCGGCAATAGCACCAATAATGTGCTATTCAACATGTAAGTAAAGACTGGCTAAAACTACTAGACTCTTTGTCTGAAGATTTCCTCATGAGATACTCTCTCTATTATCCAATCCGGATTCCTGTCACTCAAAGCAAATTAATTTAGCTAACTCTTTCATCTCAGGTATTGTTCGGAGCTGTCTGTTATACAGAACACCCCTGGCAGCTGGGGGGATGATGGTCAGTGGAATATCTTCAATCAGCCATATGGAACGCCTTGGTATATTCAGACCCGCGTTGATTTAATCATGCCACCACTTCCGATTGACCTTTCAAACCCTTATTTTTCGAATCATCCGGATCAGAAAGCGGCGCTTCTAGCTCAACTGGAACAAATGTCAATTTCAGGTCTGACATTTAGCTTGCAACAATTGCTCTTGGATCTCGAAAATTCCACGCTAGAGACACCACCGAGCTTCTCGGGCATCCCTCTAGGCCCCGCAAGGACTATCTTGGAATCGACGTTCAGAGACGTATACGCCGTAAACGCCAGTAACCATGGAGCACCCATCCTCTCGATCGCGGCGATCCCCAGTGACGTACCAGATACCTCTTCTCTGCAAATGACGAGTTTTCAACGGCAGGTTAGCCAGCAGAAAGACGCAGCTGGCAATGTGCTCCCCATACCCTTGGATCCTACGCTTAAAAGCGAGCAAGAAGACGCTTCTACACTCGATTTCGTGTGCATGACGCAAAACCGCTCGTTGCCTCAGCTTCCGAACTTTGCCTGGAACTGGGTCTTGCCAGTTGACGTTGACAACGAGAGTGGTGTTGTTGCAATCAGGCGGGAATCCTTCGCCCAGTTCCTCGTGGATGAGATCGTGACTGCTGTCACAAACTGCTGCTTAGCATTGACCTGTACTACCTCGTGTGATGCTTTCGGAGGCAGCGATTATCATGTGGACCCTGACCTCGAACCTTATCGGACCCCGTTAAATACATTCTCGGAATCAGGACCAGATGTCATTAATATCGCATATAGCGGATACGTAGAGGCCTACTCATCGTCTGGAGCTACTGAGACTGGTATTCAAGTCACGCCAGCGTATTCTTGTGTGGTCAACTTTTCTGGCAACACCATCCTCATCACGCAAAGACTCAGCGCTTTCCTTTGAGTGAAGTGGGACCTCTCAACTGTAAAAGGTTATGTTTACGATACTACAATCATCGACACGTATACTATTACCGTTGGTCAAAACGGCGATCTGTCGCTGATTAAGCAGGGAGAGTCCGCAATTCAGGACAACTCCGACCCTGGACAGCTCGACGGCTTCCTGAACTTCTTCAAAGATCTTAACGGCGTAGTCGATAATATTACACATCAGATTGGAGACTGGGTGGGCACGAACTTGGAACCGGTCGATTTCAATAGTCTCCCGCGATTCGTTTTCCCTGGGGCCTCAGTATTTACCTACAAGTCAGTATCGTTCTCTCAGTACCAAGACTTGATATGCGAAATTACCTATGTTACTCCGAGTGGTGCGGCTGCCGTGGGACATTCTGCCACAACTTCTTCGTCTCGGCCAAAGCTTGCTCTCCCAGAGTCTGAGTCCGAATTCGAGGCTGCAGACCCGCCAACGGATCCCACTCCGACTACCACTTTGACTTCTTCTTCCGACCTCATACTGAATTACGTTCAGGGCGAGATCGTGTCCCCGACAAGTAAGTTCGAGGCCTTGCAAGTGGCTGATGGCCACTCCTTGCTCTTTGCAATCGATACCTCGAACGTTTTCCATGTGATTGAGGAGCAGACTGCCACAATAAGCACTGGGTGGAAATTTAGCGATCTTTCCACAGCATTGATTGAAGCCGAGTTTCCAGCAACAGATGCCATAGTGCGCACTTTCGATGTTGGACAAAGCGCCGTTAACGGAAATATCAGCCTTGCGATGGCAGTCTCATCTGAAGAATCGGACAACCTCTACGTTTCTCTTGCAAATTCGAGCTCTGATGCATCTTGGATCGCGGCGCCAAGTTAGACATCGATGCCATTCAATGCAGTCAGTGAAACACCACCAACGATCTTGACGATTGTTGGGGTTCTCTTTGCCGAGATATTGGAAAGCCAGGAATGTCTGGTTGTGGATATCTATCGCCCTTCGACATCAGGTGGAACAGATATTGAATGCTATTACATTGACCCGACCAAATTCAACGGTACTTACTGGGTCAAGCATGATGTACCTATCGATATCGAGGCGGGCAGCTATCAGAGCTGTATTGGTCGAACAGGGGGTGATGTTGTGGACGGCATTTACACCTCAGGAGTTGCAGGGACCGATGACCAACTCATCTATACGCCTATCCTCAACGCGTGGGGCCATGGGCCACCAACCGTGTCCCGACTCATTGTTCCCTCTGGGAACCCTGTCTCGGCTATAGCAACAGCTCGTAATGCTGATTCCACATCCCCTCTATATGGAACTACCGATCTTTACGCTGTGAGCAATTCAGCTCTCTATCGTTTTGCTGCCGATGCCCAAGGAGATAATGCATCTGGAGCGGTTCTCGTTACAAGCGAGGTTTTGTCGGGGTGCAGCAAGCTACTGGCTACCTCACAGGGTGGCGTTACAACTCTTTGGGGCAAGAACGCCAGCGACGAGATCTTTTACATCTCGTGCCTCGTGGCAGACCTTGCTGACCGTGACTCTTGGAGCATTCCAATCCCCATATTGTCCGAGATCGAGAACGTTTCGGCGTACGTGAACAAAGCCGACGGCGGCAAAACTATCTTTGCAGCTGGTAATGGACTCGTAAATTTGCAGAAGATTGTGCAAGCTACCGACTCCACAACTAAGATCTGGCGGACACAGCAGATTATACTCGATGCTCCCATTGATCAGAAAGCTCTCTCGTTCAACTCATACACGACGGTTGTCCAATTAAGCGAGAACAACCAACCCGCTGCTGGCGCCACTCTTGTGGTTTCAACAGACTCACGTACGCCAATGTACGCGAGTGGGATCTATTATGTGTTAGGGCTCAAGCCAGCTTATATCAAAACCAATGCATCTGGCTCAATGATTTTCATCGAGGCGACAGACGATCTCCAGGCCGCTATCATCTCGATCGACACGACCAGTGCAGGACCCATAGTCTCCGCCGTCATCAACCCAATGGAGCAACCATTCCAGAAAATCACCAGTCTGAATAGCTCGGACCTACTACGTGGAGCAAGCTTTCCATCTCAAACAGTAGCGAGTGGAGTGGTAGGAACTCCCCAGTCTACGAGCTTAATTGCTGCTTCGACTAGCGGGGATGCTGTCGATGCCATCGTTAACAACACGAGCTCTTTAACGGCTGCCTACTCGAGCCTGAGCCCTAACCTCCAGGCAGGAATCGCGACGGCTCCAAGAACAAAACCCAGCAGTCTCAATCCCGATGACAATTTTGTAGATGTGTTTATAGGAGACCTTGTTCGTTGGCTGAAATCTGGAGTGAGTGCTATCATTCAGATTGTCCAAGACGCAGCTACCGAAACATGGCATTTCATCGCCAACATTGCTGGCCAGGCTTACCGAGCCATCATGGACACGGTCAAAGGTGTAGTGGGTGCCATTGAATGGGTATTTGATGCCATCAAGACGGGAATCGAAGATCTTATCCGCTTTCTCGAATTCTTATTCGGCTGGGATGACATTCAAAGGACCAAAGATATCTTACACAATGTGGCCTCGCTCTTTCTCGAAGACCAAATCGCTTCCATTGATACCATGGAGGAGCAACTCGATGCCAGCTTTGCAGCCGCGGAGGCAACGATGAACGAATGGGCAGGTACCACCGACTGGTCTCCTCTTGGTCCTTTTTCCTCACAGACTCCCGTGGCCAGTGATAAGAACGCGATGCAAGGCCAGACTGCAAGCTCACAGATGTTGACGAATCATTACCACTCGCAATCACAGAATATGAGCATAATCGGTGGACCTACTCCTCCCGGTGCTGTGGACAGTCTCATGGACGAGCTGCTCACCGCAATTTCCAACAAGGGTGCAGTTCTCGGGGCTGTTTATGATCAATTAGAGCAGCTAGCCACGCAAGTTAGCTCTGGCACTACGAGCTTTGGCGATATGCTCAAGAAACTGGTGGTGATCTTGACTGATGTTTCCTGTCTGCCATGTTCCAGCCGGAAAGCGCAGCAGTCGATCTTCCAGAACCTTTGATTGAGATCTCGGAACAAGTTCAGCAAGTCTTCGCTTCGCTTCTTCACTTCGGCGCTGGCATAGTCACAATATTCCGATTGGTCTACAAAATCCCAGAAGCAAAGGCAGTAGAGGCCAACAGTCCAACAGCACGCTACTCGACTGTTCTTGGCATTGTTGCTACCATTCTCTCAGCTAGTGCCGATCGGCTGGCCCCCAAATATGCCATTCAGAACGAAGACGTGATCAGATTCTCCTTGCTTTTTAAAGCCCTCGGTGTGTGCAACGCAATTCGTTTCAGTGGCTACGTATCTCAACGGTTTTATGATGATATATTTGGCCCGTTGACGATCGTTGAGGCTCGTTCCATGGGGGCGGTTATGGACTCCATCCTGGCTGCCTGTTCGTTTATCGTCACATGCTATCATTTTAAAGAGCTTTTCAACGACCCCGAGAACAGCAACAGAATGGTGGCTATGGAAGGAGAAGCTGCGAACTTTTTCTCGTATTGCTCTCGATTGTTGTATGCGGGAGCTGTTGCTCAGAACGACCCAGTAAGTCGTCCGACTTTTGTGGCTTTTATGGCTGGTTGTGATGTTCTTACTGCTGGTTTTGAAGTCGCGACAGCTTTCACGGCCATGTAATAAGCGGTAGTGTTTTGTCTGCAGTTTTTGAAATGGAGCCTGATGATTCTGGGTGAAGTTGACGTTCTTTCACGGAGCTTACGTTTGAAGATTCTATACCAAGCATTGCTTACAATTTAACGAGTAAATCAATAAGCTCTTCAGAAGTTGTGAATTGTTGAAAACCTATTTGCTTAGGAACTACTCAACTATTTCGACGAGAGAATAGATACAGCTTTCCACATTGAATGTCATCTAAGAACCAACAAGAAGGACCAACAAGAAGGGCTTTTGAGTATCCAATGGGAAGCACAATACATTTCCCTATCATAAAATCCCAAGCCTCCTGCATTCTTTTCTTAGTAGTTATTGAGAGCTTGGTTAGTATCTTGCTGGTTACTTCAAAACATTATTAGCCAGGCCCCGGCATTCTGCCAGAAGACTTACGGATCATATTGATCATTCCCACCATACTGCTGATCATACATATTCTGCACATTCTCCTTTGCGTGACGCTTCGCTTTTTCCTTGTCAACCCAATCCATACCCTTCGTCTCCGCCAGCTTATCGACCTCTCCACCCACGAGGCCAACAAGCATTTCTTTCGCGAACTGATGAGAGACGGGTTTACCTAGAGAACAATTGTAAGCAAAGGTTCTTTGAGATCGCTGAGATAAGATGAAGTGGAAGGTTGGAAAAATGCGCATACCCTCGGCACGCTGACGGTCTTCGAAGACCTTGAAGGCTCCGAATGATGCAGCGCCAGCTAGAGCTTCGTGGCCGAAGCTTGCCTGGTTGACGTCACCGCTTTGGGCTTGTTGGTAGGCATCTTGAGATTCTCCTGAGGAAGATAGTGTCAGCTCACCACTATTACTATGGGATTTCGAACAGGACTCACCCCAGCCGAAAACCATGATGATTGATTAATCGATTGATTGAATGTAAAGAGTCGAGAGTTATTTATGATATCGTGGCATCCGTCTTTCCTGCTAGAAAGATTGTATAATGAGAAGTCAATCTGAAGAAAAGAGGGGTATATATGCCCCCCAAAACAAGCTTTTACCACGCATACCAAGCTTTCGTCATCCCGAGAACAAGCTCCTGATCCCGATCCACATTCATTCGTCAACGCTGATCATGGAAGAAAAGATCAGGCCATCAACAGGAGATTCCCTTTCGTGGTTTCAGGCATTTACGTTTTGATGCGGGGTTTGATGTTGGTGCGCAGAACTAGCCAGGGGACGTGAATCGTACCGACCACTTGGGACGAGTCCCTAAGGGACGCTATGAGACCCTGAAACGCGCAGGCTTCATGCGCGGCCGCGGCATCTACATCATGATCTTGGTGGTTGAGTCTTTTTCGATGAGTGCTATGAATTTCATTCCGACGCACGAGGAGAGCTTTGAGAAGTATTGAAATTGTACGCGAGAGTGTTTTCATGTAATTGAGTGAATAGTTTGAGAGCACAGCTTTCTCGTAAGCCTCAATGCTTCCTAATACACAGTCTCAAAGATACGGCTTCTTCTCCGTATGAGAGATGAAGACGCCTGCATAACCACCATCCACAGTAGCCTTGTTCACAAGCCCCAAGATCGACTTGACACTATCTTCCGGCTTCGAAGGCCCCTCAAAGGTCGGCGAATATTCCTTAAATTTCGCAAACATAGCCATAGCCAACTTCCCCTCTTCCTCACTTTCTATCGAAACGTCAGCAAAAAGCACACTCTTTCACTAGGTCGTCAAGCCGAAAACTCACCAATCTGAAGACTACCGGTATCAACAGCACCAGGGCATATAGCCATGACGAGGACGCCTTTCTGGCGGTACAAGGCGCTGAACTTGGCTACGGCTATATTGAGAGCTGCTTTGCTCATCGAATAAGCCGTGGCTTGGAACATATCGGCCTTGAGCGTCATCTCGGGGTCCGATGCGCCGGTGGAAATGGCAATCACTTTCTTTGCCCGACCTTTCAGGATCAGGGGCATGAAGGTGTTGAATAGATGGATGGGGCCGATGGCATTGACCCGGAAGTGCTCAATCAAGTCTTCTTCGAGGGCTTTTGGATCTTTGCTCCTGTGGAAGAATTAACCCCAATTCAAGTATACCGGTGATCCACGATGAACTTACAGAGTATCAAAACCAACCAGAGCAGTCTTGGCTTGAAGCGCTGCATTGGCGATGATATAATCAAGCGTCCCATTCGTTTGCTTAGAGACATACTCAGCTGCTTTCTAGAAAATCTTCGAGTCAGTTTAGACCCCTGTTTCAATGATCACTCACTAGCCTACCTTCAATGCCTGAGGATCCGTGGTGTCGGCTTCGATGATGTGAATGTTTTTCCGGCCTATTTCAGCTGCGACCTTGGACTCGACGGCTGCTTTGTTGCGGACGAGGCCAAAGACGGTATTGGCTGGGTTTTCAGAGAGCTGGCGGAGGAACTCGAACTAGATGATGGATTTTTTGATTAGCTAAGAGTCTTGTACATGAAGGAAGATGGGAGCGTACGCCAACGCCACGAGAGACTCCAGTAATCACGTAGGAAGACATTGGAATGGAAAAGTTATGGTCAATAAAACTGAGGTTGATCGTGGGATGATTCTGAGAAGTCGTTCTGAGAGTTGATGCTCCAGAAGAGATGCAACAGAGCATGTATATATATCGATTTCAACCCATCCTTGGAGCGTCGTTTGCTCAGTTTTCGATTTCAAATCTGCTCTATTTCGTCGTAATGTCAGATGTTGTGTAAACAGATCCTCGAAACGGAGGATCCACTTTAAATTGCCAAGACACAGAAAAGTTGCCATGTTTCTAAATGCGGAAGATAAGCGAGATCGTGCATGAGAAATGCGGGGATAGTGGATCTGATCGGCGATAAAGACTGGCTGCTATAACCCGTGCAGCGCATTTGTCATCTCTTCGCCACAGTGAAAATGGCAAGTTTTCTGCAGTTGCTTAATAAATCTCAACTGACAAAGTTAGGATATTGGAGAGGATACTAATTGATCTCCATGTCCGCGCCAAAAGAAGAATAATGGCAACTTTTCTGTAGATGCTTAACAATTCTCAACTCACACAGCCAAGATATCGGAAAGGACACCATTTAATCCACAATGCATACGAATGAGTGCTGGGCTTGCAAAGGTACCGTCCCTGTCCAAGTGAAATGCATCTATGCGGCCAGTTACTCACACGCTCCAGACTCTCGGGTAGTCTGCAATCGCGCACGCCCACGTTGTTCAAGGTGCGCTAAGTCTAGAAGACCATGTCAGTACGGGCTGCGGCTGTCGTGGCCAAAGGCCACCAACACGAAGCGAAGCTTGACCCATTCCCTTCAGGATGTAGTTGGGACTGCAAAAGGTTTCTCCTATACGAGCTTCGTGAATGCTACATCATGGGATGTTCAGCTCCATGATTACTTGCGGATGAATCAAGGTTTACTCACTCCCTGAATTTACTTATCACTCGACTGATGCTTTAGTGGTAGGACTTGGTACTCGCAAAGGATTTGCCTTTCGAAAGCTCGATCCGCCTATGGGACTATCATGGCTCCCAATCAACCTAGGCTACGAGGACAGAGAACTTCTTGATCACTGTAAACATAATCCCATCTTCTAAAATTTTATCACGCTGATAGCTGCAGTTATATGCATGGCGCCATCCACACTAGCCATTTTCGACCCCGATAAGAACGAGTTCCTGGGTCTCCTGGTTCGCCTAGCTCTCTCAGATAGTTCACCGTCGTCTACGGCGGTGTTACAATCGGCGCTGGCGCTTTCGTCCTTCCACCGGCATGGTCTGCAAGCAGATGTCTTTCGGTTCAAAGCCCGCGCTCTGCGTGCATTGGTCGTATCTTGCAACAGCCCTACGGTGGTTCAGCATATTGCTGCTAGTATGATATTGTGTCACCTTGAGGTCTGTTTAAGAATGGGTCCATGTCTTGTTTTGGAATAAATACTTACCAGCCCTCAAGATGCTCGGAATGCCAGATGCAGTCTCCCTGTGGTTCTGTAAGTAACGTGTGATCTATTCATTTCTACTTCCCGAGCCTATAATGATGTATTCGATCTATTGTGTTAGTTCTTCTGCTGCCCTTTCAAGAAATTGGTCGCCTGATTTTTCAAAGACATTGCTAAACTTCGGCTTGGATTCTAGGTCATTTGAGTGAAGCTAGACGTTTAATCGACAACGCAGGCCTTGACAACCAGAGCTTCCAAGGCGAACTTTCCAGACTTCTAGACTGGGTAGAGTATCATATGGTCATGAGCCGGTTCAGCCACCGACACTGGTATATACATGTGGAGCCTATTAGAGCAATCAGTGATTTAGCACCTGTAAAACAGGGAACTTGCCACTCACGAAAGGTCAGTCTGAAGAACACGAAAACTGGTCTCTGCATAGTCATTTATCTAATATGAGATAGGTCGAAAGTGCATCGCACTGCTCCCATGAAATTCTTCGACATTTCTATATCATGTTCGAGATGATTCGGAAACCAACCGACTCACTATACCACAGCGACGAATACGAAAATTCCTTGCGTTGCCTCGAAAACAGGATAACCAACATAGTTCCGTTGACACCAGAAGGTATATCTAATACTATATCCAGTTTGAGCCCAGCCTGGACGGCTACAACAGAGCTTTTCAAAATAGCTGCTCTAATCTACCTCAAAAGAGCCTCGCGGAACTTTTCAGGAACCTCCCCTGAAATCGATGCAATGGCTGAGAGGGGCTATATACTTCTCGACGACCTGGAGACCTTCAATTCAGCGTTCCCACTGCTGATTATCGGATGCGAGGCGCGGACAGATGAGCAGCGAATGAGAAGTCTAGGACATGTTGAAAGAGCAATGAAAAGCTCAAGTTTGAGGAGCTTGCAGGGACTGCAGAATATTCTCCAGCAGATTTGGGTCCAGGATGATCTTGCTGTTGATTATGAGTTAGACTATTTGAGTCGGTTGGATGCTGTAATATCTTCTTACCGGATTATGCCGAGTTTCGTGTAGTATATGGACTTCTCGGATTTCGAATATGACAGACGGATCTCCATTCCATCTTCCACGAGATATTGATTTTTCCTGCCTCTTAAGTCATCAGTACACCAGAACAGTGAACTAAAGCAACCGAAATAAAACTTTTCCCTACGAACGACATGCTCGCAGCAATATATACAAAGAATTTTCCTCCTCCCCATCATCCACAACATCTCAAATCGCCGCAAACACAGCCAAACTACTCCTCGCCGTCCCACTCTGATCCACCATCAAATTATCTGAACAACTACTCCCCAATCCCGCATTCTGAATCCACGCTGGTTCCCAATAAAACAATCCGGCACCGCCCGACACCCCCGCAACAACAGCCGCCACGTCCTTCACCCACGTCGTCTGCCCCGCGGCGCTGAACGGGATGCTCGTCGTGTCCGAGGGGAAGCTGTACGCGGGACTCGGACACGCTTCCGGCCAGTTCGTCTCGGCTACTACTATGGATTTGCCCCAGCTGGACGCCATGTCCGTTAGGGAAGTCTTGAACGAAGCGAGCGTGGCGGCGCTGTTGTAGAAGGGGTAGTAGGATACGCCCATGATGTCGTAGTCAGTGCTGAGTAATGGACCTTCGCCGAGGACGGTGGTGTACCAGTATTTCTGGGTGGCCCAGTTCCAGCCGTTGTCGAGGTGGATCATGATCTTTGGTTGGGTCGTCAGTTTTGAAGCTTTGATTCCTGCGGATGCGGAGTGGAGGAGGGTTGCGATGTTGTAATATGAGGATGTGGAGCCGAGGTTCCAGAGGAGACCGTTGGTGATTTCGTTGCCGATCGAGACGATGGAGAGGGGGATGTCGGCTGCTGCGAAGGCGTTTGAGACGGCGAGAGTGTAGTTGTAGAGTTCCCATGTGAGGTCGCCGATCGTGTCGGTTGGCCAGCCGGAAGGGACGGTCTGCTGTGTGTCAGATCTCTGAAGCAGGGATTCAAGGTACCTTTCATCATGCCTGGTGAGAAGGATCAGCCCAAGTGTCGCTGAAATGCATATCGAGATAGATATTCAACCCAGCAGCCTTTGCACGTGCCGCAAGCTTGAGATTGTAGGCCAGGTTATAGTCGCCACTTGATGGGTTGACCCATAGCCTTTGTCTGACAGTGTTGACTCCGCTGGCCTTCAAGATGGTCTCGAGTGGTTCCGTCGTTCCCGAAGTCGTCTTGTAAGTATAACCAGCTGCCTCTTCAATCAAGAGCGAAGACCAGTCCACGCCTTTATACGTCAGAGATGCCCGCACCCCTGCGACAAGGACGGCAAGAACGTAAAAAGGCAACATCGTGAATAAAACGAGCGAAGATGGTCAAAACTCTCGAGGCAAAACTAGAATGCGGATTTGAAGCAAAATATATATCACCATCTCAAATCACACGATGTCCCACAATTTCGCGTCCCCAAATTTCCCATCAGTAAAAAGGATCTCAGTCCCACCTCGTGTTGTCGGTATAAGACAAGCATGCGCTCCGTGCAGGCTGTTTCGTTTCCTCCAATCGATCCCTTTCCACATTTTTCGTTCTTGATTGAGGCTGTCAAACGACATTTATATCCAAATCCACGAATCATGATCCAGCCGAGATTCATACGAGGGGTATTGGTGGGGTGCATTTCCCCACAATGCACTTTATTTGCCGCTGCGCCAAGGAAATTCGGATTTTATGCATGGTGTCAGGTGAAGTTTTTGTAGTTGTTTTATTGATGGACTGACTGCCCAGTTCCTTGGGTAGTTCTCGGGAAAGGCGTCTTCTAGCTGAAGATCAGATTCTGTCTTGACAATAGTATTTGACGATGAAATGGTAGAAGCGCTCCAGTGAAGAGTGAGGTAAGAAGTGAAATTCAGGGGTAGTGGAGTTAAGCGAGGAAGCATCGGAGCCGAAGCTCTAGGGATGACTCTCAAGGTCTGGCAAAGATTTGAGAATAGACGACGACATTGTTCGGGAAAGACCTTATGCATGCGACTCGTGGGAATTTGACTCCTTTCTTCTCACGGTTTTATTTGATTTTGTCGAATGCGGTAATAGAATTATGCTGGATGTTTACATCCGCTTGCGGGTCTCACACCAGGCATGAACATACTATTATCGACCATCAAACACCTTCGCCAAGAGATGATGAATCTGAACCACATTCTTATTCTCACTGCAACTATTCTACCTACCCAAGCAATCCGCCATGCCTCGAAAGCCGTCACGTGATCAACCCTTAGCCTGTTCTTGCTTCCTCCCACAGCAGTTCGTCCGAGCATTGAATCTAATCAGGATATCCCGATCATCATCTCTAAGCTTGGACATAATTTCGTGCAATGGTATCAGATCTCTGTCTCAAACTTCCATGCCAAGATTATCAGATGCCCGGGCAAAGATTAACCGGCCGCACCTGAGGCAATGCGAGTTCTGAATCCGGCACCTCAAACCCGCGCAGTCTCGCCCCCAAAACATCAGAGGAACCTCTCTTCGCAACAGCGCCCATCTTCAGCAATGGGATGACATCGTCTGATACATCGGATGGAAACTCTGGTGCTCATCCAAGCCGCGTGCACCTTCTGCAATCTCTTGGCCGCGCGAGGTTCGACGTCCCGACGACCCGACACTGGGTTTGATCACCGACCGCTGTCATGCTGTTCTGCTATATAGTCTGCGTTCATCTCAAATATTTCTCACTTTCTTCCAATCACTCAAACACTACGTTCTTTCCGTCATCACTGTCGTTGCCAAAGTTCTGCGAACTTATTCCATTCGTGTCTATAATCATTCATTACACCGGCTAGTCCGTTTTTACCTCGCGACTTTATTCAACTTCCATCTTTCGATACCCAAACCAACTTCAAAATGCAAATCAACGCTCTCTTCATCGCGCTCTTCGCAGCCGCCACCGTTTCCGCAGCTCCCTTCGAGGCCCGTGCTGCTGCCAATGCGTCCGCCGCCGAATTCGGTACCTGCAACCCAGCCATGAGCTTTGCATTCGGACGTCCAGGAAGAAGTGCCACTGAGGGTACTTTCCTCCCAGTCGACCCAACGATTGCCAAGGGACAAGAAGATGCGCTGAACCCCAACATCATCACCAACGCTATCTGCAACCAGTTGATCAACGTTTGCGGCGTGGACAAGGCTTCTGCTGGTGAGACAGCCTGTCTTGCTGCCAAGGCCGATGTTGCGGCTTTGACGACGAAGGATCAGACCACTGCTGATGCTTTCAACTCTGCTCTTGGTGTTTCGGCATAAGGGATGGAATGGGCTGGGGAGACGAGGTTGGTGCATATGGGTGGGGGGATCTGGGATATGAGAACACGACGACGATATGATGTATGATGAGATCAGGAAGGAAGGTTTAATAGGGAGCAACAGGCCTTCGTGCCACATTTTTGAGCTGCAAATGAACCCAATTACAGCTATTCTCTTCGGTACCTAGTGTGATATGAAATCTCTAAAATGCAAATGCTTTCCGAAAATACGAAACGTGAAAGTTGCTTTGTGCAATTTCTCTTTCGAAGTCCGTCGTTGCAATCCAATCACAAGAAAATGATGCGAGGGAGGACTTTGTTTAGCCTTGTCACTATCATGTGCTTGCTGATGCTTAGACATCCAACTTTGGTGTCTTATCATTCGAAGTTGGGGATCAAGAGTCTACTTAGCTTTTGAGATGCAGAGGAGCAACGCTACGACTATCAGAAACTGTCGACGCAAAGAACCTACGCATTCCATGAATCATCACTTCAACAGCTGTGCATTCGATCGCCTTAGTTGTTGTAAATATTCCTCTACATCACGTGTCTCCCCGTTGGAGAAGGCTCGCGAGAGGGCATGCTTCCTAAGCCTTCTTTCCATGGACGTCTTTTGAATCTTGCAATTTGCTTCCTTCTTCGTCGTTCCCGCGCTCATTCTTGACCAGACGATCAAGCAAGTACGTAGTGTTGAACAGGCGATTCCCAGTATCCGTCGTACCTCGCCCAGTGAACTTATTATCCGAGACACGAAGAGCAACAATAGTAAGATGGCTATCTTCTCCAAGGCGACGAAGCACTCCATCATCAGAAAGACACTGACTATGCACCACTCCAGCAACGACCACGATATGAATGGGATACCAAATGCTCCAAACATACTTGACAAATCTTTCAACCGTCTTTCCCCCGTTGATGACGGAGTCAATGATGATGATCGTGTGCTGACCCTTGATATGATGGGTACCGATATCTTTCGGTTCATTGGCATGAACGAACATCGCGAGTGGAAAAGCGTCGCTGACACCAAGAGCCATCGGCTCTCCGCCACGCATTAAAGCGATGATGGTTGTTCTGTCCTCCTGCATGAGTCGGTAGCCGCTTGTTTCGTGGCCTTGGACGTGAGCGATAGGATAGTCCTCGAGACCAATGCTTTCACAAACAAATTGGGTGGCAAGATACCATCCGACTCGTCGATGAGCTTCTCGTAGCGCAGGACCAGACACCTTCGCGTCTCGAGTGGGTGTCATCAATAACTTGGCTGCATTGGTGTTTGTTGCGTGGAGAACTGTTAGGGTAGTAGATTGAGGGCTGCGACGACGGAAAATCTCTTCCAGAAAGTTCGGATCCGTCAGCGTGACTGGAGGTAGACGCCTATGATCCAAACGTGGCGGTGTGTTGAGAGGCAGTGAGACTTGTCGAGCAGTCAGAGTACCAGCCTCGATAGCGGCGTCCAACGCATCGTCGAAAGCCGGGCTGCTGCTACCACGACGGCCGACTACCACGACGGATTGATCAGTCTTCTTCAACATAGGCAAATCAAGCAGGCTGTCTCCAAAACCCCAAGTATACACACCATGTTTCCCACGCAGATGATCGACCAATGCAGCTTTGACTGTTGGGGTAACAACAAATCCATCGGAGATGCGCCCTCCTCCAACGACCTTCACAGTCTCTGACAGTCCCTCATGCATCATCAAATCTTCCCACAGACGTCGAGGACCGCAAGTAACGATGACAGCACCAACATTCTCACTTCGCTGAACAGCTTCCAATAGCTTGAGAAAGTCTGGATGGACGCTCTGAACCAACGTGTCCATGTAGCAAATATGGTCATATCTTCCCGCATCGGCACCATCCTCATACAACAGAGTCGCCTGTCGAAAAGCGAGATACGAGTGGCCCATCTTGCTACTGAACAGCACTTTCAAAGGGTTAATTGTAGGGTCGTGGCCTTTCTCCAAGCGCTCATCCGAACGAAGAAATCTTTTCCAGAACTCGTCTCCGGTGTCGTCCTCTACCAGTGTCCCATCTCCATCCAAGAGTAGAATGGTCTTCAGCTTTCTCGGATCTGCCAGGAGAATTCGGTCCAGGTAGGAGATAGCTTGCAATCTGTTGTACTTCTCATTATGGATCGCAAAATCATAGATCAGCGGAGTGACTTGGTCGATGACAGGTTTCATGACTTTAGAGACCATATCATTGTCTTGATCGAGGACAGGTGTTTCGATCTCGGAGGCCATTGTGAAGAGAATACCGTTGTCTCGACATAGCTTCCTCAACTCTGTCTTCTCAAATATCTGCCACTTTCGGATGTGACCAACGGATGTCTTTGCGCGAATTCTCTCCTTGTCGCCTTCGGCGCGAGCAGCCACTATATTGGGGTCGATGTCGAGGTAAATGATATGCGTGTATGTATTCAGATCAGCTTGGGTAATGACAAGTAATGGTGCCTCTGTGCCATCCGCCCAGAACGTGAAGTGGCCAGTGATAACCCCAATTCTGTTATTGCACTCGTACCGAATCATTGTGATAGCCTTCTCACGCCACTCCACCTTTTCGGCATCCTTCAGCTTCTTGAAAGCGTCTAGTCCCCCTTCCACAATATTCGAAATAACTTCGGAGCCTTCCCAGAACCAGAACTTGTTTGGCAGGAAAGCTTGCTTCAGCTGTTTCAGCAGGAATGTCTTGCCGGATCCAGGAACGCCGTAGAGACCGATGATGATGGGTTTCTTCTTGGTATCAGCTCGGATGTTGGGGATTTGAGATGGGTTATCTGGCAGAGGATTGATCGGCATGGTGCTCGAGGCGTTTTTTGGGATGGCATTTTCGTTCGTTTGAGTCGACCCTTCCCCTTCAGGAAAATTAGAGTCCGCCATTCTTGAGAGTAAAGCCGAGGACTGAGAGTCTCAAGAATGTGATCATCAGATAGAAAGTGGAAAGAGAAGCAAGGAAATTGTCTGGCCTTATACACAATTCTGTTCTTTGAGCTGCAGGCAAACGGAAAGCAAACGGGAGATGCAGGAGAAGTCCCGTGACAATGACTACAGCACGAGAAGATGGCACCAAAGCTGGGCCACTGCATGTAATGAAACATCAAGGGAAGAGGCCCAAGGATAATACATGATCGGGATGTCCACTTGGACGCGGGAGAGCGATTTTCTCTGAAAGAAAAAGGTTGGGAATTTGATGCTCAGCATCACGTGAAAAGTGAGCAGCGCCCAGGTGAGGAGCAATCGAAACCACCCCGCAGGCAAAACAGATATAGAAGAACAATGAATAGTCAAAAGAACAATATGAATGAAGTAACAAGATTTTAGAAGCCAAAACAATCCCTCTCTTCCTCATAACCCCACTCCTTCAAGGCCGGCAATGCAGCTTTCTGAATCATGGCCGGCGGTCCACAAAGGAACACCACACTCTCCTTGCCCCTATCAGGTTCAAAGCAATTCTGCTTGATAATATCCGCATCCACATGGCCCTTCACGCCTTTCCACTCCTCACTCGGATGACTCAAAACATGACAAATCCGAAACTGTTCCTTATGCTCCTGAGCAAATCTTTCCATCTCCTCTCGCATCAAAATATCCTCTTCACTCTTGTTTGCATCCACAACCCTGATCTCGGTCTTATCATGCACATCACCTAGAATGCGAGCGATAAGGGCGTACCCTGGAGTCAACCCCGATCCTCCAAGAATCAACGAGATCTTAGAGAAATGATACTCCTTATCTTCAATGATGAATTTTCCGTTCCCTTTATAAGCAATCTCACCCGTCGGGCCACGAATCTCGACTTCCTCCCCAACAGGGATGCAATCCAAGATGTTGGACATCGCTCCCCCAGGCTGCCGCGTATCGGGAAAGTACGTCTTGACGACGAGATCAAAGGTGCCATCGTCTTCTTTCTCCGTGACTGGCCGAGTGGGTGTGTATGAGCGGATCAGCATTTTGTCTTTGAAGTGGAAGCCGAATTGGATGTGTTGACAGGTTTCTAGGCCCAACTTGTTGGAGTTGGACAGTTTGAATGTGTAGCGGCGAGTGTCTTTCGATAGTTCGGTGCGCTGGACGAGTTTGACTGGCACCCAGCGATGTTTTTGGAGGGCGATGTCAGAGGAATTGGTTGCCGAGTTAGCGGCTTCTTGGGCAGCCTTTTCGGCGTTCTTCTTGATGAAGTTGGCTGCTTTCTCTGTGACGACGCCGAGGATGCATTCTGCAACTTGTCAACAAATTATATTATGAGAGGGTGGAAATCTTGCGTTTCAGCTTCTGTTGTGCGTAGCCGTCATGGATTGAATTGAATTCATCAGTCGTAGCCTGCCACACTTTGCCACCATGACCGGTGATTGCTGCTTTCCCTCCCGGATGCCATTCTAGTACGCTGGTCGCATCGTACACTTTCCCATCAACCACGATCCAGCAATCATCATCGGTATTGTGCTTCTCAATCTCCTCTCTCGTGAACTGTTTCTCCGGAGCACCAGCCGCCTGCCTAGCTTCGTTGATCTTCTCAGACTCGGACAAGTGCATCCAACCACCGTCTTTGGTTCCAGGCTCGACAGGATGTCGGAACCGAATCTTTGCAATGCCATCATCCTTCTCCGAGATCTCAGGCTTAACGATATACCAGCAGTTGTTCATCATACCCATTGTATTCCATGACGGTTCCCGCGGCTGCGTGTTCTTGAATACATTGAAGCATCGAACGATGATTGACCGACACCGCACGAGATGAGCGATCTCAACATCAATATGCCAGTGCAGCCAAGTCCAAAATTTGTTGCCGTGTCGGATGGGGGCATCGGGAAACTTCCGAATGCAGTACAGCCAGGTGGCACCATCGTCAAGTGAAATTTCGACGCGCTGAACCTCATGTCCGCCTCCGTCATACGCATATCCCTGCACGCGATATGTCGTTCCCTTCTTGGCCCTGTCAAGGGAGATGGTCTCGCCTTGGGCGGGCTTCACAATTACACTGTTCAGATTCTGTTCATTGCACGCAGTGCTTGGATGAGCAAATCCCACGTCTGCAAATTCGCCATCTTTCTCGGTGATGAAGGCTGGGAGTACTCTATTGTCCCAGATGTGGTAATGTGAATCATTCTCCTTTTCACTGACCCAGACCTTGTGAAGCCATTTCACACATCGACCACCAACATAGCCAGGAATGATGACACGAACAGGATGGCCATGATCTGGAGGCAATGGGACATCATACATCTCGTATGCTAGAATGACATCGTTCGTTGGATCAATGGCATAGTTGAGTGGGATACATGTTGCGTATCTGCCTTCGGAAGGCTCGTCGGCGCCTTCGAAGTTGACCCATAATCGTCGGCCTTCGTCCAACCTTTCGGATATACTAGCAGCTAGAAGCACATCTCGCAGCAGAGGACCCTTCCAGTAAGCACATGACACAGCCCCGCTCCCCCAGTTGAAGCCTTTAGATCTCTTGATCATGTTGAGCTCTTTGCGCCGATTACCATCGCATGCAAGTGCAACTGGGATATTGACGGTATCAAAACGTTCCGCTAATTGGTCCATGGTCAACTCCAGTTTTTGGTTTGCCTCCAAACCTTGAATCTCCAGCTTGTGAAGTACCCAGAGAAGGTGAGGCACTGCTCCATGATTTTGAACATAGTGGTACTCATTCGGCGTGATCAATCCCGCTTCAAAGAGAGATTGGAGTTTGGGCTCTCCATTCAGCGGGTGCTATTCAGTCAGTCTTGTCTTAGAGATCGGTGCAAAATACGTACCTTTCCAGTCAGACGAATTAAGTTCGAAGATCTTGGAATCCAATTATCTAGACTGAATTGGTCTGCTTCGTCGATCGAGATTAGTGGATCGCTATGATTGACTGGCGATTTTCCTTTTCCGTCGTTTTGTTTGAGATTGCAGATATAGTCTTTCTCGTTTTGGAGCGAGCGAAGGAGAGCAATTTCCTGAGACGAATACTTTTCTCGAAGCTTTTCATGCGCGGACTTCTCCTTCTCGTCACTACTTGAATCTTCCGCATCGGCATCGCTCCAGCTTCCATAGGCCTCATGGTGTTTGTTCTCGTCAGATTGCCGCTTCCATTCGTGTTCCTGCTGGACGCCGTCGCTTTCCTCACCTGCCCGATTTTCTTTCTTTGCTTTTCTTGCATTGCCATTGACCTGATCCTCGACTTTGCCGTTGACGACTTTCCCGCTATTAACATGATTTTCCCCATCTCCTGGTGTTCGTTCTTGAGTCTTGTCCTCTTCGTTCCGTTTCTCTTTCGCTTCCTGTTCCTTCTGCTTTCTTTCAATGTTTGCAGGCCACTGCTCGGTATTCTTGATCCAATCCTCACTCGCGTTGAGCACAAATCTCCATCCCTCTGAATGAACATCGGGCCTTCTGAGATGTAAATCCTCTTGGACGTTGATGACATCTCGAAAATTGACAAGCTTTCCGTCTTCAGCTTCGCGCCTGAACTCATCGTATCTCTCCTCTAATTTCTCAACCTCAGTACTCTCGTTTGGATCTGAGTCTAACTCTATTTCATCCCCAGAATGAGTTAACCCAGGCACTCGATCCTGACGATTCCAGAAGCCGACTCGATGCTCGTGACCAGTTGTCCACGAGGGCTCATCTCTGATCTCTTGAGCTGTGGAACCCGGGTGAAATTTGACATATACACGATAGTGAACGGGAGGCATCTTGAAGAGCTAGACAAGGAAAATGTCCGCTGAGAGACTTCACTTAATGGCTGTCGTGGATGAAAACAACAGCATAGAAAGGGTAGGGAGACACCATTTCGAAGCTCGCAATAAGACATTCAGTGACGTCTGCGGAATGCAAATCAAGACCATCACATACACCAAGCTTTTGGTACGTGAGGGGATGTCCTAGTGTACCTCCTAGAGGATGCCACTGACAAAATAGTGTACATCTCGGAAGCGTTTTACCGGACGGCTGGAGCAGCATCTTGAGAATTAGTGGAGACGATGAAGAAGCCATTTTATCGCTTGGGAGTGGAACTGCTTTGATGTATTGATGGAAAAGTTCTCCGTAACAATATAATGTTAACATCTGAGGAAATGTTGTGATATAGAAGAGAGGAGAGGTTAGAGGTGACGCGGAGCGGTAATATCAAAACGCGCTTGTAGAATTAAGGTTGTTTTCCCACGTGATCAGTCTAATTTCGGCTTCAGAGGTTGAAAAGGGTTTGATTTAGAGTCAACAGGGGGTGTAGGAATTATTTACGCACGGGCCAAAAACACCAAAACTGAATAAGTTAATCGAGATCATCAAAAATATAAACAACCAACTTTAACTCTAATAATAGCACCACCAACACGTTCTAATCCTTATAGGACTCCTTCCCCCGAACCATTAGCTGGTAAAGAAGCTACAACGCGAAAGAAATGCAAATTTTATGATGCATTGGCCCACAATGGCAATTCTCGCTCTCTACGATCTATTTCCAAAGATTGCGGCATTTTAGAAGGCATAGGGAGATATTGGAAGAAACAGTTGTTTTAAATGGGGGCAGAAGCAAGGAAACCTACTCGATAACGCTCTGAGGTACTTGGTAGAAAGTCTAGAGTTACCAAATCCACGTGCCAGATACTAGTGTCACTAAGTCGAAATCCTGTCCGAAAACAACCCCTCGAAGCTCAGATATCCTATCATAATCTGCTAGTTAAGACACGCCAACTGTAGTACAAATTGAAGGAGCATACTAAAGGAGGTGGGAGATATATGTGCGCTTTTGTAAAGAAGGAAATCTCGATAGCAAACAAGACAAAAAGGAAGGCATATAGTGAAGAGCATGTGTGGGACTCTCTCTTCGGATTCTATAATCATATTATTTATACAGATGAAGCATATGTAGATCCTACTTCACAGACCTAAGGGAGAATCCTTAGGGAGCTTGGCATAAGAGATGATCTAGAGAATATTGAGGAGAGGCCGCCACTAAAAGGGGTCAGATTTCACATCGCTGCTTGGATCAGTTGGTGGGGTAAAGCAGATAAGTTGGAGTTCTATAATGATGAGGAGGATACTATTGAGCGTCCTGAATACCCTAAGAAGCCTCGCCGACGACCTACGACTGAAACAGAGGAGGAATACCAGGCAAGGGTGCTAGAATGGGAGGCTGGGAAGCCTCATGAGAGAGAAGTCAAAGTCAAGGGAAATGCCATAACTCAAAAGTATTATGTGGATCGACTATTACCCATATACTATCAAGCAATCGAGTCTATGCGCAATATTAACGACAAACCATGGTTACTTTAAGAAGATGGTGATCCTTCTCATGGCATGCGGAAAAGGGGGCTGGTAGAAGAGTATAAAGAGGCCCACAACATCCAAAACCTCATTCATCCTCCACAGAGCCCTGATCTGAATCCTATTAAAGGTATTTGGGCTATTATAAAGCAAAGATTAAGGCGTAGGGTCTTTGATTCAGAGGAGGATATGAAGGAGGCTTTGCAAGAAGAATGGGACAAAATCACTATGCAAGAGATACGGGATCGCATCGCTGATATGCCCAGACGATGCGCCCAGCTTAAAAAGTACAGTGGGAAACCCATTAGGGGCAATAAGTGGTGATGTTGAGCTGTTATTTAATATAATAGGAGTTTTTGGTCACTTCATAATTTTGGTGGTGCTGGCCCGTGCGTAAATAATTCCTACACCCCCTGTTGGAGTCTCCGAAGGAGCTGACTAATTTACTCGCGACCTTTGGTCACGTGCTCTGATGACACGGCTTAGGGGCATCTCCAACCTATTCCCAGCTCCTCAACTTTCATCACAGCATCAACAACGCCTCATGAAGTCCAGCTTGACCCCTTTACTATGCTTATTGTACATCTGATCGATGCCCTGCATGGTGGCATGTTCGTTCATCATCGTGCATAAAAAGCACATCTTCATTTGACACTCTGTCAACATTTATGTAAGGAGGATGATTGGGAAAAGCCGAGAGCCCATCCTGTCAGCCTCAAAGCAAGGGCGATCATATGTATCCTATGCAACGCCATCCGCTCGGGAGTTCGAACAGAAGAAGCTTTCAATTAGTCCCAACCTCGCTCGACTGCGCATCCCCTTGTTCAGACCTGCATCAGAGTCTTTCGATGTCTCTCGGAACAGACTCCGGTATCACCATGTCTCGTGCTTCTGTCTCAACTCCGAGTCTGGACAAAGACATGATTCGGGCAGAAGAAACGTCTTTGATCAACCACGATATATTCACTTAACATCTTCACTTCCCTCGGCCATTTGATTGTCAAGGTCGTCGAAAGCAAGTGCAGCAGACGAAGGAGAGGTGTTTTAGTGGCATGGTTATGCTTAGACCTCTACATATGATATATCTGGAACATACAGCCCGGAGCGAGGCCTCCCTTCCCAACCGCCTCCAATTGGTGCAGGGAGAAAACCCTGCGCTTGGCGTTGCAGTCCTTTTCCTATTTACCTTGCGAATTGACTACTCGGCCCGCCTGCATGCATTCATCTGCTGCACAGATTGCGCTCCTGCACCTTGTCTTTTCTTGCATTGAAATTTTAGCGCCTAGTACAATTTGTGCTTTCATTATCTTATTAATGCCCAAGTTTCCCTAGGGAAGCTCGTTATGTGCGTTGTATTGATTCGAGCTCGCGTCAATATATATTTGTACATTTTGGGGTTGTTGATCGAGTTGTTTTCTTTCCATCGCCTGGAATTCACCCGCCAGCATTCCTTACCAAGATGGGAAGTCCAATACAGTCCAGATTCTTCTCCGAGGATTTTTCTATCGATAAAGAACGCACAACAGTACTTCTTCGAGACGACGCGACTTCCGGCTGGCTTCTATCATCGCCTTACACAACAACACATTCGAAAATGCAGCTCACCAAACATCGTCAACAATCCGTATCGCCTTGCTCTCATTCTCCGTCAAGCATGAGAGAGCTAGACTTCCAACGCCGCGCCGCTGCATGCCGACAAACGTCGATAGAACTTCAACATCGCTGTTCCATCTCTTCCGAGATATCTGATCCTGGTCTAACAGAAAGTGACCCATTCGCATCGACTTCGCCACACTCAGATGCATCATTCGAAGACATCTATAACCGCCATCCGCCTCCCGTCAATCGTGAAGCCGAAGAGAAAATTTGGGGAGAGTACTTCATAGATCCGTCATCTCCAGTCAAAGGATCATTGCTCGACGATCCACTCTACCACAATTTGTCATCAGTGTTTTCTTCTTACGCACCTACAGAGGTGCACCTGTCACCTCGATGCCGAAGCCCCAACAGTCCTGCAGGCGATCTTCATCGATCAGACGCAGTGCGCGCATCGCGCGATCGCACTCGCCACGTCCATCTTCCCCGACCTGTACCACAATACACGCCCTTCCCGGTTCCTCAACTCTCTGAGGATCCCTCCCCAGCGCACCAATCATGGCCTCAACGCAACGAATCCCGAACAAAACAACCTTCACGACCACGCGCCAAGACAGCACCATCTCAAGACAGACCAATCCGCCCATCGAACCTTATCAATGTCTGTGTTATCGCTAACAACGATATTCAATACATTCCCACAAAATCAAGTCTTCTTCATGGACACCGCTCAGCACCCCCAACACCCATGGTTCTTCCCGACCTCCTGGAACAATACAAGTCTCACTTCGACGAAGACGATGACGAGGAACATAAATCCCGCTTCGATTCCTTCAAAAGCCGACTCCGCAGCGGCAGTCGCCGCGGCAGCTCCAACACCGGTGGTAGCTGGAGCAAGAAATCCAGTCTGGAAAAGCGAAAGAAAGGCTCGAGTTTCAGTGAGCTCAAGGACGCGTTGAAGAGTTGCTTTGGGAAGACCAAATGATTGGTTGTGTGGACGTCTTGTAACGATTTATGATATGATGGTACGATTACATGTTATGGAAACCATGCTGTTATGTGGTATACGAAAAGTCTGCATTTATGATGGCGTATGAAAAATTGAGGCACAGATATGGATAGCTTGGGGTAAACTTCGGTGTGCCGTACGGAATTGGGGAGAGGCATAGGCATAGATATCATTGGTGGGACATGGCGTTGTCAAGGCTTGGGGAGAATATCTTGGTACCAGGGGGGGAATATGGAGATTTGTAAGATGACTCAATATATTCATCGTTATTCGCAGACCCTAGTGGATAATACAACACGCAGCACTATCCTCGTTTCAAGTACCATGTTCCATGTCTTCGCAATCACTTTGATGATCTCGAGAGCAAATAAGCAGCTTTGACGTGAATGATATTGCGAGGAAACAGCTAAACCGCATTACACCTTTTTTCCCCCAATAAACAATCTTGCCCACGTTGTCCATTGCTCCTCAGTCACACAAAAGACAAATTCAACTCCATCCTATCCATCCCCTTGTCTACTCCAGCATCATCTTCGCATCATTGCTTCCGCTTCCTCGTAGTCTGCATTCGTATGCCAAGTCACTAGTTTTCCGAATAAGGTGGCGGTGGGTCTGTTTCTTCCTTCTCGATCTCAGGTCGACTCTCCTTCGCCAGAGATGCAGTAAAGGAGCGCCACTCCTTCATTCTACGTATGAGTTCACTCAGCTGATAATCAATGAACCAATGCTCTTCCAGGTCGGCAGCAACGAGTTCCTGGAACCCTTTTGCGTCTTTGATAATTTTGAGAATCTTGCAAAACTCCTCCTGTGTACTTTGCGGGGGAGTTTTGTCGGGGGACTTTAATATTCCTGCCACATTTTCAGTTGTTTGTCAATCCAGTCGATTTTCATATTAATGGACTTCTTCAACTTCGTGATATGGTCCGTTGGCTTGTCTCTCTGACGTGTTCCTTGAAAGAATTTTCGCATGATTGAATTTGAGTTAGGAAAATCTGCGTTGCTATCGCAGGGAACAGGGAGAAGAGGTATTTATAGCAGGACGATGGTGCTGTTATTGAATCACCACCCGTTGATCCTCGGCGGGATTGACATGATTTCCTCATCATCCGCGACATAGTGAATGTCTCCCCGACTTTTACCAAAAACTTCCACTTACCTCACATTCACAGACTTGAATCTCGCAAACGCGGTATCACGTGGCGACGTGCAGCCGTCTCACTGCCCATGTGCATTCCGCGCCTTCTGTTTGCATTACGACCAGGGATATTTATCCAACGGCGCAACTTCCCTATTCGAACCATCAAGCATATCCGAGGTCGCACGGCATATTGGCTCACCCTTTCAGCTCCTCAACTTCAGCCTTGTAGCTTGCCATTCTTTCGTCTCACCTCACCAATGCTGGCTTAGGGCCCAGCTTCAACACTTGTCCCACGTCAGCAGAACCGTTCAGCTCTTGAGCAATTGAACCTTAAATGCACCGTCTCTCTTGTCTTCAATTGATCAATTTCGCCTCGCAACCGTTCTCGCAGACTACGTACACGATGCATCTCGGCATTATCAACTTCATCAAAGGCCTCCTTGGCCTCGCATCATCTAAGCCAAACCCCGCCTTCAAAGACGATGACGATAACAAGTATATCCGCGGCCCAATCGGAAATCGCGGTCCATGCCCAGGTCTAAACTCACTCGCCAATTCAGGCTACATGTACTTCTCTCAACTTCTCCTGCCATTGCCTGATCTGACACAAGATGCAGACCTCGAGACGGCAAGAACATCACTCAAGCTCATCTCGCCAATGCTTTAGAGACGGCGCTACATATGACTCCTACTCTTTCTGCGGTACTTGTCAACTCCGTCAAGCCTCTGTTGAGAAAGGATGGCACATTTGATTTGGTTGATGTGAGGATTCATAATGTTTTGGAGCATGATGGGTCGTTTACTCGACATGATATTGTTCAAGGGGACAACTTTAGCTTGCAACCAACGTACTTCGTAAGTGTTCCGTTGCTGCGGATTTTTCCTTCATTGCAGTCAAACTGCCAGCCTTGATTGATTCCCACAATTTGAGATGTTCTCTCTCATGCCTATTCAAAAGGAATATACTAACAAACCTCACCCAAACAGGAAGCTCTCCTCAAAGACGCCAACAACGGACCCCTCACCCTCAAGTCCCTGGCAAAGACCTTCCGCAGACGCCACAAGGAAAGCAGGGAAGTCGGCTCACCAAGGCTGCCTCTCCATCTTTGGTTCGTCAGTGTTGCGGAAGCTGTAGCTTTCTTCCACGGCTCTCAGCTTGGAAAGGAACTGCCGCTGGACCACGTTCGCACATTCTATCTGGAGGAGAGATTTCCAGATGCAGTGTTGGAGAATAAAAAGAGTCGGACTGTGCCTGGATTGGGTCTTGATGCGCTGGAGCTTTTGTTTTATGCTTACATCATGCCATGGAGTAGTTGACGTGTCTTTGGGGTTTCTCGGAGCGAGGAGTGGATATGGGAACTTTGGCGCAGGAAATTGCTTGGTGTCATGGTTGCTTGGTAAATTGCTTTTGTTGTCGGGACAGGCTAGGAGCTGAATGGTAACGGCTTGCTGAACCTAGAATGGACATCATACCCTTAATGTTCCTTTGTGAAAACGCGCAGATTGCAGAAATCTTGCTCATTCCACTGAACACCATTCAAGTGGGGTAAGTTAGTTGTCCGACTCGGAATTACTACTTATATTAGGTTCAAGCTCTGAAACCATGTGGAACAACAAGTACAAAATCCCCACCCTTTAAACATCAAGATCAGGAAATTATTTTTATTGGTTTGATGCAGCTTGTTAAGCTGAATACTTCTCTCTACCTTTGATCTATTCTCTCGAGCCCATACTTTACATGTTCAAAAGTCGGTCTTCATTTAAGGACATCTTCATCTGAAAATTATCAAGAGCATGATGTTATTGTCAAATGTTTTAGTTGTCCTTACCTTGACCTTAACCGGTGGACCAACGATGGTCACAAAGACTATGTTGACAACATCTCAGTCTCTAACACAAACCATGTCCTGTGGAACTAAGATGCTGAGCTAAAGAGCTTCTCGAACACCAGTTGTCACAAGAGCCGACACTACGACGAAGTGCCCGTGACACCAAGTGACACCGCGGTAGGTCCTCAAGATAATATTCCATGCTAGTCATGGACTGTCTTTAGAGGTGTGAGGTCATGGTTATATAGGCACTAGCCCCCCCTCCCCCCCGCCGGCGTATAGTTGTATCTGGTGACACAAACTTGGTGAACTTCGAGCGATGATTTAACGGAGACATTCACTTCTGGCGGAACCAATACGGCGCTAGTGACGATATAAACGTTCTTTGAGCTTCCTTGAAGACCAAATTAACAGGATGATGCATGCTGATACCGGGTGAGTGTCGTTTGTGTGTAGTGTCGTGCCAGGATTTAGTGGATAAATTCACTTCAGACCTCACGAGCAACCAAAATGGCGCTAGTGATTATATAAACGCAGGTTCGCTTCATTGAAAAACCAAGTTAAGAAGATGATGCATGCCGAACAACATAGGAGTCGTCCGGGACACCAAGAAATGGTAAGTGGACGACTTTCCCCAGATGCATCATCAACCTAGACAGACTGTTCTGGTATAGCGGATTACTGAGGAAAGGATGTAAGTAACAACGATGACGGTGTGTCAATATTGGCAGCAGTACATTTGTTGGCAACGAAGAACGTTGTTTTCGTTCAATTTCCTAGAATGATCCCACGATTTCGCTCATTGAAAAGCAATAAGACAGGCTCAGACAATTAGTATCCTGTCAGTCAGCAAAGTGGCCGGGGCTGCTTGCTCCAAACCAAGATTGGTTCTGTATTCGCCGTCTTTCAAAACATTTTGTTTTGGGAAGGATAGAGGTAAGGCCCAGAGGAGCTTATATACGTAGAGGATTGAAGCTCTGCCTTGTGACTGTTTGCGAGATAAGTGAATTTCATGTAACTTAGATTTCCACTTGGCGTGAACAATAATTCACTTGGAGGGTACGGCAAACGCTAATTTGTGTGAGAGTATAAAATCACAAACTCTCTGCCCGCTTGGAAATCATGAACTGGAAAGCGGAGACTAATAGCAAGAAATCAGAGTGAGAAACAGCGATCTACTGTTCCAGGTTTGGTACTTGCATTCATGGAAGCTGAGCATCATAGATAGCTCAGGACTTTAGCTTGTGGGTTGAGCTCTGGTAAGTCATCTGAGATTGACAGTAATCCACATGTTAGCAACGAATTTCCACTGTTTTGCTTGAACGCCTTTGCATAATCAAAGCTTAGAAGTGGTGATAAACCTTCTGTTGGAAACGCAGTATACAGCTAATAATCACGTGATTCGTTTGGATGAGACCGTACCACGATGAGGTTATATTCCTTCTATCTGTGGTATTGAGTCTGCCCTCAAAACTAAGGGCAGTAAGCCAGCTATATACAGAGTATCGTACGAGGCTTGACTCGTACGCATAATATTCGACACCCACGTGGAGGCCCGAAACAGTAGATCACGCGGATAACTCTCACCCGCCGGATTGTCCTTATCCGACCGAGTCAGTACTCATCTTCCGAGTCAGAGGCGCCCTGGGCTATACTCCCGACACCTTCTTTGGCTGATATTGCTTGCTTCTAGGTCTGGGTTTGTCTTTCTATAAAAAGCTAACGATGATTCTCGTAGGTATAGAATAAGAATATATAAAAACAAAACATATAAAAATTCGTGCATAAACTTTCGTTTATTTAATAAAAAGCCGAATCGTCGAACGCTTTAAAAACAATATACAATTATTTTAAATTAAAATATCTTCGGGGAAAAGAAGTCGCAAATTAGTGGCTAAGGATTTAGCTGTTACGGATCACCTGGCTAATCGCCGGTCACCTGACCTAATCGCCTGCGACAGAGGTCAGGCCGGGAATGGTGGCGTTCCCGAGCTCTAAGCCTGTTAGGGCGTAGCTTCTCACATGACATCCCTTTCCTCCTGGCGTATATATATCTAGATCTTCTCTTCTTTCATTCCTCTTCTCTTCTTTACCTTTATATTCTAAGAGATAGCCGAATCGATACTTCGTCTACGTACTGAGCTTCCCACCGTGCTGTCACATTAGCGTAATATGCTCTGAACTATTCAAATTATTCTAGCATTCTAATACGAAAGTCGTAAATTGCTAGCACGTGACCCCGATCCCCACCAATAAGCAATGATAATATAGATTTTAAATCGCAAACTTTATTTCTTTATTATTAAAAAGTTTTCAATTGTATTAATTTTTGCAAAAGAAGAAAAGGAAAAAAGAAAGAAAGAAATCACGTTTATTTATTTAATTTACGCTGATTTCTAAATCTTATTTAACAACTCCTTCATCATTTTCAAAAATACCACATTGAGAAGCCAAACTTCGTCTTGCCGCTGGAGATGATGCATTCATCACCGCTTCGGTTGGGATTTCTATTCCTGATTCCCATCGTCCTTTTTGCGCCTGGGTAGATAAGGATAAGAAATGAGGGGTAATAGAACCGGACACAATCAAGGGTTAAATAACGTCTATCCCTGCGTGCCGGAAAACCCTCCGTGCCGGAAAATTTAACCGGTACAATGACTTCAAGCATCACAAAATTTATGCACAACGCAATATCTCTTATTATTCTTTGTAGATTACATTCCGTGACCACTTCTGAACATCTTATATGCCTTCGACTGAAAAATTCGCATTCATGTCGTTGTCCTATGTTTGATTTGCAAAGAGTCTCCTGTTATATCGTGAAAGACTCGCTCTACCACAGCTGCACTATTAAGCTTGTATTATTTTTAAAACTCATAGAAAGGTTTTAGCCGGGTTCTTCGGCTTCCCCACTTTGCAAGAGATCATCAAGAGCGTTGTGGCGGCTGTGGTGTGCAGATTCATGCAAGATCGCCACGCGGGTCGGTACTTCGGATCGAAGCGAATGACGATCTTGGTGGTGAATAGACTCACAAGCCTAGAGCTTGCTCGAAACCATATTTATCACGTGATATGTGGCGTTCCAAGAAGATTCCGTGCACAGCCACATGTACGCTGCCGCTTTGCGAGCCGCACTTCGAGCCACGTTTCATCGTCCTTATTCAATCCCAACGTTGCAATAAGTTAGCACTTCATGAGCGACCGCGCCAGTAAAGCCCTTGCAGAGGCGTCTTTGCCAGGAGAACCTCAAACGTACGATGCTAGATCCAAACGCAGCGGAGTCCCTCTGGCTACTCTTTATTATCGTGATTATGGGCGGCGCTCGAAAGAAGAAAAGGCCGAAGGCCAATAGTATTTTAGTCCATTAAAGGAGAAAGCCCTTGAAAGGTATTTGAAACAGATGGCTGACCTTGTGAATCCTGTGCGAATTAAGTTTCTCCCATCCCTTGCCTTTAATATCGCCCGCCGGCGTTCTACAACGAACAAAGCGACTAAGCCTCCGAGTAAGAACTGGGCTCAAGCCTTCCAAAAGCGTCATCCGGCATTAAAATCACAACGAATGAAGGCGATGGACTGGAACCGCCATGATAGAAACATATATGATAAGATAATACATTGGTTTGAGGTAATCGGGAAAGTTTTAAATGATTCGGCTGTTCTGCTAGAGAATGTCTATAATATAGACGAAACAGGAGTCATGCTATGCATGCTTAACTTTGTCAAAGTCTTCGTCAGTAAAGACGATAAACGAGACTATAGAGGCGCAGGCGTCAAGCGAACCACAGTGACTGCCATTGAGTGTATTAGTGGAAACGGTAGGTCTTTGTTACTAATGATTATTTGGCTAGCCACGACTCATCGAAGCAACTGGACTACGTTCCCTACCCCTGGATGGCACTATGCATGCACCGAATCTGGATATACCGACTCTAAGATCAACCTTGAGTGGCTCAAGCGTGTATTCGATTCCCAAACCAAGGGGCAGGTTGGCTAGAAACCACGAGTATTGATTTCCGATGGGTTCGGAACGCATGAGACCCTCGAAGTCTTGCAATTTTGTTTCGAAAACAATATCACCCTCTGTCGCTTTCCTTCCTATACCACCCACAAGCTTTAGCCTTGTGACGTCGAAGTTTTTGCATTTTTGAAGGATGCTTATCGAGACGAAGTTGAGCGACTATATTGGGGAGGTGTAAACACAATCGGTAAGGAACATTTCACTTCCGTGTATAGCTCTGCAAAGTATAAGGCGTTTATGAAGAGAAATATCACGTCCGCATGGGCGGCCTGTGGATTATTCCCGCTGAACGCAGACAAGGTATTGAGAAAAATACCAAAGCCCCCTTTACATTCAGCTGTCTAGGGGGCCAACGAGACGGAGAGTGCTTTATACCAGCAAAATGAAGTACCCCAAACGCCTATAACGCCAGTAACGGCAGATGCTTTTATATCGCTGCATAACCTGATCAAACAAGATACTAGTACGCTTACCGAGGCAACTATACCACGGCTACAGAGGCATGTCTAGAAGCTTGCCAATGCAGACCAAAGCGCTGTTGCTTATTGTGCCCTACTCGATGAACAAAATTTATTGTTAAAGAGTATAAACAATGAAGCTAAAGTTCGCAGATCAACCAAGGCCGTAGTACTAGGGAAAGGGAAAGGTAAGGCGATAAGTTATAAAGACTTTGAAGAAGCACGCGCTAAACGTACTGCGAAAGATGCTATGAAAGGCAGGAAAAATCGTGGCCGAAAGCGCAAGAACACTATATTGGAGGTGGATGACCCAGGGGCGGAGCCAGAAGAAGCACATGCTGCGAAAGAATTGCAGGCAAAGAGGAAACGCGGCCGGAAGCGTAAGAGTGTTGTAGAAGTGGCCGACGACACTGAACCAGAACCAGAACCAGAGCCAGAGCCAGAAGTGGCACGGACGATAGAAGCGTCAGTCTCATGGAGAGCACCAGTGGCTCACATGTATTGAAGCGCAGACTGTCAATGATTAGATCGCTGAAAGAATAGAATTCAAGGCGGGGTTTCTTGAAGCAGGCCTTGAGAAAGGCTTGCGACTAATTGAGCAAGGCATTGCATTATCGGCGTAGAAGGATAGATCACTACTTGTTAGGGTTCCAATATTATAATTATAATTGCTTTAATACCATTGCTTATATAGTGTTAACACTGTGTGACTTTAGTTTCCCTTTTTTTAATACTCGGGCCATCTTTTGTATTCGGTACAAGCGGAGCCCTTGTAGTACTATGTCTATAGAAGAGTCATGCTCTAGTTAATCTCTGATGAATCTCCGCTATTGTAAAACATTTAAAAAGTTATCATTCACACTAAAACTTATATTAATTAGCTATTATCATATGATTATATGCTTACTTTCCTCCAAAGTTCATTCCACTAACTCCGCCGTTGATGTTCCCAATTTAGTAGCCCGAGTTTTGAGCACCGAAGCTTACGGTGAATGAACCGGTTTTGACCCCCGCGGCTTTTGCAACAGCTTCTTCTTGTGACTTGGACAGCAGCTCAGTCAACAGCTTCTGCGACGCTTTCGCGCCTTTCGATTCCTCCTCAAGTTGTCGCAATACCTCATCCTTTCCTTGACTAGATCTAGCCTCATCGTCATCATCACTACTAAGGCTCAGGTCTTCCAGCTTCTTTTCTACTACCACTAGCTGTCGATCTGCCGTAGTGATAGCACCTTTGACTTCACCCTGTTTTGTAGATATCGTCTTCTTGATCTCCTCCGTTATATGACTGTTGCGGACAGAACTATATCTGTTTAAAGGTCAGTTCTGTAGCAAAAAGGCAGACGCAGAAGTACGTACAAGGTTGCAACACCAACAATGAGATTGATAGCAAGCTTGCAGCTTTGAAGCTGCTCCGACATGGCCTTGGCTTGATCTTTCTTGAAGAATCCCACATTTGCTCGGTCCAGCCATGTTAGCTTTCCTTCCGAGTGTCTCGTCCACTTTTGTAAATCGGCTCTGAAGAGGTTGCAAGCTTGCGTACAGCTACTGACTATCGCCTTTGACTGCTCTGCTACGTTTTGGCCAAGTGATTTCCAATCTCCGTCTTCTACCCCTCGGAGCAATTCCAGTGCTGTATGAACTGACTGGACGTCATTAATTAGACGCATGATGGTTTTAGGTGCATCGCTGAGCTGCTGCAGATCTCCTAGGAGTAGTCGTGTCCCATGCAAGGCCGGTACAATAATGCCGACGACACTCGCGGTAATGCTGAGAGGATCCGCCATTTGTGTTTGTTGATAATCGGAGCAGGCGCCAACGAAGGTCTAACCATGCGCTGAGGCTGATGAGGCTGAGGCGTTGGAAGCCCCGATTAATCTGATTGGAAGGTAGCAGCAGCTCGTTGCGGCTGAAGAATGGCCAACGACATCTCAGCTGCTGCTACCACTTCGTCGCAAATCCTCTGCTCTAATGGCATCCGCGATATCTTTTGGCGGGGGCAACTCCGGCCTCCAAGGTGGAATATTTAATGGTCCCGTCAATACTCAGTTCCATCACCATGCCCCTCCTGGTAAGTCGCAAAGGTCCACGCTGACCCCGCGCTAATGACGTCCCCACCCGCAGAACGACCAGAGACTCCACCGAACCCGTCGATCGTCATACCTTTCAGTCGCGATACAGACTTCGTCGAGCGAACGATACTTGATCAGATTCACTAGAAATGCGCTGTCTTAGGATCTCGGACCGCGCTCGTTGGCTTGGGCGGCGTCGGGTAAGCGCAAACGCTTTTGTTAATATAGATTGCTGACTGTTTTGAAGTAAATCGCAACTCGCGATCGAATACGCCTATCGAACTCGAGATCGCTCGCCGGAGACATGGGTTTTCTGGGTCCACGCAAGCAACACTGCCCGATTCGAGCAAAGCTTTCGAGACATTGCAAACTGCGTTAAGATCTCTGGACGACAAAATCCACAAGCCGATATCTTCCAGCTCGTGCACGACTGGCTGCGCGATGATAGGAAAGGGAAGTGGGCTCTTATACTTGATAATGTGGATGATGCTGGCTTCCTCGTCGAGGCTCGAAGGACCGAATAAGATGGACAAATAAGCGGCATAGAGGGCTGGAACCCACGGTCGCTCGTGTCATACCTGCCACAGTGTCTGCATAGATCGATTCTCATAACGACGCGGAGTAAAGATGAAGCCCTGAATCTAGTTGAATAGCGCGACCTTATCACAATCGACCCGATGAGTAGTGAAGATGCGCTGAAGCTCTTCGAGACCAAGCTGGGAGGGGACGACGACGGCAGTGATAACGCTGGTGCCGTTGCTGAGTTTCTTGTAGCACTCGAGTTCATGCCGCTCGCTATCGTCCAGGCAGCTGCATACATTTTACGGAGGAAACCGCGGTATTCCGTGCGAGAGTATCTTCAGAGCTTTCGGGAGAGCGATCGTAAGAGAACTAGCCTTCTGGACTACAATGGCAAGCAGCTCCGTCGAGATAGGGAGGCGAAGAATTCAATCATCGTTACTTGGCAGATATCGTTCGATTATATTCGTAAGATTAGACCATCAGCGGCTGATTTACTGTCGCTTATGAGCTTTTTTGACCGGCAAGGAATCCCTAATACTCTACTTCAAAATCGAAGCGAGCAGATAAAATCGAGGCAAGACCAGAGGGAGAGCGTCGCTAGTAGTTGTATTGATTATAATACTGGCTATAGTGACGACGAAGAAGGCAGCACATCACAGTCTTCTATGAGCGATGGGTTTGAAGAAGATGTCTTAGTCCTACGAAATTACTCGTTCATCTCCGTCAACGCCAATGGCACAACATTCGAAATGCACGGACTAGTGCAGTTAGCTACACGGAAATGGCTTGAAGCTCACGGGCAGAGAGAGAGGTGGAAACATCAGTTTATTAAGAATCTTTACGCAGAGCTTCCAACGGGAGAGTACGAGAATTGGGAAAAGTGTCAGGCACTCTTCCCACACGCACAATCGGCAGCAGCACAGAGGCCAAAGGAACAAGATTCTTTACTAGACTGGGCTTCAATATTATACAACGCAGCATGGTATGCCCTGAGAATGGGAAGAGGTGTAGAGACAGAGAATATGGCGGTTCATGTAATGAAAGTTCGAAAGAAGATGCTTGGTGATGAGCACAGTGATACTCTAAATGGGATGGCAGTGGTGGGCTTGGCGTATAGCCTAAATGGCCGGTGGGATGATGCCGAAGAGCTGGAGGTGCAAGTGATGGAGACG